ATCAAAAATTCGAAAGCATTATAAGAAAATGTAAATTTATTTCTATTTTTCATAAATTTCTTCGAAAAATATAAAATATTGTCGACTCACGGAGTATTATCAAATGGCTTTCATATTATTTTAGATGTTTGCCTGAGTCGTATGACGCGTTTTACAGTGGTGTGCTATTTATATTGCTGATATCGTGCTTCCCGTTAAAAATTGGTACGGCGACTGCTGTACGCGGGTAGATTTACGCGCATGCGCCTTGAAAAGGTCTCGCCACGTGTGAACGCTTATTTTGCTGTTTTCACGTGAACGATTAATTTTTTTTCTTGATGAGTTTCGCATTTCCTTGAATTTTCAACGATATTCGATTGAAAAATTATCGAACCCATAAAATTTGAAATAACCTGTTAGTCCTTGCGAGACCTCTTCAAGGCGCATGCGCGTAAATCTACCCGTGTACAGCAGTCGCCGGACGCCGACTATATTTCAGACAATTTTTGACGAGGAAAATTAAGAAAAGTAAATTTTGATAGCAAGAGAGAAGTATGTTCAATGTTTAGTAGGCAATTTGGTGAACGCTGGTGATTTCAGACAAGGTCTGTCGAATAGCAAGCAAGAAGATGTGAAAAAAGCGCAGGGTGCTCGTTTTTTTTTGCGATTGTATTCAGGGAATTTTTCGCGAGTTCGCCCGGGGTCGAGGGGCGAACGCGCACGGTGTGCGGGGCGAGTTCGGCCCGTACTCGCTGCGAACTCGCCCCGCACACCGGGCGATTTCGCCCTTCGCGGGTCCCAACCCCTTCCCCCTCTTCCCTTCCTTCCTCCCTTCTCTTTCCCATTATAAGAGTATATATACGGCCATATATTGCGCACAAGCATACGCATCGATATATTTGTATTAAACAAACAAGTTTATTAACACACAACAATAAAACAGTAGGAAAAAATAAATTTAATTAATTAATTAAGTAAGGAATGCAATTTAAAAAGTGAGAAACCTGAAGATAAGTTATTATGTAGCCAATAATAAATTTCTTACCAAATGCAACTCACTTCCAGTTATCCCCGAGATCGAGTTTAATTATTTTATGTTGGAATTGTTTTGGGTATAGTTTCTTGTTTCAAGCAATGTGGCGTCAATGACATACAATCTACCATTCCTCAAATTCGCATAACTATGTTCACCTAACACCATTTCTGTAAAACGCAATTTCTGATGTCTCAGCCTCTTTTTAAAATCAGAAGTCATACCTTTTAGAAGGGTCTTCAAAACGCCTTCATTAATGACGTGGAACGGGTCAAAAACAAATTTTGTTGGCGAAACAAGTGAATATATGATTAGTTCACCTGAATAAAATGGAAAAGTTTGTGACGTTAAATCACAATCACACCTACCATGATATCCGTTCCGATGATTCTTTGCATCAGATCGACACTCGCTATCAATTCTTAATGGCTAGTTAAATGATCCATCGAAATACGGTCTAATAATAAAATAGCCGAAAATCGTGCGTTGCACTATTTTTTTTTAAATATGTTATTATAGGCAAAAAATACGAATATTTCATCTCATTGATACCAGGGCTGTGCGGCAATGGAATTGCCGATTGCCGAAATTGCCGAAATTGCCGATTTTTCAAATTGCCGAATTGCCGGATTGCCGAAATTTTGATTTTCGGCAATTTGATATCAAAAAAAAAATCGGCGAAACAAAAATCAATGTCCATTGAATAATTTGCGATACCGTGAAAATTCGGTATTTATATTTCGAATTATCGTTGAAAACATTTAATAGCCGAAATTTTGATTTTCGGCAAATTGCCGAATTGCCGGATTGCCGAAATTTTGATTTTCGGCAATTTGCCGAATTGCCGAATTGCCGAAATTTTGATTTTCGGCAATTTGCCGAATTGCCGAATTGCCGAAATTTCCGATTACCGCACAGCCCTGATTGATACCTTCCCGTCGCCCAGATACATCATTGTTTTTAATGAAATGGTCTATAAATTACCGCTCAGGTCGTTGCACTTCAATGAATATTGTAGCAAGTTTTAGATCGTCCTTAACTCACATTATATTAAAGACTAGTGGTTACGCTGAAATAATTGTTAATTAAAAACAAAAAAACTGCAAAACGAATTTTTAAGGACGAAATTAATATTCAACGAATTGATTTTTTAAACAAAGATAGTGTACTTCAATTTTAAATAAGCCTGTTATGTATTATTTTACCGAAAAAAAATTGAGAAAAAAAAAATTTAAATTGCATGAGAAGTAGCAGTTATTCAATGGGGCGCACTTGCATTTCGGCATGTGTAACCTTGGGGCGAGTTCGCGGTGAGCTCGCGGTGGAGGGGCGTGCTCGCGGTGGAAGGGGCGAGCTTCGGGCGGGCCGCCCTGGGGGGCGCATTCGCCCCTCGACCCCGGGCGAACTCGCGAAAAATTCCCTGAGTGATAACTAATTTTGGGCACGATCCGGCTTGCCACATCCAGGCTGGTTTATTTTAAAACATTTTAAACAAAAACCGATGAATCGGCCGAGTTTTATGTTAAGCAAATACCATTTACAACCGAAGTGTACTTCTCCGATACCATCTGCTCTCATGCGCCTTTAAACCGCATTGCTGGATGCGACACTTCGCCGGGCTTTGTGAGTTCTTTGGCTCTTTTCGACTGCGGAGCATTCACCCGGCGGCAAAACTATTTTCATTCACATTGAAGGAACACAACACGTCTCTGATATAAATTTATTTATTAATAACAACGGCAACAACAAAATTGTTATTCGGACATGAGTAGTTCGTCTTCTCTTTTTTTGCCGTTGCTTCGCACAAGAGCTCGTTGTGGATGACTCGACTCCCTCTGCATGCAGGAATTTTGCACCCAATATTTCTCATTTCTCTGCACTGTGTGAGCCCATGGACTCTCTTGAGGCACAGTGCGCACTTCCTTTCCTGTCTTTGGACTATGATCCGGTGCATTATCTTGATCCAGATCATCGATTTCTTCAATTAATGAGTCAAAATCTTCGCTCCATCTGATTGGCTCTGGAGGATATTTCCAAAGCAAAATACTCCCCATTCCTCAATCTCTTGCCATTCGCGAGCATTTTGTTTTTGTTCCTTTAAAAAGGAATAGAATTCAGTTGAACCGTTGGGTTCTCTGGACAAGGTGCTTAAACCCACTTCCGACTTATTGTCTTTAGAGACGCGCGGGACCCGAACAATCAACCCGAAGTTGTTGGCGGTAATTTGTTCGATGCACCAAAATAATGTGGCGTCCACACTATGATGATACAATCAAACTCGAAGTATATTATAAACTTTATTAAATAAATACAATATACAAAATGATGGTGCCTCGGTGGTTCAGTGCGAGCCTGAACCCAGAACTGGCCCAGATGAGCCCTTTTATACTGGTTTCATGATACCAGTGGGCGTGGTCCTGCTCTCTGATTGGACCGTCCGTAGTGTCTGCTCTCTACGGACCTCTTTGATCTGTCGTTTTATTACCCTTAGTTCTGGCGTGATATCGTTCTTTAGCAACTTGTATCTGCTAAACAAGTACCATTTACAACCGAAGTGTACTTCGAGTTGGTCCATCCGATACCATCTGTTCTCATGCGCCTTTAAACCGCATTGCTGGATACGACAAATAGTTCCTTCTTCTTGGGGAAAACAACGAGGTTGAGCATCGAATGCTTCTCCGAATGAAGCTCAAGCGGCAATTTAACGAAATCATCACAAACATATTTGTTTTCTAGGACTTATTTGCGCGAATATTGCTACGATGTCCGCGAAAAGAGGCGAATTAGTTGCAAGGTATGAAATTTTTGCCATTTTGTTCGACCAAAAATCATTTTATAGAACAATGCCCATATTTGGTGGGGAAAATGGAAGAAGACGATGATGGAGAAAAACCAAGAGGAGGTCGACGCCAGAGCTTCACGGAATTCCGTCTTCCGTTTTCCGTGAAATTTTCCTGTTCCGCATTCCGTTTCCGTGTTCCGTAGAAAAAAAATTGTTCGGGATTTCGTTTTCCGTGTTCCGCAAAAAATGCGAATTTCAGTATAAAAAACGAAAAAGATTCGGAAAATGTTTTATTGATTTTTGTGTGTTAAGGTAGCGGTAACTCTCACATTCTGCACTTTTAATTTTAAAGTATTCGGGTTGGATTAGGTTTTAATAAATTCTTTTTTATGTCACCAAAAAGTCGTTCCGTGTGTTCCATAAAAAAATTTGTTCCGAGTTCCGTGCAGCTCTGGTCGAAACTGTAAATTTACATACCTTCGCTTTTAGTCAGAATTTTGTTTGCAGAATTGACAATGTCGTAATTTTAAAAATTTGTTCCATTTTTTTCTTTTTCTATCCATATGGCTCTTTGTTATTTTTCAATAAATACCTATTTTTAGGATGCACAGACACCTATACTCAGTCAACAGCCGACAACTTACGGGCTTCACACCTAATTATAATTAGCGTGCTCATTTCTGTTACTTTTCAATAGAATTATTGGGTTTCCATTTGAGTGGTAAATCCGCCCCATGGTTTGGGTTCGCTTTCTCAAAACATAATGTCAACATGTTGGTTCTTTCCTCTCGCCAAACGCTCGTTTTTCTTCTCAGCACTAATGCGCAACCGGCGGCGATTTCCATCGTGGTTCCATGGTCACAGGTAAAACGCTGTGATCCAGAGTTGAGTCTTCCGTGACTCAGTCAGCGTAAAAATCCGGGTACAAAACGTGACCAAAATGTGACTCAATTATAATCATTTTTGACACTCGGTGTTCAATCTAAGACTATTCTGTGATCCAAAGTTGAGTCTTTCGTGACTCAGTTGGCGTAAAAATCCGGGTACAAAACGTGATCGAACGGTGACTCTATCACGATCATTTTGGAGATTCAGCGTTTGGATGTAACAGAACGTTGTAATATATATATATATATATTTATTTATTTATTTAGTTACGCAGAGAAACAAATTTGAAACAAGTTATCAAGCATAAAATCGTAAAAGTTACAAACGAAGCGAATTATGTGATCCGAAATTCTCTCTCTCGTTGACTGTCGAGATGCTGTCGTCGAATGTTGACACATTTGACGGCGATTCGGTATTCTGGTGGTCGTCGATATGTGCCTTTCTAGAGCAACAGTTTTGAGATATAATAAGAATTGTCCAACTACCTGTGCTTCGTCAACTTCTTCAGCAACTTTTCAGCTTTGTCTTTGTTTGCGATGACTAAAAGTTCAAAAATTTTAGTTCTGAAAAAAATTCTTACATTTGATTTTTTATTGCTGATTTCACTCTGGCTAGAAGTGTTATTTCGGCTAAGACATTGGTCGCGACACGAAATCCAACTTTAAGATATTCTTAAGAGCACTTTAATTTAATTTTAACTTCATTTTTTTTAATTTCATACCAGCGATATTTTCGATGACCTCTTCATCGATCGGCGCAAATTTCGTGTTTTTCAGCGAACTCGGCAGGCAGTATACTACATAATATTTGTCTCTCTCAGCGATCTACAAATATTTTTCATCAAAATATTTTAAAATACACATCAAAAGATTTTAAAATATATCTGTCAACCCCTTTTAAAGCAATTAGTTAATGTTCACCTTGCTACCAATGCATCTCGCCGCGGTTTCTATAGTGATCTCCCACGATTTTCCTACCCAGCTTGCACAGTCTGCCATTGACACCAATTCGGCCAACTTGAACTGCTTTCTGCTTGGCAATTGTATCGACAATTGCAAAGCGTTGGCTGAACTCAAATCGAAAACAACGGCAACCTGCAAAAATTTCTATTTTACATATCAGTGTATTTTTCTTACCTCATTTGATTTCGACTTTACAATTGGCTTCCTCTGCTCCTCTTCCTGGAATGCTTTAACAGCCATGATATCGAGTAAACTCGAAATCAATTCGTTTTTGCTGCTCTCGTGGGATTTTAAGCGTAAAATTTCATAGAAATCGATGTTGTTTTTATTCTTCATCACATTTCTGATGTTTGCCTAAAGTTTTTGCTTGAGATACTAATGTTTTTCTAAGTTGCCGTACGACGCAATCAGGGCGCGAGAGTAGAACTCCAGAATTAGTAAAGCAGCATTTTTTAATTAACGCGGAGCAGTTCCAGAAACCATAACTGGACATCTGCAAAGAATTTGTTTAAAAGAATAGACACAAAAAGAAGACGTTAACATGCGAAATAAAACTAAATATCACGTAGAGGACTTATATTTTTTTACGCCATTTCATCTCCGCTGTAGTTCTTTACAACAAGCTAACGTCGAATTTTCGTTGTTATATTTATACTTTTCGATTTCTGTAGTTTTAATGAAATTATTAAGCTTTTCGAGGTTTACCATTTAATCTATAATAAGGTGTTATTTTTGTTCTGTTTTCAATGATTTTTGTCGACGTCAAACGATTGAAAGGAGGCGAAGTGTCAAAGTTCGCGAAATTTCTGTAGATGCAAATTTATCGTTGACTGAATAATAAATGGGCGTACACTACATATATAATGCAATGTACGCAGTCTCGAATACTTCTCGGTGCCTCGAGACATTGGCACATAGCCAATTATTTTTTTAAATTTAGTCCAGCCGTTTGACTCGGACATTACACATGTTTTTTCTACGTCTAGTGTCGTTTTTTTTTTTCATTTTTCAAAGCATGTGTGAGACTGACCTTTGATAAACTAGCTCCTTCGCTTGGATTCGTACCGCCGCCGTTGGCTGCACTTGGGACGTTAACATCGAAATCCGCATTGTCATCATTGGGAAAATCGGACACCTCTGCGTCCTGCGGGCGCTGGAATATTTTTTAAAAACACTATTTCCTAAACACCCACCTTTTCGGTGTTACTTTCGCCCGTTGGCGCTCCCATTTGAAACAACGACACGTAGGCGCTGAAATAATTGAAAAAAACGCAGTGAAAACAAAAACAACGAAATAAACGGACTTTTGCTTTTTTTTAATACTAATGTTGTTATGCAGATTTTGGCAACAACTTTAAAAAAACACAGATTTTGTGAAATCTGAATTGGGTTTTAATTTTTTAAATAGTCTTTTACGGGTTTTATTTTGCCAAATCTGCATAGTACCATTACTAAATTGGAAGAAATGTATGTACTTTGACAGGAAATGTCGAAGAAAAAAAGAAAAAAGAGAGAAGCAACCCGATCGTGATGACAACAGAGGAACAGAGGAAAAAACAGAGTTATCTTCATGGGTGGTCTCCATGTTTCGCGCTCTATCGCAATCGCACGCGCACGCGTCGCGTTACATTTTAATTTCGCAAATTATTTTTTTTACATATTTTCTCCGCAAAATTTTAATTTTGATGTTTTTTTTCTGTAGAACTATGTTTTAATGATTTTTTCCATTGTTATTTTAAAATATTTTGTCCATTCTTGTTTTATTAGAAAGAATTTTTCAGAAAACGGAGCACAACAATGTCATATGCAGAGCCATTCGGATATTCGGTGCGCTTTTTTATTAAACAATTATAAAGAAAAAAAAAACAATTTTAAAAAATCAATGGTGTACAAAGCTTCCATTAATTTGTACATAATATGCAGTAGATCCGTCCTGCAGGTGAGCACCAAGACCTTTCACGTTCTCAATAGGCACTAGTTCTTTCTCTCCGGTTAGTTTTCCGTGAACTATTCCAGTGAAGCTTCTCAGGTTTCTTAATAAATTAGATCCGTAAGTGTTTCCTGGTCTTTCTATTTCTTCTACGCATTTTTTGACGATATGAAATTGATTGCATCCGACGGGTCGAATCGATTCAGCGACAATCATTGCAGATTCTTTCTGGACACATACAGAAATGAATCTATACGGTGTATGGAAGCCTGTTGAAGATACAGCGAAAAAAATATCGCTTTTTGAACAAGGGAACTTCAACTGCGATTTCAACTTCCCGAATGGAAGTTGAAGTGTTCCATAATGCTTCCACTGTTGCACATCGATGAGATTGTCTAGACAGTTCACTTCAATTGAATTCTTCCATGTTATTCCTGATTTCTTTAGCGATGGAATTGAGTTCACAAGATTTGTAATGCAGTGGCTCGTAGCTTGTTCTCCTCTGACCGCTAGTTCACGTCGAACTGCGGTGTTCATCAGAACCCTGAGACAATGTTTTTTTTTTATTAAAAATACATGTTCATTCAAAAACCTGGATACAGCTGTTTCGGTGAATCCCTCTGTAGCTTGAACGTTGAAACCTTTCAGGGCGAATTTGTAAAAGTGTTCATATGAAAACGTTGAGAGTGCAGCAACGTTTCCAAACTGTTCAATTGCCCGTGGAAGGTGACATACGAGCTCCTGTTATTATACTGATTAGTTCAAAATCATAATTCCTAAGATTACATGTGTTTTAATCGTCATGTACTCGTCTCCTAAAGCCCATCTGGCTGCACCGGTCAAAATGACCATGAAGAAATCGGGCATTGGCGCGTTGCTGTACAATTGACAGCAAATCGCCATTAAAGACAAGATTGCTATGCGTGCACGGGTGGACAGCATTGGTGCAACCAAAGCTGCCATTCCAAAATTCAACCGGTAGTACTAAAATAAATAGAATTAAATCAAAAATCGTTGGATTACCGTGATTTTGTCCGTGGCATTGTTCATTTTCGCAATATTGAATTCCGGAGGGATGTTGACTGAATTGCAAATCTTCAGGAATTCTTCCGGCGATTCTAAATTGAACAACTCTTTCGACCGCCTCTTTGTCGTTTTGGTCAACGTTTCTGAAAGTAACATTTTATTCTGGTTGTACGTAGCTACACTCACCCGTCATTATCGTCGAGAGAATTCCCTCGGCCGCGTTGTGAAGGATATCGATAATCGTGTCGTATGGCATCACATAATCCAACAACGCAGAGCGAATTGGTCCGAAACCATTAATTCCCAACTCAGCGTCTTTTTGGGTAATAGCTCCTTTTCGTTTATCGTGCCGTCCTTCTTTGAGACATTCCTTTTTTGTTCGCGTTCCGGTACACATTCCAAATAAGCATGATCCTTCCTAGTTGCAGCCTACCATTCCAAACAAACATCGTTTGGCCTAAATTAATTCTTGATTTTTATTGGCTTTTGAGACTTACCGGCTGATCAGCCGTCCACGACACTATATTGAAACCGTAGGCTACACCCTCGAAAACGCTATGATGGCCTTCAATGTCTGCATATACGAGTGGAATCACCGAATTCCAGAATCTCGTAGAAGGATTTTCAGGCCCTTCAGCCACTCCGTGCATAACCAAATTTGTGGCTTTCTGCATTTCGCCTACAGGCAAGTCCACAAACATTAGCGTCACGGGCCACAATTTGTTTCTGATATCAATTAAGATGTTATTCATTATTTAAAAGATTACTTTGTGTTTCCAGAAAGCGACACGCCATCGATACTTCCTATCAGTGTGAAGTTTAACTTATTCGGCGTCTCTTTGTCCCTCAATTTGCGCAAAAATTGCCCGTTCAAGTTGTGGTGTGTGTCCTTTCCACTACTCAGATTCTTTCGAATTTGCAAAATTTCTTTCCAATATTGCTTCGATATATCTCGGAGCTGCTGTAGACCTCCCACACGCACATATTTGATTATCGTTCCGTTCATACAGCTGGAAGTAATTGTAAATTCACATTTTATATTTGACCCATATCATTTTACGGCTACATTGCCAATTACCAATGATGATCAACACGAAAGTAAACTTTAGGCTAAATTATAAGAAAAAGTATGCTTACCACGATCTTGATAGATTGACCTCCTTTCCACATTTATTACAATAATAATTCACATTGAATTTCGAAATGTCATTTTTCCACAGTTTCATGACTTCTCTTCGAAATGTAGGATCCTCCTGAGTCGATAGATACATTTTAAAACCTGAAAAGCTTCCTTAAAGATGTTTTTAATCTCTTGTATACTGGTATCAGTAGAGTGATCGTAGCAGCCAGCAGCGACAAATGCTAAAACTTTATCCGAAACCTTGGAAACATACTGTGAAAGCTCTGTTAAATTACATATTGTCTATATTATATATATATATATATATATATATATATATACTAACCGCTTCCGGATGTATTTCCTACGGTTTCCGATTCAGTTTCCATTAGTTCTTCACTATTTTCCTCGTCGCTAGATGTTTCTTCGCTGTTAACTTCTAGTACCGGATAAACAACTTCCTCATCATCATTTTCGTCGGTAGATCTTCTTTGAAGTTCTTCACGATTGTACTCTAAATTATTTTCCGTATTCCGTTGTTCGGGTCGTTGTTCGCCTAGAATTTTGCTTTACATTAAGGGCTAAATGTTGAAACTAAACCTGGGGCACCCAATTTGGGAAAAAATTTCAAGATAGAGCGGCCCATCGTTAATTCTTTTATATTTTCTTGAAAATATCAGTAAAGAGTTAAATGAGATAGTGAATAATCTCGAAGTGTTTTAATTCTTTTATATGACCTATTTCCTATAGGTGGCATGACCTGATGACCTATTTCCTTTTTTTTGGCAACTTTATGAGTAAACATGTATTTAACTAAATTTTTGAATTCTAAAGTAACTTTCAGGCCATAAAACGTCTGAAATTGTAATATATATTTATCATAGTCAACCAAATAAATTAAATTAACTTTTTTCAGATTACTTGATGTTCCATCAACATGTTCCATGGACTTCTGTCGTAGGTTTTTAATCAACTTTTACTTTCTTTTTAATGAAATCGTTTTATTTCATGTTTGTTTCATTGTTGAACATATCAGTTCGTCCACTTATTCGGGTGTCTTTGTTCACTGTACCAGATGTTTAATACTGATAATTCTCGTTGCTTGTCTAAACTGAATTTTACCTTGAATTCATAGTATTTTTATTACGGTTAGTATTTTTACCCAACCATTAGTAATCAAATGATCATTTTATCAAAAATAAACAAATATCAACAAAAAGTGTAATGTTGTAACTGCAGCTCTGCTTGGTGGTCGTCTTCGAAAATACTTCATCCTCCACATATTGACACAAAACTGTCATGCCGGTCCTGTTTCGTTCTGCTTCGTACTAATCTGAAACATAATATTTCCACTTCTATAATGGGTTCGGTGTCAAATAAGCTACCAGTAGGCGAGTCATGTTCAAATTTGGTGTTAATATGCGTATAGATGATATACGTAAATGTGTTTCGTCGAGCTAAATCATTTTGAACGGAACTTGCTTGGTAAAACCCTAATTTGAGGCATGTGCCGTGTCCGAATCCGTATTCTGGCCACCTGATGAACCGATTAGCTTCAAATTTAGAACTAGAGTGGGATTGGATCTCTGACGATTATGGGTCATGATCATGGAGATGGGTCACAGTTGACACTCAGCGTATTGTAAAACGCCGAGCCTCAAATGTGATCATGATCATGAGGATGGGTCACAGTTGACACTTAGCGTATTGTAAATACGCCGAACTTCAAATGTGATCCAAAGATGGGTCACAATTCACGCTCAGCGTACGTTCAGTCACAGTTGGTACATGTTTGACATTCGGCGTTTTACCTGTGGTGTAGCGGTTAGCACTCAGGACTCTGAATCCTGCGACCCGAGTTCAAATCTCGGTGGAACCTATCGCTTTTTAATGTTTTAGCACACATTTCAAAGGGTTTTGAATCTGAAGTAAAACAATCTAACCAGACGCGGATGTCGCGCAGACGGGATATGGAATTTTAAATTACCGCGTTTTCGATGAAATAAATTGAAATTTTCTGAAACAAAAATGTGTTTATTTTTTGAATAATGGCCTGACAAGTTGCCAGTCCGTATAAATGAAGTAGCCGTTATTTCAGAGTCGTATTCATTATCCCGCTCTTTCGAGGGGATTCCAAAAATTGATTGTATACTCATTATGTGTCCCTTTGCACGGAAATCTTTAGTAAAAGGCGAAAGATTTTCACGGTCAAATGCAAAGGAACCAGAGTTGACTCGAATGACGATGCACGGACACCTATACACAACCAACAGCCGACAATTTACGGGTTTCGCACCTATCTATCATTTGTATGCGTGTTTATGAAAACTGATCGCAGTATCGCAATTATTTTATGCATAACACCCGTATGAAATAATGTCAAATCATATTCGAGCAATAATTATGTACATGTATTTAAGCAACACTCTCGCGAATAGGAGCTGACAATCGATCACGCTTTTTCCATGTCCATGTACGGTATTGATCACCTTGCCATTTGTCGTCTAAATTCAACGATATGCAATTCTCGATTCCAGTCAACATTTGAATACCTTTTGGCATGACTCTTGCAAGATTATGATCGGAATTCGAATCAACAAGAGCATGCCTCGATCGATGTTGGTTCACCATTACGTTAGCCGAAGACGGCGCAAGGAAGACCGATATCTCGGACCCATGATAGGAGATACTCGCACGCGTCGGGTCGTCGAAACTCGACGACTGACGCTTGTAGGAGGTGGATTTGTCGGAATAATCCGAACTGAGTGTCGACGACGGCATTTGGGGTTGACTCAGCCACACCCACTCGTTTGTGTCTTCGTGACGAGTCGATGAGCTGGATGATGAAAGACGAGAAAGCAGTGGAGCAACCAGTTGCTCGTATCTCAAATTCAAATCACAATTTGCAAAATGGAATCGATTTTGAATGGGAATACCCTTTAAAGGCGGCAGATCTGCGAATAATGGTTATTAAAATGAAAATGAAAATGAGCGCGAGGATGGTGAGAAGAAACAAGTGCATCGGAACAGCGGGCAGCGATTCATTCACATCGGATTCAATCGAGAATGTCGACGATTCTGAAATTCAAAGCATTCAACATTTATTTCAGAATATTGCATTGCTACCAATTTCGACAATGACAGATTTTGACGAGTTCACGTGAATCGGAACTGTTAGAATAGTTGCAGCCAACGGAGCCATCAGATTCACAGCAGACGAGCATTGCGCAGATGGATTCAATGAGATTTCGATCGACGGAAGAGGACGTCGATCATCAATCGCTGAAATTCATCGATACGTCTCGAATTATATATTTGCAATATTCACCAATGGCATGGATATTGGCGGAATGATGCGAAACCGCCAGCGATCGATCATCGTGTGAATGGGCGGCCACGTTGAAATATTCGGAATCGATATGAGCCAGCGTCTCCCAATTGCCATCCGAATAGCTCACTGTGCAGTCGACTGAGCACTGCTGATACAATCGGGTGATGATCGTCGAAAACGTCGTCTCGATTTTGAAGAACGCCGGACTGAAGAGAATCGGAAGAATCCTGATGTGAAGGCGACATATCGGTCGGGCCGACAATCCGCTGATGGCGACCTCATCGGAATGCACAAGAATGCTTTCCGATGCCAAATCATTCGCCAGTTTGACATTTCGAATTAGCACGCGAGTTGTTCCAATATTTTCGCCGATTAGTTGTGCTTGTCCATCGATGAATCTGATCGTTGCGACGGTTCGATTCACCACTTGTAATCTGGACAAAACAAAAAAGCCGAGATACATCGATTCGGAATTGCTCGAACGTACGTGTTGTGGACAACATTAGTGACGTCGAAGAGAATTTTTTTGTGCGACGACAAGTACAATTGCTCTTCAGTTTTCTCGTCGAATATCGACAAAGACGCCAGCACGCGCACCTGCGCTTGTTGGAACCGATTGGCGCACAAGAATTGGCGAGCTGTTCGCACCCTTTTGGGTGTTGCTGGCAATTCGCGCCAAACGCCAATTTTCCAACTTTGGATCGCGTATAAAGTCGACGAACTCGTCCAAATCGAAAAATTGGAAAACAAAAATCATATGGGAATTGAAGAATTGAAAACGAATACCGTCAGAGGAAGTCTCGGATACCATATTCGGAATGGGAATGATGTTGTATATCTTTGGAAATGTGCATAGATGAGCACTTCTGCAGATCCACTTGTTTCCGATCCATCCACGTATACCGATGTGCAAGTGGGACTCGTTTTCAGAATCTTCGCATCCGATGATATGCAATGAGAAGAAGCCGTCACGTCTTCGGCTTTGGCTCCAATCGAAACGGTGAAAATGCGCATTAAAGCCATCACTTGTTGGCCAGAAATCACAGCAATGTTCATTAATTCTGTTCGCTGAAATTTATCGAATTTCACGATTATAAAATTTATGATAATAATGTGCTATGCACATCTCACAGAAAACTCAAGAAACCAATTTAAAAAATCCCTAAAAACCGTTTTTTTTAAATCCAAGTTTTTCGATTTCTGTGATTAAAGGCGCATTTACAAGATTTTCATGGTTACTGCAGCGATTTAATAAGAATCTCTGGTACTGAAGCCTTCGAATAAAAACCTGGCCGTGATTGTGGTCTTTTGGGGTTTTTTTTCTGCGATTTTTGAATTTTTACAAGGTTTTGAGTTTTTTGCAAAATAATATTATAATTAGCCATAACAGAATTCTATATATTGTCGGCGTCGAACGACTTAATTAGGGCCTTTAAATTAGCGAAATTCGTGTCGATTTAAATAAATCGATGGCTGAGTATTAAATGCGCGTACGGTATAATGCAATGTACGCATTCTGGTAACTCAAAATCAATCGGATCCGACAAAACTCGGCTCCGGACTCAACCTGATCTGATTGGAAATTCTACGGATAAGATTGGAAAATTGTCGGATCCGATTAGATTTTCTTCGAATCCGTTTTGTTTTAATATTTCAATTCAAATCGGATTCGACAAATAACCAATCTTATCCGTAGAATTACCAAACGGATAAGGTTGATTCCGGAGCCGAATTTTGTCGGATTCGATTGGTTTTGAGTTACCAGAGCAGTCTCGCGTACTTCTCGCTCATTGGCACATAGCCAATCATTTTTTTTCCAATTTTGCCCAGTCGTTCGACTCCGACAATAATTCGACCATACTTTTGGCACAACAACGACTGCTGCGATTTCATCGTGCACAACTCCAAATTTGGTGGCCACTTTGTGCTTCTTCTCATCAACGTCGTCAGCCGACATTGCGAACAGAACATGCCAGTGCAGAATCACATCGTCTTTGATGATTTCCGAAGCCGATGTCATTTTGATGAGAAGAGCAATTATATTCGCATTGAAGCTGAATATCGATTGGTCCCAAAATGAAATGATTCGATTGAGAAAAACCTTGTCATATATTGTTTGGGCGTGCAAAACAGTGACGTGTAAAAGAGCGGACGACTCGCCGAGCTGACTCGAATTGTCCAGTTCGGAGATGTCGGATACACGGATTCGATGGTGACTCTCGAGTCAATCCACAATCGGATTTCGATCGGATTCGTGATATTCGAGCCATCGACATGAACGAATAGTGATTGGACAGAGTTCTGCGAGAACGACTGATTCGCCGTGCTCCGAACGGCGACTTGAATGTGCTCTTCGGACGAATTCGCCAGAATTTGCACATTCTGTTTTGGCACTCGTGACGAGACCTCGATGAGATGCTGGGGAAGATCGTGAAATCGTTGATCGCATTTCTCAGATACTGTGTAAGAAACCGAGAGAACCTATTAATGCAATTCATGATTTGGAATCGATGACGAGTTCTCAAACATACATTTGTCTTGTTCGCCGTATCGGGGAACCACGAGAATGGCACAGGCACACGGACCACACAATTCGTTTTCGTCTCTTCTCTCGAGTTGAGCACACATTTGCCGAGCTCTAAAATAGTTTCATCTTGGAATTTTCGCAAGTTTATATTATAATTATTATTTTTTCTTTTTGAAATGAACATTTCAACAACCTGTATATCAAGGCTGTGCGGCCATGGAATTGCTGATTTTTCAAATTGCCAAATTACCGAAATTTTTTGGAAAATTGAAAATCGACGAAACAAAAAGGTTGAATAATTTGGGATACCGTGAAAATTCGGTATTTCTATTTCGAATTGAAAAAAAATTAATAGCCGAAATTTTTATTTTCGGCAACTTTATATGCAGTTTGTTTCGGAAAAACATGTCATCCAGAATGTGAGACGCGGTGTAAAAAAAACGTTTTTTTTGCCGTGCCCAAAAAATGTATATTCGAAAATCGAAAACTCCTCAAATATTCCTAAAAACCACTGATTTCGGTTTTCTTATTTTCGGGAAAAGGACGAATTCGGATCTATTTCGATTCGAATTCATCCCTCCCTCAACTCTCAGCAAATTTGCGGTTTTATCCCGCCAAATTCTGTTCAACTAATTTTTTGATTTGTTCGAATTTCGCACGAAAATGATGTAAGTAAATTCGATCAAATTGCGAAATTAAAATTAAAAAATGTTTGTTTAATTAAAGGCTTATTATATAAAAATGAGTTGGGTCTTGGTAGCGACTAGAAACTTTTGTCAGAAGCCGATGTTAAAAACTTTAAAGGATTTCCTATGCAGATTAAAAAAAAACTATTACATCCAATATTTTCAATTTTTAATTTGCATAGTACGGTAATTTATAATTGCCAATATCCCCGAATATTTTAAAGCACAATTTGATGATTGAGTATCAGGGTCCGATTGGATAAAACCGATCATTTGAGTGGTCCTAACTAATAATACCCCATTGGGAAATGATGATATGTTCCCTCTTAAGACCTTGAGCCTCGCGTTTATCGCCAACTATTTTCGGGAGCCAATCCGGATTCAAATGAAATATTGTAGGCGAGGCTACAACTAGAAATTACCATTCGCTGACGTCGAAGACGTTATTTGAACATGAATACAAACATTCGAGACGTGACTCGCGAGATGCTCATCGAGAACACCGAGCACATCCACATAAGGCCTTTCCTAAAACTCGGGGGTTTTTTTTTGGAAAAAGCTCGACGCAATCTTCACTTACTAGATCGACTTTTTCGGTGATAATTCGAACTCTGGCTGCACAATGCAACGGAACTTCTTCGAATATTCGACGAGAATCGAATTGGTCCGCTGAATAGACCGTCGCTTTCAAGTTTCTGCTGTCAGGACATCCGTCCTAAATTTGAGTCGAAAATGGACCGATTGCCGTGCTTCGATTACTTGGACAAATACTGATGTAAAATTTGTATTTTGGTGTCCGTGATAAAGAAGAAATGCCTCATTTGGTGGATAGAATGCGATATGGGCGCAGCCGATCGAATATACTGCAAATTTTTCAATTTTTGCTATTGTCGACTCTGGAAAATTGGCTTAATGCCCCAAAAAAGGTCTTGGTGCGAGGTGTGCGCCTTTAACCTATCCATATATATTTTGACTCGTAAATCTACACTTTTATATTTGGCCAAGACCACAGTCTTGGTTTTTTTGGCATTTTGCCAATTTTCCGCATTCGGTTACTGTAGCTACAGTAGCCCCTCTGGACTTTAAATTTTTCACCAAAAATGGTCAATTTTCATCTCCTGATAACTCCCGACAAAATTTATCAAATTCGAATCAGAAATTTGCGCTGATTCCAAATATCTAGGTCTCGAAGCATATAATTCAAAATTGATCGATATTTTTTTCTCATTGCTAATTTTACATTTTCGTTGGAATGATCACTCATAAAATGAGCAATGAGGTCGTCGGAACGAGAAAAGACGCCGCGCGGCACCAACAAAAAAAGTTGATGTCTTTCTGTCAATCATTTAGAGAAATTGGTTCGAGACGAATCTCTCGCTTCTGCGATTTTTTTGCAGCGCCAAGGAAAAGCTCAAAATAAAAGAAGGGGGAAAAATGGCTGAATGGATGAGATGGAAAATTGCTGCGAAAATAAGACAATAGGTTTTTTGTGTGCGCATTTTTTCGACGAGAAATTATCCAAATAAGTCATACATTTTTGAACAACATTCATCTAAAAAAATTTTTCATTCGAAAAAAAAAATTTAATTTAATTTTGTGTCGATTTCTTTGAAATATGATTCATTCAAAAATAATGAATATGTAAATTTGAGAAAAATTGTAATTTGAGGCCAATTAAATTCTACAGTAGTCGACGCTTATAAAATATTCTTTTTGCGTAACCATAGGGAAAACAAAAAAAAACAATTTTTATTTTTGATTTTTATTCGCTCAACTTTCAAAGTTTATTTTTTTTTTGAAAAGGAGCATAATTGGGGTTGTTGAGCCCATAAATGCACTTTTTTTTTGCAAAAAAGGTACTTTTAAACATCAAAAACCCTATAATTTAGCTGCAAAAAAAAAACAGCAAGAGCAAAAGGAAAAAAGGAAAATTTGGAAGCGTGGGAAATTTGGGATTTTGAAAAAAAAAGTTTGATTTCTAAAATTGAACCAAAATGATTAATTTTTATGGAAAGTACCTTAATTTTTTGAGTTTTCTTTTTGGTAAAATTTTTAGAGAAATTTTCGTATTCTTTCAATTTTATCGACTTCCGCTCATTAAAAATCAACTAATTACCTAATAATTTTGCTCATTTCGAATATGCCCTCATGCATTTCATTGGCAAAAATTTCATTGCCACAATTCTCGCAAATTTCTCAGGCGGATTTTCCATTTGCATTCTTTATTAGGACATTGTTTTTCAGACAAAATTATTCATTAATGTTGCTGTCTAAAAATTGCCAAAAAATGGCGGCAATTTGAGATGCTCAAATTCCAAAAATCGTCATGTTGTTTCGTTTTGATGCCGAAAATGACTTACCAAATGAAAAAATGAAGAATATTCGAATCATAATTGATAGAAGACGTCCAAATTGTTCCTCAATTCACATCACATTCTGATCGGCCAAATAGGGTTGGAAGAACTCGAACGGAATTGGCGGATTGAATTCACAATAATGGATACAATGAATGCTGCTCAAAACGGCTGGCTGGCTGACGAACAAAACCGAGAGGGCGTGGCCTGTTAGAGAGCATGAGGAGGAGGGGCTGTCATAACTAGTAGAGAGCCGCAGTTGTGGCTACTACTATTCAGATCGATAGCCTTCTGCGACGACGACTTCTTTATTTTTGTGTACCGCCGCCTCATATGGAAGAAGGCGAGAAAGAAGCATGAGGAAGAAGAAGAAGAAGAAGCGCGAAATATTCGCAATTTTTTCTCGCTGTTGCTCTCGTTGTTGTTGTTGTTGTTGTGGACACGGACGGACTCGCGTACCCAGTCAGTCACTCACTCAAATTGCCCTCGTCACACATAAAAAAGGAAGAAAAATTTGGGCCGCGAATTTCGTTTTTTTTTCTCTCTTTTTTTTTGACGGATTCCGTTTGCCGAATCGAGTTGTCGTGACTTTGTTTGAATGAATATCGAATGAGATGCGCACGCGTTTTTTCAACATCTTTTCGAACGAACAAATGAAGAAGGCGTCGAGGAATTTTCGAAGATTCGTCAACTATCAACAATCGCCACGGTTTCCCAATTTTTTTTTTCTTCGATTCCCTCTTGAATTTTATCGATTAGTTGCGATTGTTCTGACTTGATGTCACTAATTTTTATACTGGTAATTAAAAAGAACGAAATCTAATTCAGAAGATTTTAGGTAGGAGATCAAATATTCTAGAAATCACGATTTCCGAAAATGACAATTTTTTATAATTAAAAAAATGAATCGCGTAAATATTTTCGTGACATTTAAAATGAAACATTTTAAAGAAATTAGATAGTTGCCATCACAAAAAAAAATGAGCATCTTGACAAATTGTGGACCATCGCACTTTTTTCGAGGCGGTAATTCAAATTCGAATTCAAATCGTGGGAATTTGGCTACCGTACTCTGGATAACCTGCGAATCAAACTCACCGTAAATCGGCGCAAGGGGTTCGATTTTTTGCGAGTGCAATAATTAAATCTTCTCGTAAATCGACAATGAAACAACTATTTGTCTGTTTTGAAAAAAAATATTTAATTAATGGCTTTTAAAATACTTTAGAAATACCCAAAATTGAAGGATGAATAGAGTTTGATTTGGAAAAAAAATAAGGGAAATGAGATTAGTCGCTAATAGGAGATATTTCGATCTTTGGAATATTTTTTCCTCATATTCCCAAATAAGGAATTCTTATAATAATGAAGGGTTTCACTGGGGAAACACTAATCGATTTTCCAAACTTATCGAGAAAAGAAATGATTTGATTTTTTGTGTCGAATAAAAAATGAACAATAAATGAAAAAAAAAAAAACGATTTGATGATTTCTCAGTTCAACGAGTTTTTCCGGTTTCAGATTTCACGCCATCCGTTGCATTTTTGTGGTCAAAAGCAAATAAAAAGAGTCGTTGGGAAATTGTCAAAAAAAGTGAGGAAAGGATTCGAAAAATAATAAGCTCAATCTTTGTCAGGCTAGGCCAATCGGCAATTAATTGTAATATCGCGTTTCTCACACAAATCGCAATTGCTCATACTCTGTTGCTAAAACGGTTTGCTAACAAGGGAAGTCATTTTAGCTCCCGTCTTAGGATTTTTTGTAATTTTGCACACGTAAACTAGAAGGTCGTTTGAGTGTGTTCACAAAATTCCAGCCTGCACTGGGGGGTTACAGGCGAGTTATGGCCTTCTGAAAATTCAAGGTGTTTTTCCATTGGCTTCAACCATTTGGGCAAGGGGTTACGCATACGCCTTTTGGGGCTACAGTTGGACATTCAGGTGGAGTAAAGTGGTATAGTCGGGCAAACTGCTGTACGCGGGTAGATACACGCATGCGCCTTGAAAAGGTCTCGCCACGCGTGAATGCTTATTTTGCTGTTTTCACGTGAACGATTAATGTTTTCTTGATGGGTTTCACATTTCTTTAAATTTCTAACGTCGTTCGATTTAAAAATTATCAAACTGACCCATAAAATGCGAAATATCGAGTTAGTCCGTGCGAGACCATTTGGAAAGACGCATCCCGTAAATCTACCCGCGTACGGAAGTCGCCGGACGCCGACTATATGTGTGCGGGAAAGTGACTTTATGATGAAAGTACGCTCCCGGCGCCCGCATTTTTTCATTTTTTTTTCTTTTTGCCACATTTGCCAAATTCCAATGCGAATTGATTTCAAACGCATAATTTCATGTAAAAGCGTTGTTTCAACACTATTTTTTTTTGCATTTTACAGTTTTTCGGTTTTTTCCTGAACTCTATTGTTTTCCACAATTGGATGCCGAAAAACTCATTTCTGATCGTTGTAGGAAATTGCCGAGATTTACCAATTATGGAATTGCGGAGAAATAAAATGTCGGCGGCACGGCGAGTATTGACCAACTTATTTTGCGCCAAAAATGCTAACTACACATTCCCAGGTTCGGCCAAAAATGCGCGGATTAGATTCAACGGAAATATTATGAAATCTGTGGATATTATACGAATCTCATATGCTGAATACAGTGCGTTTCTTTATAAAGCCACCAATGTTTTTAGGTGAAACTTTGTTAATTGCAAAAATTTTTAAATTCCGATTTCAAAATTGAATTCAGGGCTAAAAAATGTATATGGAAATCAAATGGATGCATTCTAATCGGTTTCTCCTATGGAATTGGATTTCCGATAAACTTTTCAGATTCTGAACACGCTTACCTCCTTCCAGTCACTTAGTCGGTTCGCCCTTCACCTGTTGAGGGGCGAACCACAGCTTTCCAAACTTTTCGGTCCTTGGCTTGGGTGGACCACGGGGTGATAACGGCTCCTTCAGCTGTTCTTGTAGTGATCTCCTTCCGAAGCGAGTCCGACCATCTCATGGGAGGCTTCCTCTTGGCCATGTATCGTAAAAAAAACTACTCGCAACTTTTCATTTTCATCTGATTTCCGTCCTATCCATAATAGTCTATTTCATCCACAAATACTGTGGTTGTCCTTCCATTCCATGAATTTCCCTCGCTTTTTCCATAATGCTTTCCTCGTCGTTTTTTATCAGCTTTGCAGTTATCAGAAGTACATCTGTCTAGGGTTTCAATACGTTTTTCTGCACTTCCTTTTTCAACTCTAGCTGAGCGTGTAGAAGGAATCAACATGGGGCGAAATGGATGAGTTTGAAATGTGTTTAAAAAAAACTGTGTCATTTGCTTGATTTTTTAGTGCCCGATATTTTATAGAAAAAAATACGTTATTGCCACATCAATGAAGAAAACCGTAAAATTTTAATAGCGAATATAAAAAAAATTATAAAAGTCGGACAGTTTTGAATGATTAGTGGCGGTCGAAAATGAAGAAAACGTTGTGCATATTTTTCGTATTTTTGTGTTCGACAGCTCAAGCTGCGACATGCAAATGCCGATTGAAGCCGAGACATTGCGGATGGTGGTACTATCAGTGTTGTAATACTAATTGCCATAATTCGTGCAATAATAATGGAAACCAACAGTGCAATCCTGGAAATAATAATAATAATACTGGAGTAAGTCGGTCAATTTTGGGAATTTCATTGAAAATGTTGCGCAGGTCGATGAAAACGGCTGTCCGTTTGGTTGGACATTCCGCACGAGACCCTCCGGAGGCTTTTGCTTCAATGTGTTCGCTGGCACAATGACCCAGCCAGAAGCCGTTGCGAGTTGCCAGAAGCATTCGGCATTCCTCGCTGGAGTCCAAGATCAACAAGAGCTTACTCTCTTCACGGGTACTCAATTGACTGTGTCAACCAGCAGCATTCGTTTTCTCAGAACGAGCTACGCAAGTCATCCGCCAAAGTGGCTACAGTAGCGGCGGAATTTGGATTGGAGGAACGAGAAAATCGGAATGTCGAACGACCTCCAACATTCCAGCACAATGCTTCCCGGCCACCAAACAAGCATTCGTATGGAATGATAATATGGTGACAGGAGTCGATGGATTCATATTCCGCGACGGTCAGCCCGATAATAACATGGGCAATCAGAACTGTCTCTATCTGTTGGGAGGAAGCCCATCGAACGACGTATGGGGAACATGGTATCCAGGAACTATGGATGATACCAAGTACGATGAGAAAATTCCTGGGATTACTATAACTGTGTTGCCGACGAAAATAGCACATAATATGAATTTAACTATTTTCGTCTGTAGCACGGCTTCAGTGATTCTATACTCTATTCGTTTTCAGATGCGACTACACATTGAACGACAGAAATATGGATCGATCGATTAGAGGATACGTCTGCGGAATTCGATCACGAACCAAGTGATTCTAAAACAAAACACTGGCAAATAAATTTCATTGTGAATATTCATTAATATCTTCGTTGTTATCATAATTCAGCATTTCATCATTCGATTCTTCGACTACAACACATACAATGCGTACTATAATGATTCCCAAATTTTGCAGTTTTGAGAAACCCATATGAATTGGTGACAAGACAATTGCATTTTTGAATTTAGGACTATAGAAAACATAAATGCGAAAACTCACCGACAGCATATTAACCGAATAGTGATCCAAAAGTATTGAGGGGCTACGAATTATTGAGTTAATTCTGTTTTACTTTTAAATATGTTTTTTTTTAATGATTATTTAGACTTTTCTAACGCGTTTTAGTCCTTAAATAAAACCATATTGTCAAAAATCCCGAATTTGGCTTGATTTCAAGCCATATTTAAGACGGACGATCGTTCAATGGATATAAAGACAAGCTTGTTGAAAAAATATACAAAATGAGGAAAAATCAGCAAGAGATTTGCAAAAATGCCGAAAAAAAAATTGGGGGTGGTGTATCATTCATTTTTTGCTCGAAAAACAACCGAGAGAAGTCGCAAAAAACAATAGGCGACAATTTCCCGATTAATATATGATTTTATTGTTTTTATCGGATGCTACTAGTAAGGTTTTCTGTCAGTGTTGCGCGTAAGTTTATCTTTGGTTCATGTAAAATGAATACATAATAATTTAACGTTTAAAAACTTGCCAATAAGCGTTGGGCTCGTATCAATAATTGTTTCGCTAAATATCTTCTAGTTATCGAATTAGAGTCGATATTCAAATTGAAATATAATCAAAATAATTAATGAAGGACTTTTGAAAAGCGCGAAATTTTAATTTATACTGGCTACACAATTTCAACGAAAACCTCGATAATTTCGTTATCGATAAGACAAATCAGTTCAGAAAAAAATTTAATTTTTATTCATTTTTTTCCATCGGTAATAATGAGCAAACCATATACAAGAAAAAAAAATAAATTGAGTGAAGTTTGGAAAAAATAACGATTTGTAAAACAACGATTATATTTTGGGTCTAAATAAATAACGCAACAATTATTAGAAGCGCGTGGAGCAAGATAATAAATTCCTAGGCGAAAACGCACGTATAAATGCGCGTGGTGCGGATGAGCAATTAAAAATAAAAATGATTTAATGTAATTTAAAAGGGTTAAAATGGATGGGCGGCGCAAAAAGCAAACAATTGATTAATCAATGTTCCGGGTGGAGTACATCGGCCTGAGTGGTCCACCACGGCCATTTACAAGTTGGCCACGGCCAATTCGATTGTGCCAAGTGTGAGGGACCAAATCCCAACATAAGTCGATTTTTTACAACGTTATTATTTTACAAATTACTTTCATCGCCTTCCTGCGATTTGTTATTAACTTCTTCGATTTTCATAATTTTCTTCAGTGACGTCTCCTTCATGTTCATCCGTTTCCTTTTCTTGTTTGACTTCTTCGATTTGGTCCTTTTCATTTTGCTTTAATTCGTCATCATCGTGGAAAAATCGAGAATGTCGTGCTTCTAATCGAATTCGTCATCCTTGTTCACCCAATTTCTAAAATACACAGAATTATTTCATTTAATTGTTACTTACTCTTTCGCAAGCACTGCAGTCAATAAGATATTGTCTAATGTCTCCACTTTCAGGCAATTTTACTTTTTTTCACAAAATATCAGAGAATTTTCAGAAAATATGACAAATGTAATAAATGTAATAAAAACTCTAATTTGCAAAATAAATCGGCAAGGCCCATATTCTAATGCACCCAATTTTCTAATCCGCATCCACATTTTTGCCGTCATTTTTTACACTGTGTTTTTTTTAGTACTCTCAATTTAATTTTTTTACACTGTCAATTTAATTTATGGTCTTCCCTCATGAAAACGTACGAGGGCAGATTACATAGGGGTGCTCGCCCTTGCACCCTTGCAGCTTGCCTTCGGCTCTGTGCAGTCATTGAGGTTGCTGTGCTTCGTTCAGTTAGTGCATCTGCGAAATTGACGGAGCACTTCCTTGCGTTGTTTCCAGTTGGTGAACGGCAATCAGCCGATCTGTGATCGCCTTGGCAGAAAGAGCAGTGGCGGGTTGAGGCGCTTGCTCTGGCCAGGCCACCGGTCGGCTGTCGTTGTGCGAAAGGCTCCCATGTCCCGTGTGTTTGCGGCGGCGGCGGTCGCATCTCGCCCGTTAAACGTATTCCGTGCTCAGTTGTCTGTAAGGAGTGCCATGATTATAGTTTGTACCGTTTTGTTGAATAGTTTGTCCATTAACATTTTTTTCGTGGTGAGTCCAGTTCTTTGATGAAGAAGAATACTTTCTAATCTTCTACGCTTAGCTCATTCAACTGAGCTCGTAGCAAAATTCCATGGAGTACAAAATTAATCGTAGAGTTGCAGCTCCACACTCGAACTGTATACGTTCCTTGAACCAGTCAAGAAGTACAGGAACGTTAGTATGAAGCTTTTGCTGCCAAGCTTCGTGAACGTATTGCCGGATATTTTTCTCATCATTCTCTTCTTGTAATCTTCAGCTCTTTCCCACATTTTTTTCTTTTCATCGGCGAGGGTGGTGATTTTCTCACATAGTCAAAAGTACAGTTGTGTTGTGCAGACAGTTGTCCAGAATTTCTTCCCTTCAATTATGCATTTTGCTTTCTTGACGGTTGAGATTTAAAATCCTCAATTTTCGTTTTCGAAACGGCTTTTCCAATGTTTTTTTCTAAAAGGTTCATGAATTAAGCTATTTTCGGAATAACATGTACCAAGCTGAAGTTTTCAAATCGTTTTTCGTGGGGTGTTCGGAAATTTGCCTGACAATGAGTGCCTTTGTGATTTTGCGAGGAAGGATCCTTATATAGAACCCACTTGCGGCTGTTGTCTAATATTATTAAAAGAAATAATTATTTTTGTACAAGACCGTGATTGTTTCGTTACAGGCTTCACAATTGTCCGAATATACTTTTGAAATTTGGTCATAAGCCTTAAAACCATCGCCGTGTAAGCATCAGGGCAATGTTGAACAATTACCCTTTTCTAAAGCAAAACTAATATAATACGAATCATACAGATTTACCTTATTCTGAGCATTTTTATCCCGTTCAACACGGCTCCATTTGCCACTGATGTTCAACGTGCCTTTCATAAATCAACCTGTGTTTGTGAAGCATTATTTGAATAACTTCACTTTGAAAGATATCTGAAAGGTATCACAAAGTATGATTTTCAAAAAAGAAACAGAGAAAAAAATGCACTTTAGGATTTAGAATAATTAATATAAAATAAAATACTTATCTAATAATTTTACATTTGTCAAGTAGAGTTTAAAAATTTTTAAAAATGAATATACGAAATTGAAAAAAGTCCCCCGTAAATCGCTGCGAGGATTACGGTAACTGGCTCATCGTATTGCGTACAAAACGCAGGATCCCACGACACCTGAACAAATTTGTTATTTCTCAACAATACATAAATTTTTTCATCTTTTTCTGTGTTTTCTTGGCGAATTTATGGCATCATGTATATTTTTGTGTGGAAATAGTGTGATTTTAATCTTGTTTGTATAATATTAAAAGTTTATTGTTTATCGATTTTGACATTTTACATCTAATAATATATTTGATGATTATTGTGATTGTAATTGTGAAAAGCAAAAAATTATCGTAAAAACACTCTGCTCTTACCTTTTTCGTTGTCGTTTTCCGTTTACTGGCGAGAAGAATCGGAGAACGGAGCGCGTTTTCTTAATTTTTGATATTTCCATATCCCGTCCGAGCGCCATTCGCGTCTCCACGCTGTGACAATTACTTCCATATAGCTTCCACTAGACATCCACGCTCATAATAAGCTCCATGTGCTTCCTTGTTTTCATCTGGCGGGAATTCGTCTCAGAACCATTATTGTAACCCCGTGCTTCACCTGGCTAGATTGTTTTACTTCAGATTCAAAACCCTTTGAAATGTGTGTTAAAACATTAAAAAGCGATAGGTTCCACCGAGATTTGAACTCGGGTCGCAGGATTCAGAGTCCTGAGTGCTAACCGCTACACCATCACTGATTAAGCGCGACGCAAGCATAATGGAAGCATTGTGGGAAATCTGTGGAACGGAAGCATAATGCTTCCATATAGGAAGCATAATGTAATTCTTAGTGGCTGTGGAAGAATTATGGGACGAATATGGATGGAATGAAAACGGGATGAATATGCTTCCGGTGTTTGCGAGCCGTGGAACAAATATGGATGGAATATGGATAAAATAATCATATGTCAATAAACATTATACAATTGGCGTCTGGACGGCAGACCAAGACAATTTCTAGAAAAATCAATACAAAAAACTTATGCTATCATATAAACAATGAAAATTTGAAAATTACATGATACACAACGGACGAAATTTAGCTTCTACCATTTAATGACTTATGTTACTCAGATTTATGTTAATTCAGTCAACTGTTCCTCACTTTGTTTAAAGATTGCCAACTACAATTTAGTCGTATTAATATATTTTTGCCGGTTTTTCCGAAATTGGCATCGCAAACTACTCACAATTTGCTCCAAACTGGTAGCAGACGCGCGTAGAAGAGGCGTGCCGCAGCATTGCAAAACCGTGCGCCGCTTTGCACAATGCGGCCACGCCTCACATTTTCGAAATTCGTTTTCAAAATTTTTGTCCTTTTGCTTTTTCTCAATGAATTTTCAAGATTTTTTGTGTTTTTTTTTTTGTCAAAAATTAAAGAATTTTTTTCAAAATTAAAGGAAAAATGTTTTTAAAAAATAAAGGAAAAATTTTCATATTTATCATCAAAATCGAAACCAAAAATAAATTGATAGCATTCGAAAATTTTAAAATCGATACGATGTTTTCAAATCGTTTCCGACACTTTTAAAATCGAATTTAAATATTTTCTCAATCGAATTGTGTTTAATTTCTCATCGAATCCGTTTTATTTTTATTTACTTTAACATATTTTTTATTATCGCTCGCTTTTTTCTTTTAATAAAACATAATGTTTTGAAATTTTTTACAGATGAAGACAAGATCGAGAGTGTTGTCAGATATAACTGAAACTGCTCTAGAAGTCAATAACAAAGAACCAGAAGTCCCTAACATGGAACCAAATTCGCTCGACACTTCAGATCCAGATAGTCCAATTTACTCGCCAACTCAGCAAAAAAATTTTTCTCCACAGTCCTCACAAACAACAAAATCAACGCCAATTCCTAAACCTTCGTACGCCCAATTTGTAAGTTGTTATCATCAAAAATTGGCCTGTTCGACTCCAGAAATGGTTTCAATTAGAAAAATATGCGCAATGAAGTCTTTATAAAGTACTTCCTAAGTTTAAAGCTTGTTGATTATTTGGTTCCAATCAGGGCTGTGCGGCAATGGAATTGCCGATTGCCGAAATTGCCGGTTTTTCAAATTGCCGAAGAAAATTTCGATCGGTAATTTGCCATTAGCCGAATCGCCGAAATTTCCGATTGCCGTACAGCCTTCGTACCAATATCATTCAGTGGCATTTATCTTTTTAAGTGGGGCTCTAGTACAGAAGTCGCCAGACGCCGACTATATAAAGATCCTATACTTTATTGCAAATATCTATATTACAGATGCTCTTATCCATGGCTTTGGGCAACAACCGACAAATGACTTCAAAGCGAAAGCATTACGCATGGTTCGAGAAGTCATGGATAATCTTCTGTAAGATTTTGAACTATGACTATTAATTTATTTATTTGATTAAGCGATAGAATGCGCCAACGACTTCAAAGGAAATTTGGTGTAGCGCCGGAAGCGCTCGCGGCGCAATTAAGGAAGCTGCTTGATTCTACCAGCAACCCTCAGATGTGAGTATTCATATGTCTTTGAAATTTTAACCAAAATGCCTTTTTGCTTCAAATTTTGGAGTTGTTCTTTCTTCCGCCAATTCACTTTTTATTTTGTGCACTAAAGGGTTTCCAAAAATGCAATAAAAATAAATTATTTTTATTTTTAAGAAAATTATTGATGTAAAAAAACTGATTGTATTTTCTCGAAAAATTTAGTTTACGTAACAATGGTTTACAAGTTTTTCAAATTAATAGGCCCATTATAATCTACTTATTACAGCGTCCCGCTCGATGTCAGTACTGACAATGATTCGAATAGTTCGGCCAGTAACTAATGGTTTGATTATATCTTAATTGAAATTCATTTCACTGTTGTTTTTTTTTATTTTAAATTAAATAAATGTGTTAATATGAAATAAATTTTGAATACAGCAATCAAATTGTTTTCTTATTTTCCCATATGGAAGGCATACGGCTCATTCCATATACGAAACACGCGGTTCCGCAAAAAAATGCTTCCATTATGCTTCCATATAACTTGCATATAAGATTCCTATGATATCCACAGCCGTTCCACTATGCTTCCATTGTGCCTATGCCGCCGTTTATCTGTGATCGCTGCTTGCCGCAGTTCCATCGAAATGGGGTATTTGTGCGTGGTGAGGAAGTATGGCAAAAATTATGAAACAGTGTATAAAAACAATGAATCAAAATTTGAAACTTCGGACCCAAAGTTTTGGGACTTTTTGGAACTTTTGCAGAAAACGACATAGCACACTCGATAGGGAATTTCTTGATCTGTTTGTGTGCAAAATTAGAAAAAATTCCAAACCACTAAGTAAAAACACCTCCCTTGTCAGAAGCACAATTGTAATAAATTAATTAAATTTTTATCGATATTTTTTTATATTGCATTTTCTATTGTATGACTAAATATTATACATATCATTCCGCCGACAAAATGTTTATAAAGAACAATTTATTACATCGCGTTATTTTTGTGCAGGAATTCCGCACGCGTATCCTCTAATCGATCTTCCAATACTGCGAGCATTTTTCACGTACGTACATCTGGAAACAATTGAAGATTAAAAAAAAGGAAAATTGTAGAAGAAAACCTTGCATCATCCATATATCCAGCAATCCAAAGTCCATGCGCATCATTGAGGTCATTGCCAACAAAAAGATAAACGCATTCTTGTTTTTCGGCATTATAATCCGGCTGACCGTTTCGGAATGTGAATCCGTCGAATCCGACCGCGTTGTTGTCTGTCCAAACGAACGCATTCTTGTTTCCGCGCTGGCATTCCTTCTTCGTCTTCCACTTCCTTCCCAAGCATTCGGAACGACGTCTGGCGCCAAGCCAAATTCCGCCAGACGAATATCCGTTCGCTTTGATCACTTCACCTCCCTTTTCTGCAGAAAATCGCGTTTTGACGAGACATTCGCGTTGCTATACGTGTTAGGAAATTGCGCTCAGCGAGCGTTTCAACACTCGCCAGACTTCCTCCGAATTTTTGGCATTTCAGCTCAGCCTCGTTGTAATCGACGATTCCGGCGAACACCGTCGCACAATAGGGACCCTTTTGTCTAGCGAAGTACATCCATCCGTGTGGGCATCCATTCTCGTCGATTCGCTGAATTCGAATTCGATTAATATTTTTGATATTCGACCTACTACTTGATTATCATCATAATCATCCCATTCGCAAGCATCATCAGCATAATGGCATTCAGCGGAAAATACGAAAATCAAAAAAATCGAAACGATTCGTTTCATCATTTCGATTCGAATAATATTCAAAATACATTATGCATGCTTTTATATTGTTTTTGTTCTTTGATATAAAACGTTTACGGCATTTTAAACGGTAGACGGCGTCTCGATAAAATTGCGACGCCGATTTACAAGCGGAAGTTGCTTTTCAATAGAGCAAAAATCGAAAAATCACAGTTTACAGGGGTTCTGTTGAAAAAATCAATTGATTTCATGATATTTTACTACTTGAAAAAATTGGATTTCTCATTTTCTTTGTCCCAATGTTCTGGACAAAAAAAACTGATGATCGAATCGTTGAGTAGTTTAGATGGCACATTATTCACATAAAAACCAGCACTTTTGCGCCGATTTACGGACAGTTTGATTCGTAGGTTAGCCAGAGTACGATAGTTATTGTATCGTCTTAAATCAAATGTTTATATTTTCAGGATGTCAGAATTGCCGCGTTTTCGATGAAATAAATAAAACTTCTCCGAAGCAAAATTGTGATTTTTAAGGATGGTCTGGCGAATTGTCAGTCCGTATAAATGAAGTAGCCGTTATTTCAGAGTCGTATTTATTATCCCGCTCTTTCGAGGGGATTCCAAAAATTAATTGTATACTCATTATGTGTCCCTTTGCACGGAAATCTTTAGTAAAAGGCGAAAGATTTTCACGGTCAAATGCAAAGGAACCAGAGTTGACTCGAATGACGATGCACGGACACTTATACACAACCAACAGCCGACAACTTACGGGTTTCGCACCTATCTATGGTTAGCGTGCTCATTTCTCCATGTTACTTTTCAATAGAATTATTGGGTTTCCATTTGAGTGGCAAATCCGCCCTATCGTTTTCTCAAAACATAATGTCAACATGTTTGTTCTTTCCTCTCGCCAGACGCTCGTTTTTCTTCTCGGCACTAATGCGCAACCGGCGGCGATTTCCAACGTGGTTCCATCACAGATAAACGGCGGCATAGGCACAATGGAAGCATAGTGGAACGGCTGTCTCGTATATGGAATGAGCCGTATGCCTTCCATATGGGAAAATAAGAAAACAATTTGATTGCTGTATTCAAAATTTATTTCATATTAACACATTTATTTAATTTAAAATAAAAAAAAAACAACAATGTAATGAATTTCAATTAAGATATAATCAAACCATTAGTTACTGGCAACTGCCGAACTATTCGAATCATTGTCAGTACTGACATCGAGCGGGACGCTGTAATAAGTAGATTATAATGGGCCTATTAATTTGAAAAACTTGTAAACCATTGTTACGTAAACTAAATTTTTCGAGAAAATACAATCAGTTTTTTTACATCAATAATTTTCTTAAAAATAAAAATAATTTATTTTTATTGCATTTTTGGAAACCCTTTAGTGCACAAAATAAAAAGTGAATTGGCGGAAGAAAGAACAACTCCAAAATTTGAAGCAAAAAGGCATTTTGGTTAAAATTTCAAAGACATATGAATACTCACATCTGAGGGTTGCTGGTAGAATCAAGCAGCTTCCTTAATTGCGCCGCGAGCGCTTCCGGCGCTACACCAAATTTCCTTTGAAGTCGTTGGCGCATTCTATCGCTTAATCAAATAAATAAATTAATAGTCATAGTTCAAAATCTTACAGAAGATTATCCATGACTTCTCGAACCATGCGTAATGCTTTCGCTTTGAAGTCATTTGTCGGTTGTTGCCCAAAGCCATGGATAAGAGCATCTGTAATATAGATATTTGCAATAAAGTATAGGATCTTTATATAGTCGGCGTCTGGCGACTTCTGTACTAGAGCCCCACTTAAAAAGATAAATGCCACTGAATGATATTGGTACGAAGGCTGTACGGCAATCGGTAATTTCGGCGATTCGGCTAATGGCAAATTACCGATCGAAATTTTCTTCGGCAATTTGAAAAACCGGCAATTTCGGCAATCGGCAATTCCATTGCCGCACAGCCCTGATTGGAACCAAATAATCAACAAGCTTTAAACTTAGGAAGTACTTTATAAAGACTTCATTGCGCATATTTTTCTAATTGAAACCATTTCTGGAGTCGAACAGGCCAATTTTTGATGATAACAACTTACAAATTGCGCGTACGAAGGTTTAGGAATTGGCGTTGATTTTGTTGTTTGTGAGGACTGTGGAGAAAAATTTTTTTGCTGAGTTGGCGAGTAAATTGGACTATCTGGATCTGAAGTGTCGAGCGAATTTGGTTCCATGTTAGGGACTTCTGGTTCTTTGTTATTGACTTCTAGAGCAGTTTCAGTTATATCTGACAACACTCTCGATCTTGTCTTCATCTGTAAAAAATTTCAAAACATTATGTTTTATTAAAAGAAAAAAGCGAGCGATAATAAAAAATATGTTAAAGTAAATAAAAATAAAACGGATTCGATGAGAAATTAAACACAATTCGATTGAGAAAATATTTAAATTCGATTTTAAAAGTGTCGGAAACGATTTGAAAACATCGTATCGATTTTAAAATTTTCGAATGCTATCAATTTATTTTTGGTTTCGATTTTGATGATAAATATGAAAATTTTTCCTTTATTTTTTAAAAACATTTTTCCTTTAATTTTGAAAAAAATTCTTTAATTTTTGACAAAAAAAAACACAAAAAATCTTGAAAATTCATTGAGAAAAAGCAAAAGGACAAAAATTTTGAAAACGAATTTCGAAAATGTGAGGCGTGGCCGCATTGTGCAAAGCGGCGCACGGTTTTGCAATGCTGCGGCACGCCTCTTCTACGCGCGTCTGCTACCAGTTTGGAGCAAATTGTGAGTAGTTTGCGATGCCAATTTCGGAAAAACCGGCAAAAATATATTAATACGACTAAATTGTAGTTGGCAATCTTTAAACAAAGTGAGGAACAGTTGACTGAATTAACATAAATCTGAGTAACATAAGTCATTAAATGGTAGAAGCTAAATTTCGTCCGTTGTGTATCATGTAATTTTCAAATTTTCATTGTTTATATGATAGCATAAGTTTTTTGTATTGATTTTTCTAGAAATTGTCTTGGTCTGCCGTCCAGACGCCAATTGTATAATGTTTATTGACATATGATTATTTTATCCATATTCCATCCATATTTGTTCCACGGCTCGCAAACACCGGAAGCATATTCATCCCGTTTTCATTCCATCCATATTCGTCCCATAATTCTTCCACAGCCACTAAGAATTACATTATGCTTCCTATATGGAAGCATTATGCTTCCGTTCCACAGATTTCCCACAATGCTTCCATTATGCTTGCGTCGCGCTTAATCAGTGATCGCTGCTTGCCGCAGTTCCATCGAAATGGGGTATTTGTGCGTGGTGAGGAAGTATGGCAAAAATTATGAAACAGTGTATAAAAACAATGAATCAATATTTGAAACTTCGGACCCAAAGTTTTGGGACTTTTTGGAACTTTTGCAGAAAACGACATAGCACACTCGATAGGGAATTTCTTGATCTGTTTGTGTGCAAAATTAGAAAAAATTCCAAACCACTAAGTAAAAACACCTCCCTTGTGAGAGAAAAGAGAAAAAATCGTATGCACAAATGATAGATAGGTGCGAAACCCGTAAGTTGTCGGCTGTTGGATGTGTATAGGTGTCCGTGCATCGGCATTCGAGTCAACTCTGGTTCCTTTGCATTTGACCGTGAAAATCTTTCGCCTTTTACTAAAGATTTCCGTGCAAAGGGACACATAATGAGTATACAATTAATTTTTGGTATCCCCTCGAAAGAGCGGGATAATACATATTTTCGATGAAATGCGCTTTGGGCAAATTGGTCTAGGCGGTAAACATATTTTTTATTCAAAAATTTTCTTGTAAATTATTTCTAGAAGAATGTCGTCAAATTGACGTGACATATTGTCGGCGTCAAACGACTTGATGGGGGCGTGGCCTTCAGTATATCGTAACCAGTGTAGATTTACGAGCGGGTAGATTTACGCGCTGACCAAATATTAAATGGTTTTTTTTTCGATTTTTTAATATTAAAAAAATGTTATGCGTGTTTTAATCCTGATAGCCATTGTCATTTGCATTCTTATAATGAGTCGACCTCCATATATACGTACAAGTTCACGGAACTAACGGCATTTACTTAAACAAACGAGAGAATCGTACATTTATCGAATATTTTAAGAGCACCACAACAATGTTTTATTTACCTTAAAAATAGTATGAAAATTATTGTTCAAAGGGGAAAGTCATCCGATTAATTGAGAATTCTCGAAATGCACCAAGACGCCGCACAATTGAAACTTATGACCGAAAGCCAAACGAGAAAACTAGTAATAACTTCACATTGAATAGAAAATTAAAAAGAAAACTGAGTCTACAAAGCTTAAAAAAATGATAACGTACTTTTCGGAAGAAGCTTGAAGTCATTGAGTATATTTTTTCCTTTCCGTAGTATTGATGAAGCTGTGAAGTACCGAGGCGAGCATATATATATGAGCTATAGCTCAGAATTTTGTGTCCGTTGGAGGTTGTCTTCGAGGTTGCGCGAAGGGTTCAATATTTGATGCCATTGTAGTCGCTGCAACTATAATGATAAAATAATGACAATTTTAAATAAAAATAAAATAATACCCGTCTTGTTAACTTCAGTAGTTTTCAAAGTCCTTCGGCTCCTGTTCAATGTGATTGTGTTTCCTAAAATGTACTAAAAATTAAGAAACGGAAAATGAAGAAGAATAAGTTTTTACAATGTCAAATTAATTAAAAAATGCCTTTAAATATATTAAAATTTTAAACTATAAATCAGCGATTATAAAAATGTAAGATAAACCGTAAAAATAAAATAAATTGGCTAATAAAAAAAGAGACACAGAAAAATTCTCAAAAAATAACGCGCCCAAAAACACGCTGCGCAAAAACACGCTGCAAAGTGTATGCCATATACACTTCTCTTCACCTCGAGAAATCTGGCAATTAGCCAATATTTTTTAAAATTTCGTCAAGTCGTTTGACGCCGACAATATTTACCGCAAAAAAACGACTGAATGAAATTAAAATAAAATATTGGCTTCGTGCCAAGTGTCTGCTATTCAGCATTTTAGCGAACGCGCATTTAATTCAATGTATTTCGCTAAAAAAAAACGATTTAAGTAATAATATTTCAGCGCAAAACAAAATGATAATTTATTTAAAAAATATCGAAATTTATGCTATTATTTATTTTTTTCCTACGTCGAGCTTCAAGTCTCGTGTGCCGAGCAAAATCATTCGAAAATTTGCGCTATGCTATTAATAGCTTCTATCGTCTTCTAGAGTATTTAACAAAAATTATAGATAAGAATTGGTTTGTTGTGAGAAATGAATTGCAATTTTCGCAATTATGACGGCGGTTTTCCACACGCATACGCTTGAATACTTCTTCCCGGCGATTTCAGATTCCTCATTGTATAACAGCTGAAAATGAGAGAAGTGTGATAAAAGAACGAAGAGAACACACTAATTATCATCAAACGATCCATGCTTCCATTCGCCATACTCGTCTGTCGGATTCCCAAATATCATGTAGACACATCCATCAGTCGATCTGAAATGAAAAATCGAGGGGGTGATTCGTCTTGAAATTGATTACGCAATATCCGGTTGCCCTTGGGCCCACACTATCTGCTCCTTGCCGCCCGTTGACATATCGATCCAACGCATCCGATCGATACAAAGCGGATCTTCTTCCGCCTCGCAGCGAATACCTCCAATCCAGATTCCACCCGTCAATTTTCCACTCAATTCAGCCGCTTTTGCTGTAATATTTTTCGACAATTCTCATTCTCTTCGTTTTTTTTGATTACTCAATATATAATTTTTAATTTCTTCTGTTTTGATTGACGTCAAATTCGAATTCCAAAATTCACAAGAACGTTGCGCATTGTATTGTTTTTGTGGAGATCCAATCACCTCAAAAATTAACAATCGCCTTCTAATTATCCAAAATTAAATTAATTACATTGATACACCATTTCTCGATTCCATTGCCGATAAGCTCGAAATCGTCCCCACAACTTGAGGTCTAAATTGGTGTATAAATGGAAAATCGAATAATAGAGAGACTATTCATGTAATGAAAAAAATTAAAAAAAAATCAATTTTTTTTATTTAAACTCCATATGCACGTCGAAAATTCCAAAAAATTTACGCGATATATCGTAATTCTCCGCTATTTATTTTTAAAGGCGCACACGAAAAGCTGTGCAGGTCACGTCGCGAAGGCGGTACTGTAATTTTTTTGGCTGTTTTTTCGAATTTTCAATTTTTTGAGCGTTTTTAAACCTTTTTTTGGAAATCTGTAAAAGTATTTTGTTTAATCGACATTAAAGATTCATATGAAGCGTCATCGAGCAAAGTCTGCATCAAATTAACACAAATATCACAAATTTTCATATTAATTGGCATCTGAATGACGAAAAATAGACATATATTGTCGAATTGGGAGCACTTATAACAATAATTTTTTTTCCACGTTCTTCAATCCGTTACTCATTTCCTCGTCAAAGTTTTTGAAAAATACGAAAAATTAGCACACAGAATGAAAAATAAAAATACAGTACCGCCTTCGCGACGTAACCCGCACAACTTTTCACGTGCGTCTTTAAAAAATCAATAGCGGAGAATTACGATATATCGCGTCAATTTTTTGGAATTTTCGACGTGCGTGCGTAGGGAATTCAAATGAAAAAAAATTAATTTTTTTCATTGCATGAATAGGTCCATTATTGAATTGTTACCTCCGCAAAATGAAAAAATGCGAAAATTGATAGAATTGAAAATCGTATCATTTTGGGCGAATTGATGAACTGCAAATTGGTTTAAAAGAAAATAAAATGTTAATTGTGAGTTGTTCATTTTTATTTGCAGAGAAAAAACATTTTCGAATTTCGAAAACTCTTCAAATGCTTTGAAAAACCAATGATTTCGGGTTTTGTCTTTTCAAATTTCAAACAAAAATTTTTTGATGTTCGAACATCAAGAAAGTTCCATCAAAATTATGATGATGCAGAAAACGCAAAAAATTTAAAAAAAAATTGAAATTTGCTCTTTTCTTTTTAATTTTCTCTGCATTAGAAAACATGAGCTGATGAGTTCGCCTGCATATCTATTAATTACTTTTATTTTTTGCAATATTAACTCAAACTTTCGTTTTTGGCTGAAAAATCGAATATTTTTTTGAAGATTCAAAAAATCATAGAAATTTTTGAAGAAATCTGAAACAACATCTACACAAAAAAAGGATAAATTATAGCGAATGTGGCAAAAAAAAAAACAATGGACTCGTCAAAAAAAAACCTTCGATTTACTTTTTGTGTGCTCTCTAATCTTTTGCAGAAATGTGTTGCGACCATAAATTCTTCGTATAATTTGTGTCCTCAAAAACAAAAATTTTTCGCTGCAAGACCTTGTAGTTCAAATTACCGCAATGCGTCAAGGGGGTTTCGGTTGCCGCTTTTGTTTGGAATTCGAATATATGTTAGATAGGTTTCGCTTCGAATTTCGATTCGCAACTATGGAAAACCATTTTCAAATTCGTCTGAATTGACGATTTATCGAATTTTCCAAGTTTTGATCGATTTTCTGGTCAGAGTTCAAAAAAGCAGAAAAGAAAATTAGAAACGATGCTGTTAGTAGCACATTATACTACAGCATACTAAATCTTGCAATTTAATTTGCTAAATTTTAAATTTTCCTTTATATTTAAAAAAATTTTTACAAAGAAACTTCATCGGTTAATAATCATGCATATTCAACAATATTAATTATTATAATTATTATAACCAATGTAACAAAGGCACATGAAACCATAAAGCACCAATAAAGCTGCAAGCGCGAAATGACAGAATAAATTGATTCAAATTGATTTCTCCAAATTTTCGCAGTGTATTCTTGCAATTCGGAGAATGTGAGCTTCGGATGATTTGAGTCGAGCGATATCGCCCGCGTATCCAATCAGGGCTAGCGTTTTCGGGTCTCGTGGTGAATTTTCGTACGATTTTTCGAGAATCATAAGGCGATTTCGAATGAATTCCAGACCTTTTTTACGACTTTCAATCGATTTGATATTCTGGAAATGACAAAGCTGAACAAATAGTAACAAAAATTCGATTTCAGACCTCTTTGTTCGGATTCGCCGTGACAAAAATTGAAGCAAATACTTGAATATCTTCCGAAAATGGTTTCTTCGGATACTGAAAAGAAATCCATTTTTTTGAAAAACTAATCCACCAAGGCTTACGTTGATTATAACGAAGTGGAACACATTTCCAGTACAGCATACATCGGGCGCCAATTCTCCAATTAATTTTCGCTTCGCTTCAAGATCTTTGTCAGACTTTGGAATTCCTTAATAAGAAATGTTGAGGGGAAATTTACAAATGTAACAAGAATATTACCGATTTTAAGCTTATAAATGTCAAATGTGTTGTGGCTGGCTGGCACGAATCCATTATGCAGCAGATGTTCCCCATGGCTTCGTTTTCCGTAGAAAATTGTAACTGCGTCGCCTGGATTCACATCGGAATGGCACGTGACGAGAGCACAGTTCTCGTCCGGCGAGAAACATACCAAATCCTCTGGTTGATCATCGATTTCAAGGGTTTCATGATTTGCCATATCAAGCACTGGTATCAATGCTGGCGTCTGAAATCAGTTCATTGACAAATATCCGATAATTAGTTCAGAAATACCATGATAACTTCTCCTTTTTCAGTTTTCTCCGTTTCGCTGGGAACCATGTTGACTCTCGTTGTAACTACGCCACATGCCCACCTAAAATTATTATTTTTTAATATTTTTTTTAGTTATGAAAACCAATATTATTTTTTAACAAATTTGAAATGCTTATTAAAACCTGATATTATACAAATTTCGCGATATTATACAAAGAAGCGGGAAAGAATTTGAGAAATTTGAAAGGAGTACCAATTAATTTGACTCGTGCCATTAAAAAAAAAATAATAAAACACTCTTTCACGATAGGAGGGGTTGAATTAAGAAAATCTCGCTCCTACCAAAGAAAGAATTTTCCGTACCTAAGGCGGTTATTCAAATGATAAATCAATCGCATCCAAAATTCATCTGTCATTGACTATATAGGACATTTGTAATTTTAAAAGTTTGCAGCTTCGGATTGAAATATATAAAAAACCGAAAATCGCGATTTTCTGAATTTGATTTGAATTTCCAAATTAGTGTTACTACGCTGGACCATAAAAAGAAAACAAAAATTTCTTGAAACGAAAGTTATTGAATAGTTTCGATATGGAAATCATTTAGTATTTGGTCAAACTTGAAATTCGTCTTTGGCCGGGCAGAACAATTAAAAATAGGATTAATGTCCTGTTATTAATCCTATTTTTAATTGATGGCCGAACTTTCTACTAAATATGTGCTAGTCCACGACCATCAAACTCGTCGTGCAAAACGGGGTTTTCTTTTCGCTTTCAGCGAATGTATTATCAATTTTGGCAGAAGCAATGCCGAAAAAAATAGAACAAATTTGTTGTTTTTCTCATAACTTGCGTATTTCACGAAAACCAACGAAAACCACTGTTTTGCCGCATGAGTTTGGCGAGAATTCTGGTAAATCAAAACCAAACGAATCCGACAAAATTCGGCTCCGGAATCAACCTGATCCGATTGGTAATTCTACGGATAAGATTGGTTTTTTGTCGAATCCGATTCGAATTGAAATATTAAAACAAAACGGATTCGAATAATTTCCAATCGGATTCGAAGAAAATCTAATCGGATTAGACAAATTACCAATCGGATACGAAAATACCCAAAAAACCAATCGGAAACGACAATTTTACAATCTTATCCGCAGAATTTCCAATCGGATAAGGTTAATTCTAGAGCCGAATTTTGTCGAATACGATTGGTTTTGATTTACCAGAGAAAGAGAAAAAATCTTACATGTACAATCCTAATGTGAAATTGGAAACATTGAATGGTGTGTTGTACAATGGCGGCGGAGCGATGCTACTGTCCCCTTTCGTCTAGAATTCTTTTCATTTAATTCAGTTTTGAATCGGAATTCCTCACTTTTTGCAAATTCTCGAACGCGCGATTCTTCGAGATTGAAATCAAAAAATAGGCGAATTGGCGACAAATTGTTCTATAAAACATCAAAGTTTCCTCGAAAATTGGCGAAGGCTTCAATTGCAGCAGCTGCTCTTCTGTATAGAATATAGGAGTTGTGAAGGTGTTGGGAAGCACTGAAATGTAAGCGTGCCACTTAGATTGCTCTTTATTGATCCATTGAGTAGCCAAGAAAAGAGCAAGTCCTACATTTCCCATTCCGCCAATTAATGGGTCCTGCTCGAAAGCCTTTCTAAATAATATCGATATATGTGTGTTGCGGCGCTTTTTTTTTTAAAGAAATTACTTCATAATCGACGATTTCTTCGCTAAATCCAAGCTGAGCATTGCATGCCTCGGCACTTTCACAGCAATGTGGTCCTTCGGAATACTGCCAGAAGCTCGAAGCTCCAACCCATGCACTTTGCTCTCAACGATGTCGACGTTGTTTCGAGCGATTCCGATTTGATCGGCCCATGTCAAAAAAGCTTTGATAGCCTCTGGAGAACGCCTGCAAACATGAAACGTTAAATAAAAAATAATTTTGAAAAAACTGGTTCCAACTTTCAAGGAGAAAAATTCGCACTCATCGAACATGATTAAGTTTCGCTATGTTCGGAAAAAAAAACGCGATTTTCCGATTTTCTTTTGGTGCACTTACGTCTGCTGCGCCAATCTTTTGTTCGTGTCTCCAATTTTATTCTGCAACTCGGCGACTTCTGTCATAATTTTACGTATTTCCACATTTTCCTTCCATAATTCGATGATATTTTGTGGTGGTTGGCGACTCAAAACGTTTTCGAACAATGTTCCCACTTCTGAAATAATTTTTTTTGAAAAACTTTGCGAAAAAAAAGAGCGGACAAACTTCGAATCACATCTTCCTCAATTTGCACTTGCGACTTCTCTTTTTGTGTCATTGTTTATACCCGAGTTTCAGGCGAATTATCTGAAAATATGGCAATCGATAGAGATACGCGAAGATGAATGAACACAAATAAATGAGGTGTATTGTGTGCATAGAGATTCCCCCGGTTGCCCTTCATATTATTACACACGGCCCGGCCGCCTTCGCACTACATCGGAGAATGAGGAGAGATTCGCGAAGATTTTTGAGAAGCTAACAATCTGGTTCACAAAAATTATTACAAAGAGAGTATAATTGGATGATGTGGATGTTGTTTCCGACTCTAAATATATAATTTGACAAAAAAAAAGCGGATAACAAAAGAACATAAATTTTAAAATTATAATTATTTTGAAGAACGTTAGATGGTAAGCAGATGCAATAAACATTACTTCTTCATGTTCGCCCGATGCGGCCGATAAACAATACACAATTGTTCACATCATAAAAAAAAAACAATATAAAGGTTCTACTAAACTTTTTCAATCAAACTACTATTAATAATTAAAAACTAACTTCAAAGCTTAGAAGAGAGAGCCTTCCGTTTTTATATTTAAAAAAATGCTCAGTATGTCAATCAATTTTTGGGCAATTTTGTGACAGCTGTTGCTATTGCAAAAATATAAACGTTTTTTTTTATATTTCATTAGTTCCCCCTTTTTCCGCTATTTATTTGTTACTTTTTATAAAGCTGGAAAATATTTATTAAGCTGATGTGCAGATTTTGGGAAAAAAACTGGTTTAAAATAATTTTCTGCACAACATGCATTGCGGATTTAAGCAGTTTTTAATGATTTTTTACAGATTTTTTAAAAGTTTTTTTGGGGAAATCTACATATCACTAATATAAAATTAAATTCAAAATTAAAAATGTGCGAGTTGTCGTATTTCACGTACTTTCCGCAAACACCATTGTCTACCGTATCGTCATTTTTTTCCAATTTTTTTTTTCATTTTTTTTTCAGTTTTCTCTCAATTTTTCTTCTCTATTTATGTTTAGCTGAGTTTGTTTATTGTGGCAATCGATAGTTTAAAGGTTTGAAAAGTTTCAAATTGTGATTATCGTTGTAAAATCAACATTTTAGATTAAAAAAAATGATTCATCGATCAGTTTTTTTGTGTTCATCAACAGCGAATGCAGGTTGAGATCTCATCGAAAAAGTTAAAATTGTCAAAATTCAGCATGGCGACGAGGCTGCTCAGTTTACATGACAACAACAATTAGATGCCTTTCTTCAAACAATGATGAAGAAGGCGAACAGATGTCAAAAAGAAAATTGAAAAGGTTGTTCAAGGTGATAACGTCGAAATGATTCCCTGAATAAACGTGTTTGTTTAGGTAGCACAACTATCAAAGAAGTCGAGATCGTATGAAAATGATAAAATTGACAAATTAAGCGCTATGGCGGAGTTTGGATTAAAGTAAGTATTCATTAATGTCAAATTCTTCAATTCCAAATTTTACAAGAGAAATTGATCTTGCGGATTTACCAAGTCACAGTCGGCCGATAATAAGCCATTCACATCAGGAAATGAGCAAAAACAAAACTTTGCAACTGTATGCGTTGACTGATGTCTATCACAAAGCCTTAAAAGTGCATGGAAGTACTGAGGCACTGGAAGCTCATCGACGTCCTCTTGTTGCGATGCGAAAAGAACTGACCGATGCTGAGAGAATGCGAATGCGGATGCGAATTGAAACGACAAATCAGCACAAAGGAGCCGATCGAGTTGTCGCGATCGCTTTTACTTTGAATTTCTGCGATATGGCAATGAAATTCACGGCCGCCTATCTGACAGGCTCGAAATCTTTGTTCGCTGAAGCGATCCACAGTGCGATGGATACCTGCAATCAGTTGATTTTGCTGCTTGGAATTCGGTATTCTGCAAAAAATCCCGACAATTTGTTCCCATACGGTTATGGTAAGTATGTTGGATTGTAAAATTGAATACAAATAAATTAAATAATTTAGGTAATATGCGATATGTGACTTCTTTAATCTCCGGTTGCGGTATTATGGCATTTGGATGTGGATTATCAATGTATCACGGAATAAGCGGACTTCTGCATCCGGAACCGCTTGAACCGTTGACTTATGTTAGTTGATTTTTTAAATTAAGGACAATTATAGTCGGCGTCCGGCGACTGCTGTACGCGGGTAGATTTACGGGAATGCGTCTTTCGAAATGGTCTCGCACGGACTAACAGGATATTTCGCATTTTATGAGACGGTTCGATAATTTTTAAATCGAACGACGTTGGAAATTCCAAGAAATGCGAAACTCGTCAAGAAAAAATAAATCGTTCACGTGAAAACAGCAAAATAAGCGTTCATGAGTGGCGAGATCTTTTCAAGGCGCATGCGCGTAAATCTACCCGCGTACAGCAGTCGCCGGACGCCGACTATATACTTTTAAAGTATAGAAACTAATAAAACAAAAAAATGCATTGGATAAAAATCTCACACTACAAAAAAAAATGCTGAAACCATGGAAACATGGCTGCAGTGTTTATCTACTAGAAGAACTCATTTATTTTATTTTTCAGGCTTATTACGCATTATTCATGTCGCTTTGTTTCCAAGGAACTTCGGCAATTACTGCTTATCGAGAGGCAATCTCAAAAGCGAAAAAAGCGAAAGTTGGCCTTTGGAATTACAGTAATTCACGAAATGTGCATTTTTATATTTATTTTTCGAATTTCAGTCCGAACTTCGGCTGATCCATCGCTCAATGTAGTTCTTCTTGAAGACACAGCTGCTGTTTGTGGAGTTGGAATCGCTTTAACTGCCATTTCGCTCTCTTCATTTTTGAATTCGCCGATTCCAGATTGTTGTGGCTCAATTTTCATCGGAGCTCTTTTAGGTACATTTTTAAATATTTATATTCAGTAAAATTAATCGAATATTTTAGGAACTGTTGCCTCATTTATCATTCGAACGAATGCTGCGCATTTAGTTGGGCGAAGTTTGCCACAAAGGATAACCGATGATATAGTAGCTCGATTGAACAATGACCCAATGATCAGGTAACAATTATGAAATCTTCATTTAAGCACGAACCCGTAAGAATAACAGTTGAGCAAATTAAATCAAATAATAAATTATGGTTTTGTGATTTATTGCAGATCTGTGCATGACGTGAAGGCGACGTGTCTCGGTGTTGAACAGAGTCGATTCAAAGCTGAACTTGATTTCGACGGACGAATGATCACTCGAGCTTATTTAGAGGAGAATGTGCATCTTCCCGCGTTGTTGAAGGTGAATCTGAAACCTATTATCATAGGATAACATTTTTAAATTCAATATTATGCTACCAAGGGATTTTTCTTTTTTTTTTCTTGTGCAAATTTATTTTTTCAGGAGGTCAAACACATCGAAGACGAAGAACAGCTTGAAATGTTCATGGAATTGCACGGAGAAAAGATAATTGACCGTTTGGGCGATGAAATCGACCGCATCGAATCGGAAATAACCAAGAAACATCCCGACATCCGGCATGTCGACCTCGAAGCTCTCTAGTAATTCAATTCGATTCCTGTGCTAAACAATACTACTGGTTACTTTTGCCTCCTAGTTCGGTGATTTTTACGCATGTATAGTATTATTATTATTATTTCTAGTTTGAATAAATAATTTCGTTTTTTTTTACCTGTGATTCAGGATGCTGTCGGTTGTTCGACGACCACTTCGACGACATTCTCCTCGGCCGCTTTTTGTCGTTCAGTTTCGCGTAGATTTTTATAGAAACGATGCATTCGATATTTGCGAATCATGCAACGAATGAATCTACAAAATGGGATGAATAGGGACTGAAATACACCGGTTCGATGAATATACCCATTGATTGTGACCGAAATGAAGAAAAGCAGAAGAACGAGAGCCGTTCCGACGCCGACTGTCGGATCGTAGTCGCGATAGAAATCGGAGGCGTTTTTTGCAGGACGCACCTAAACACATTTTCGTAGGTCTTCAATAATATTTCTGATTCAAGCATTTTCATTAATGGCAAGAAATTTGCAAACAATTCAAATTTTGTTGTAATTCCCACTTGAAAATTTTCAGAATTAAAAAAATTGAAAATAATTCAATCGAAAAATTATATTCTAAACAATGGAATTTGCTTCGAAGAATTTCGAAAACAATTTTTTGCTTCAACTAAGGACCATTTTTTAAAAAGTAGAAAAGTCGCTTCAGTTTTGCATAACCCTTTTACCGCCCACGTTTTGCGCATTTTCAAACACATTTTCCTAAATTGAATAAAATGAAAAAGAAGAATTGATCGAGAAGCTCAAACTATTTGGATATGTTGATGAAACATATTTTATTTTGCTCGTTCGAAACTAGCCAATCGAAATGTTTTACCATTCATATTTGCCCCGGTTTTTCTAATCAAGTGTTGTACTAAACGGAATTCGTGTGCAAAATTTAGTTATCTAAAAAGTTTGCCGCCGCCAAATAATTTGTTATCATCATCGATTTGCTCTTCTTCTGCTTTCATCGATTATCAATGCAATTAAACGTGGTTTGGTTGATTGTATGCCAACAAGCAAATCAATCCAATTCTCACCTCCATAAAATCGCGTTTTTCGGCGCATAATGGATAGCAGTCGCGCGGCATCTGAAACTGCTCGAATTATTTGAATTTTCTTGAAATTTCAATGAACAAAAATGAGGCATTTGTCCTCTTCTTTTGTTTGACTCGAAATTCGAAGAAATCAAATTTGCGATGCGCTCACACATTGATTTCAAATTCGTTCTTATTTTCTTTCTCTCAATGTTTTGTTCTTTTTTCATGACCTACCTATTTCCAGAACCAAATGGGCCAATCGAGTTCCCGTATCCCTGAGCACGAGCTCGAGCAGCTCAGCATCGAGAGTGGATGTGAGTTGTCAGTTTATTGATCGGTTCAATTCGAGCCAAAATAATGTTTGTGGCGAATTTTCTAAAAAAAACCAAAAGGGCAATCGTTTCGAAGGGGAAAAAATGGATGGAAAGAAACCAAAGAAAAATGAATGAGATAGATGAAAAATGAAGAAAAATGGCGAAGAAGAAGGAGGAGGAAGAGCGCATTCATTGCTATTCATGCGCATTTCCGAACTTGTTTGATTCGTTCTTCCACCGTTAATTCTGTCAAAACTTTTCTTTCAAATAATGACAACTCTAAATATTTAGTTTTTAATCTACTCGACAAGTTCGAATTAATTCAAGAATAAAAACTGCGTTCAAATTGGCGCGGAAAAAAAATCGAAATTTTTTTTTGTTATAAAAGTATTTATTGGCGGGGATTAGCTATAAATGACGAATTCATTTCCGTTTTGAGATTCTATTTTTATACTTTCTTTTATTCTTAGAATATTGTTATGAATGCGATAATCAAAATTACGCATCAAGCGCAATCAATAGTGGGCGGAGCCGATTGATTACGGTAGTTTGAATGACCTAAAGAAAGACTGGCTAATAATATAAAATTGAGTAGTAATCGTTTTTGGGTTTTTGCAAAAAAAAAGATGAAAGAAATCAATTCAAGCTATAATGATTTCAGTGTCTCGAAAAGGCATCATAACTCTTTACAATCGATTCATTTCGTTGGCGACTCATCGCGATAAGACCACAAATGAATATTTTCTGACAAAGGATGATTTCCGGGTAAAAACCAAAAGGATATTGATTGAGATAAACGCGAAGAGCAACATTTTTCAGTCAATCACTGAGTTGAAACAGAATCCGCTTGGCGAGCGCATTATCGACGCATTTTTCGCCGACGCTGAGTGAGTATTTTCTTTTTCAAAAACAAAACTAGGCAAAAATTGATGAATAAAAATAAAATGATGCGAGACAATTGGGCTGAGAAAAAAAATGAAAATAATGGATAACAAATTTATTTAATTCGAAACCAATTTATTCTAGACACAATGAATGAGTGAATATTTCTTTATGGTGATCACACCCTCAAAAAAAAAAATAAGGCGCAAAATAAAAGTTTTTCTCACTTTCTTTCCTTTTCTACAAATTTTAGGGAATTTGAGAGATTAGATGCATATTTTGTTTTTCAAATCCTAGAAATTTCCTTTTTTCGAATATTTCCTGCTATTAGCCAAATTAGATGAAATGCTTTTCTATGAAAGGAATCCGCGAAAACAACAGATTTCTTATTCGTAGCTACGAACGGAATATGTTGAATAATATTTACTTCATTTTTTTTAAATATATTTATTGTCGGCGTCAAACGAGTGAAAATTGGCGAAATCAGTGTAGATTTAAATTTATCGTTGAATGAATATTAAATGCGCGTACACTATAATGCAATGTACGCAATCGTCTTGCGTACTTCTCACTGCCTCGAAACGCATTGGCACGGAGCCAATAATTTTCTAAAAATTCATCCAGCCGTTTGACTCCGACAATATATGACGACGCATTTTGATATTTTAATATCAAATTTATTTTTTCATCCTGCGAATCGGCAAATTTAGCCGAGAAAATTTGAAAAAAAAAAAAACAACTAACAGGGAAAACCCGCGATATTAAAATTGTGGAGTATGATTTTTTTTTTGAGACGAATTAAATAGGTATTGTATCGTGGAATTCGGAGAGAAAATACCAAATATTCGATGATTTACAACATTCTCAACACAACGAGAAAAAAATGGGCAAAAAATGGGAAGAAAGGAAGCAGCGCACGAAAAAAAACGTCAACGTTTACTGACAGGTTGTCTTCTCGCAAAATGAAACCAAAAAAAACCTTTCACAGTATTTGAACAACATATTCAGAATGTTTGAATTTTGAAAGGAATAATGCGAATGTACATTTTAACTTAAAATATCAGCAAAGATTTTGAAAGGATGTTTGTTTGAACGAGTTATTCGCAAATTTGTGATACAATTTCGAAAACAGCTTTCGACACGAGATATTCTTGAAATTGCTCACTGAATGTTGGAAATTAAAAGAAGGAGAAGAAGCGAGAAATGCGATGAACGGACCGATGCACAACAGCTGCGTTCTCTATCAAAAACGCGGCCGAGCCTCGTCGAGCATTGTTTGTGATAATATTCGAAGCGCGACTCGCGTTCTCTCTTCTTGCAAGTTGTCGAAACTCGTGGGAATTCGGCTCGGAGAGCCAATGGAGCAGCCATCACACCCCGATTATAAATGCTTCGACTTTTGGACACAATGAGTTGGCTGCCGGCGAAAAAAAGAGACGAAACGAAAAGGACCATTCGACGGGTTCTCTAATTGCATTTGGTATTAATTGGCTCAATGCAGTTGTCACAATCTGCAGTTTTTATGTGTCTACAGCTTCTCTTACTTCTTCTTCTTCTTCTTCTTCGTCTTCCATTCGGAAGACAACCAATCGCTTCTTATCTGCGCGAAAACAAATCAAGTAGTCAAGACGTGCATGTGTGCTTCTTGAAAATCATTGAGCAAAAGAGAGCAAAACAAAAGAAAAATGAGAAACGCAATATCGGATCTTCCGATTATTGATGATTCTCATTCTGTGTGTATATTCAGCAAAAAAATGAGAGAATGCTCAAGTGCGCCAAAAATTTTCGAGTTAAACGAAAAGAAAAACGATAAATTTTTCGCATGAATAATTCATTTTCAACTACGGGGGTGGGCAAACACATTTTCATCAAAGTGTAGCGTGTCAATTATGCGACTCCGTTGATGGAAGGACCCTCGTTTTGAAAAATGGCTTGATTAAAAATTGTGATGAAACGAATCGATTTTAGAGTCGTCGAGAGAAAACGCGTGTATTTCCGCGATTTCGTCAAAGTTCTCAGCCACTTCCGTCCGATCAACAAAAACAAACCGCATCCGTGGAATAGTCGCGAATCGAAACTTCGATGTAATACCAATTCTAATTGAATTCGATTTTCGTTGAAATTTTCAGTCGCGTTTACCATGTACGACCTCAACAAAAGCGGAACAATCACGAAGGACGAGTTTCAAGACATTTTGCAAATGATGATGGGACAGAACGTGCCAATTGAGCAGGTCATGTCGATTGCCGACCGTACGATGCGCGAGGCTGACAATGACAACGACGGATACATCACCTTCGAGGAATTCTGCAAGGTCAAATCGCTTCTCTACTCGATTATTCCTCTCATTTTCAGGTGATGGAGAAGACTGATATTGAGCAGAAAATGTCGTTCCGATTCCTCACATAATTTGTTTTGTAAATAAACATTTATTCTAACCAAAAAATTCTTCTAAAATGAGTACACGTGGAAATCATACAACATTCTGTCGTCGTAGAGTTTGAGTGGAAACCGTTGTTCGGTGTACACTTCTTGGCAAATGTCCAGTTCAACGAACACAAATCGCGGACTGGCAAATTGATAGTCTTTGGGCATTTTCAGCGGCATTCGAAACGTCATATCGTATCTCGTGAAATTGCGAGCAAGTTCGATTTGCCGTCGAAGTGCTCCAAGTGCAATGGTGTACCTTGGAACGAATGAAGAGGGATCTCGGCAAGAAAAATGTATACCGTAAAAATATCCTCGGCTTATTGTCTTTGGTATTGTGTGATTGATCGGCAGCATCCAAATGAACAAAGTTGATATTGTGAATGAATGAGCCGAGCCCGTCTGAAAATTTTGATTTTCTCTTTCTCACACGGTCACAAAAGTGTGCTTACACTTGTCAATCCCTAATGGATTCCTGACCATGATGTATCCGTCCTCACCAATCATATCTTCTTCTGTAACCTATAATTTCAATTTTTCTTTAATATTCGAACAAATCCCGTGAAACCTTCAAAGCTTCCTTTTGCAATTCTGTTAGATTCCATGCTGCTTTTTTATGGAATTCGAGAGCTCGCGATCCGCCAAGTGTGAAATCGGTAAGTTGTGAAAAATCGTTCTAATACCATTTTCAGTTTATCAAAATGGTTGTTATGATTGCTTTAAACCTCTCGCAATGCCCGTAAAACTTCGAAAAATACAGATTTGCCAGATTCAAGAAACTCTTGCTGGTGTTCGTGCATTCCGATTCCGCGAATCATTCCCATCGTAAAGAATGATTTCAGCGATTGTTTAACATCACCGAATATGCTGCTCTCAGGAATTGTCTTTGAGTTGATTACCAGCCTGCTATAACCAGGAACAATTGCGCACTGAAAGTTAATATCAATTAGTCAAATTTGGCTTCTCTGTTGATATTCGAATATATAAAAAGTAATGAGCAGCTTCAACTATGATTGTTTCGTTTTCTTTTTCAATTCAAGTAAAAAACCTTTCTGTAATGTTCGGGAGGAGTATCGCCACGCGAGATTGCAAAAGAAAGCTGATCATCCGGCAAAATATTGTTATCCCGAAACTTGTATCCTTCACTGAACTTCGATTCTATTTAATTTTATATTGAATCACTCACATCACAGTGGAAAATAATAACAATTTGGCGAATTTCTTCGCATTTGGCTTTGAGTTCGAGCCATCTGCTAAATATCTCTGAGCTACAAACCACTTTGGGTTCCTCAGCAAACTAGAACGTATTGGAAACATCCTGTAAATTTCCTATATATTTTTTAAAAACATTTTCCATCATTTCTTTCCAAGATTATCATATAACCATACGTCACCTTTTCAGATATGGTTGAAATTTGAGAATCATAAGCCGATTCTCGGAATTTGCGTCAAACCAGCTAATTGGGCCTATCGCAGATCAGGTAACATTACTGAATATTTGATTTTGAGCGCAAACAAAAACTCTCGCATATTCGGTATGCTTTTTGATTGTTATTATAGCAATAAGTTTTCGCTTTCATGGGTAGGTCATTCAATTATTCAATCTGGCTTCATTTTCTTTTTTGAATTGTCAAAGGTCGCAATCCTGTGGCGACAGTACCATGCGAAGTGTGCGGAGACAAGTCCTACGGAAGACACTACGGAATATGGGCATGCGATGGATGCAGCTGTTTCTTCAAACGAAGTGTTCGCAACAATATGCGATATTCTTGCATAGGTTAGTTATATTCTAGAACAAGCTTCTTCACATTCAAATTGCAAAGGTATAGCTGGCACTGGCGATTGTATTGTTAACAAAACCCGTCGAAATTGGTGTCCGGCGTGCCGTCTTGCAAAATGCACTCAACTCAATATGAATCGAGATGCCGTACAATCGGAAAGAGGACCTAGAAGAATCCGAAACGCGACAAAAAGAAGGCGACAGCGATTTGATAGCTCGGAAATGGCAGAGAGTGAAAAAGAGGATGGAAGAACATGTAAAATCAATCTATAATAAGCATTTCATAATTTTCAAAATCAATTCCAGATGATTCCCTATTTTCCGCAGCTCTAATTATCGCTTCAAAATCACAATTATTGTGTTTTATGACAGATTCTCAAAAACGCGAATTATTCGAGCGTCATTCGTCTAGTATCTTCGCATATTTTCTTGCAATCAATCCTGATAAATCAGTCCGAAAATTAGTTGTAAGTTTGAATTAATTCGAAAATTAAAATAATACCTAATACTTATTTTTAGCCTGGACTTGATGCTTTAGATGGTTTACAATTGGATTCTGAGGAAATTCGAATCGGCCTGAATCTTCTTATTACAAATTTAGGTATAATATAAATTTTGAAAGATTTCGTAAAAGGAAACGCTACAAATTGTCGTCACCGCGCGTTGGCAAAATTCCAAAAGTAAATTATGTCCGAGGTCTTTGCACAAAACTCAAAGTGTAGATTTACGGATAATTTTGCGCAGTCGCGCGACGTCGACAATTTGAGATTTAAATCTTAAAAAAAAAGAACAGAAAAATTGTAGGTTTCTCCCATCTGAATTTTGCGATTCCCCTTCAACCATTCTACCAAATGTGGTTGTTCCGTCATTCGCTTCTCAACACTTCGACAGAATCCGCGAATCGGCTTATAATTCTAATCAATCAAATAATCCGCACCCGCTATGGAAATATCGCCAAACTTCTTTCAAAACCGTTCGGCGATCTCATCAAGCAATTCATTTAAATATTTGGTAGTTCCAACCAAAAAATCGTCTTGAAAATCAACATTTTTTTGCAAAAAGAATGCTGAAATATATAATAAATCGTCGGCTAAATTTATGTTTCGATAAAACAGCTACACACAAAAAAAAGAACGAAGTGGGCTGGGAAAAAAAAAATTATCTAACCACAATGGAAGCAATAAATAAATTAGATGAAATACATAAAAAGAAACCTTTGATATGAAATTGTGTAGTCATGAAAAAAACGAGCAAAAAGCAAAAAATAGTTTAAATTTATGGCGCGCACACAACCTAAGACAGAAACAATTTCAATGTTATGAAGAAGCAAAACCGAGCGACTAGGTGAGAACGAATTAATTTTCAATTAATTAATAAGCTTGTGCAGAAACCGGAGAATTCCAAAACAAAAAAAAGAACGAGCTTAATAATATAAAAAAAGGAAGAGAAGAGAGCTGGGAAGAGATCATTTTTGTTGCATCGTCGAGTTTAACCGGTCATTCCACGAACTTGTCCGCTTTTCCTTTGCTCCTCGAGCTCCTTTTGAGCCTTCTCTTCGATGGCACGAATGTCGTTCATTGTCAAACCGTACCAGTTGTCCATCCAGCAGAACACCTCGCGATGGAACTTCGAGAACAATCGCGGATATTGCTGAAATTTCAAGCGGTTTTAATTTTTTCGAACGTACTCTTCAACTTTTCTTTAATTGAATGTCGAAAGCGAAAATTAATTTTATTTTCTTTTTTTATACGTCTAAAGAATTCAAATTTCTATTTTAAAATGTCATTTCTCCAACAAAAAAAACGAATTCTTATTAGCTGCTTATTTTTGGCGCCTATGATGTCATTCAGAAATTCCATATAAGTAAATATTTTATGGTTTTTCTAATTCAGAAGAATTATTTAACAAAATCATTACTTTTTCAATAATTGGTGGTTTCAATCAAACTTTTAATTTATGACGCATATCAAATGAGTCATATAAAAATGTAATTTAAAGTTGAAAAGTTATTTACCGCATGAGCGTATCCTTCGACAATTTTCTGAAATCCGAACCATTTGAAGTAGACGGTGACCAGTTTGTAAGCACACATCACTGGCTGGCACGTCTCTTTCCAGTTGCCGGTGAGTGGTCCTCTGAATTCAGCAATTACTAAAAATTGATAACGAAAATGTCTGAATACCGTCCAGTTTTGGCGCTCTTGAATTTCGAAGGAGTCGTGTCCGGATGAATATCTCCGTGATTCAAATGCTCATTGTCTTTCGAAATGTCGATATGAACGACTTCTCTTTTCGCCAAATCTTCTTTGCTCAAACCATGAGCCTGAAAAAGATAAATATTATTTGAAGTTAACTAAAAAATGAACATCAGCGGGCAGTAATATATTCAATAAAATTCTTATTTCAAAAATTCATGTTTCAATGTTCAAATTCATGTTGTGTATCATGTTTTTAATTGTTGAATCATGATTTTTTCAATGTATAAATTCAATTTTTTCTACAAAAATCTCACGTTTTCAGTTGTTCCTCGATCAGGAAGATGAATGGTCTCGATTTTGGCGAAGAATAGTTCCTTCATATAATCCGGATTCTGCACAAATTAGCATTTTGCGTTCCATAATTAATTAACTATTAAATTACCGTGATGACCGTCTTGCAATACGGATATGCATTCCATGCTTCTTCGTGAATCGCCAATGATCCTTTCGGAGCAATTTTTCGGATCAAAGCTGGAACTTTTCTGTAAAAAAAGAAGAGAACGCAAATTTTTTGACACAATTTCGAAACACTCACGATTGCAGGTGATAAATTTTGTGAGTATATTGCCCCTTGTTGAATTGCCCGTTGAGCAGTGGCACATTCTCGAAAGGTTCGTTTTTGAGCACTTCGACACCTTCGCCACCTCCGGTTTCGGCCTTTGATGCCTCGGCAACGGACCACAATTGTCCGACTTGATATTCCTCAACCGATAATGGAAGAACTACTCGATACTCCTTTATAATCATGATTGGCGTGTCGCCCACTGAGTTCAGAAACTGAAAAATGTTCTGATTAGGAAATTTTAAGCTGAAAAAAAAACAAAATTTAAGAATCAATAAGAATAATGCACATTTTCCGCAATTTGTTTTTTTTCACTAAACACACTGACTATTATTCATGCAAGACTTCGTATATTGAAAACAAAAATAAAATAAGTGGAAAAAAAAACAATAACTATCGAACATACAACAACGAGAGCAATTTGTTTGAAGGAAATCGTGCGAATAAAATTGGATTTGAAATAAAAAAAAGCCGATTAATGTTTTTTTTTGTCAGAAAAGGAAATGGAACGAAGCAAAACGGCTCAACACGACGCTTTTTTTCTTTGTCGTCTCATTCAAAACAATTTTGAATATTTGGTCATAAATGGTTGAATAATTTTCTGTGGGAAATTTCGAGGATTTCGATTGTAAACCAACCGCAAACTAATGCAGAAATCAATATCGAAATCGAGGCAGCAGACTCATGAAGTTTCCATGGTTACCGACAACACTAATCAGCATTACCTGTCAAATGTGGAGCTAAGCGAAAAAAGACATTTGACAAAGACAAAACATTTGATTTTTATATTCGATTTCTAAAAACATAATTTTTTGTTCAAAAAAATTATCATTTATGCGGTTTTTTTTTTGAAAGACGGTTCAATGCCGAAAAAATAAAATTGGAAAACAAATTTCACAATTAAAAAAGAATGAAATTTAATTTTGTAAATTTGTTTTTATTAAAAGGAACGAAAAGCTGGAAAAATGAGGCAAATATGCCGGAACCATTGCGTAAAAAACTCTATTGTCGATAGAGCGCGTTTAAACGGGAGATGTTTGGCGACGAAGAAGCGCAACGATGGGCGAAGATGGGAGAAAAACGAAAAGAAGACGAAAAATGGCGGGTATGCATCCAACACGTGTTTGTTTCACAATGACAAAGGCGGACGAACAGAACGCGCAAGAAGAATGCAAAAAAAAACATGGAAAAATCGGGGATGAAAACAATCGCGAAAAAAAACGCCAGAAATTGATGATTTGTTGGCAAGGAGAAGGCAATTTCGCAAGTGCACACGACAACTAGTTTCGACTACAATTCGACAGCCGACGCGGCATGCATGACGTAATAAACGCCTAGAAACACACAATTTTGAACCAAACATTTTTGGATCATTTCTGATGGTTCGAAAAAAAATTGATTGGCTCATTTAAAATGAATCACTGGACAAACACTCATATTTCGGATTTAGATATGAAAAACTCGGCGGGAAAATGATATTTCGAAAAAAAAAAGCGTAGGTTTGGGAAAAGGTTGAATGTCTGACATTTGCATCGAAAATTGCGAAAACCAAAATAATTATCTTCGAAAATGTGATCGACAATTGCAAGTTCTTCTATTAGAACTACTTCAAAGGACCAAAAAAGGAATGAATCGAAATGACGAGCAGTTGGAGTGTTTTCATCCTTCAATATTCATAAATCTATCTCTTAAAAAAGTCGCAGTAACATTTTCGATTATATTTTTAAATTTTGAAATGCACTTTTGCGTGGTGTTAATCTCGTTTAAACACGTTTATCAACGTTGAGCACCTGTTGTTTGCCTAGGGAACGCGTATATACATATAATGTACACTATATATATAAATATGTACAATTTATGTATTATGCAGAATGAGAGAAGGACATAAAAAGTTTGGTTGGTACGAATGAAGAGAGCGAATGAAAAGAGAGAACGTGCTTTTTTTGCATTAGTAATCAAATTTATATTAATAATGACAACATTTTCAATAAGTTTCTGTTCAAATTGTTTGTGTTTTGTTTGTTTGATGAATGGGTGACACCAGCGAAAACAATAAGGAAGTAAGGATGTGTTGAATTCACAGCAGTCAAATCCACTACGAAAAGCTCAAATATCACGAGCTCAAAGAGCATCTGTATGAAAATTTCAAAAAATTAAGAATTTAAATAAATTTAATTCTGAAACTAAAAAAAAATACGAAATACTATTCAATAATATTTTCAAATATTTGCTTTAGATAACATACTTAAATAGTTTTGAAAATTTTGTGCTGAATTGTTTGCATTCGGTAGCTCTTTGCTCAAATAAAATATATGTATAGAAGTAGAATTAAATCAACTTTTTCGCCAATAATTTTGAGTAAGTCTAAAAGCCATTAAAAAACAAAAGCAGTGCGTTTCGTTGGTCGTCGAGAATCGATAGGAAGTGACGAATGCATGAGCGCACACACGCTCGCACACATCAACGCACATACCACATAAGCCGTTAAAATGAAGAAAAATAAACGTGGCGTTCGAAATTTTCTCGCGAATTTTTACTTGCATATATCAAAAATTAACTTCAAATTACAAAAATAATAATTCCCGTCGCAAAAATACGAAAACTTTAACAAGTTGGGGTCATCGAAATTTTCGAGGCGCTATTTTAAGTTTGAATTTAAGCAGAGATCGGGTACCGTAGTACGAAAAACCTGCATATCAAACTCGCCATAAATCGGCAGAAGCTTCTCATTTTTTGTAATACATTTGAAGCATCACAGATCGAGAATAAGGGAAATGTTTTTCCTGTTAGAACTTTTTTGAACATAATTATCCCAAACATGAGTAAAAAGAACCACTTTTCTATATTTGTTTTGCCGAATGCTCGAGCAAGCTTTATACTCATTTTTTGAAATTTTATAAGCGTCAAAAATCTGAAGAGAAAATATTCTGTAAAAAAATGTATGTATACATATAACTGAATACCCCCGCAAACGTTTTATTCAATAAAATGAGTTTTCTAAAGAAATATAGTAAGATTGATTTTTTCATCGAAAATTTTATGACGCAGAAATTATATTAAAGATATAAAATCATTACGAGCAATATTTAACTATTAGCAAGCTTTAAATTATAATAAAACGTCACAAATATAAAATTAAATAGGTTCGAATTAAAATAGAAAGCAAATTCAAATATTTTATATGTACGCAATTTTCATATATCGGTGTCAACAGACCAGCAGTTACCGTAAGCAATAAAATAAATGATATCGGTCTCACACCTTCTTTCAAATATCCTTTTCACCGCCGTTTCTGTAGTACGATTTGCTGAGATATTCAGTTTGAGCATTTTTAAATTATTGAAATATACGAAATATTTCAATATTTCAATAGTAAAAATCCGAGCACCTTGTGTAAATTTACGGCAAATTTGATTCTCTGGTAACTCAAAACCAATCGGATCCGACAAAATTCGGATCCGGAATTTTTGGTAATTATTCGAATCCGTTTTGTTTTAATATTTCAATTCGAATCGGATTCGACAAATTTCCAATATTTTTACAAAATTTTCCAAATTTTCCAATCAAATTTCCAAAGAAATTACCAATCGGACAAGGTTGATTCCGGAGCCGAATTTTGTCGGATCCGATTGGTTTTGAGTTACCAGAGTTGGTTATCCGCAACGGTGCCCGAATCCCCACAGTTTAAATCGAATTACCGCCCTTTTCAAAAACTTCAATTGTGTTGTTTTTTTTTAATAAATATGATTTTCAGATGGAATGCTCATCTGAAGAAGTCTGCCTTCGTCGCGACAAAGAAATTTGCATATTGGGCTGGATTTTATTGTTTTTCTGGTTGGTAATGATTTTGTACATAACGCAAGACTATTGGTTCAATTCATCTTCATCGTTTGGTTCGACATACTCGAATTTGTCTAAAAATTCGAAATCAAAAAGAAAAAGGGAAAACAGCATCGAACTGGATTTTCTTGGCACTTTGGTCACTCATAATTAGCCAAAGCCAGACGTCTTGAATATATGCAAATGGCATAGAAAACTCAAGTGGTTTTTCTTTTCAATTCTCTCCAAAATTCCCTTCTTCCGTCATTACCAAATGTCTTTCGTTCAAACAATTCTCGTGATTTCAACAATTTTGGCTATTATTTCTGAGCAATGTGCTCCTCACAAACCAATTCGTCGTTGGACCACAATCAATCATCGACAAAATTATTTTAATAATCGAACAAATGTTTATTATGGTAAGTTATTATTAGATAAATAATTTTTTGAAATTTGATTTTAGATCATCGAGCATATAATTCACGAATAGGTCAAATCGAGAAGCGAATTGATACGATTGAAAAGAAAACTAAAGAAATTGTTGAAAAAGAAAAGAAGGGAAAAGAAAAAATTGAATTAGGTAACTTTTTTCTGCAAACATTTCAAGTTTTCGAAGTGCGAAGGTTGTAAAACGTAAAATAAAAATGATTGTTTAAAATAATTAATATGAGAATACAGTGAAATAACTTGAATATTCAGATTGTAATTCGTGCCAACAGCTTCCTTCGGTGATCACAGATTGCCCCGAATGCCATCCGGTCGAACTCTCGAAAACCTACCAATATTACTCTTGTCTCGCCTTTGATATCATATGCACATCTAAATCAACCATGTTCGGAATTTCGGATACTCTTCAATTCTCAACATCTTCAGAAAGGGACCACATCGTCAAATGCTCGAAAGGTTCTATAAAATGATTTTGTGGCGAACCCCTCTCATTTTGATCTTTCAGGAAAATGGATTTATACGTCAATGGACGATTCGACTGAGCACGCCGTCGAAGCGATCAGATGTATTTGATTGTACACATATTTCCCGCATAAAATATTTATTGAGGCGCAAAATCGTTTCATATAATCTTTAATCTTAGTTATATTTTAGTCAAAATGGGTTGAACCCAAAAGAAAGTGAAAACAGAGAAGTGTGAAATCCATAGTACAAAGTAACAGTCACGTACAGCAAAGCCGATGTGTGAGATCCAGAATGGAACAAAGAGAAGTTAGTGAAACAGTTCAGAAATCGGCCTCCAAATCGAATAGTCGCTCGGCATCCTTTGTCATAACACCTGGACGCTGGTACTCGGCGACACGCTTCTCGAAGAAGTTGGTTTTTCCTTCAATGGAAATGTTCTCCATAAAATCGAACGGGTTCTTCTTGTTGTACAAACGAGCACAGCCAAGTTCGACGAGCAAATGATCAGCGACGTATTCGATGTATTGCGACATGAGACGACAGTTCATTCCGATCATGTCGACTGGAAGAGCTTCGGTGAGGAATTCCTGTTCGATGACGACAGCATCACGAATAATCTCATAGATTCTCTCTTGCGACAATTTCTTTTTCAACATCGAGTACAGAAGACACGCAAAGTCACGATGGAGTCCCTCGTCTCTGAAATTAATCCAAATAATCGTTATGAAGTCTAGATTGTCGAAGACTACGGAAAATTGACTTTAAAAAATATAATGACAGTGCTGTTTTGACAAATTTTCCGCAGCCGCGCGACGCCGAAATATATTTGATTTACCTTGAAATCAACTCATTCGAATGGGTCAATCCAGGCATCAATCCTCTTTTCTTAAGCCAGAAAATGGCCGCGAATGAACCAGAAAAGAAGATGCCTTCGACAGCTGCAAAAGCGATGAGTCTCTCAGCGAATGAAGCCTTTTTGTCGGAAATCCAACGAAGTGCCCAATCGGCCTTCTTTTTGATGAACTCAAACTCGAAAACAGCGTTGAACAACGTGTTTCTGAATGTTTTTTTTTTCATTTTCAAACAAAACAACAAACGAAAATACCTCTCCTTCTCGTCACGAATGTAGGTTTCGATGAGTTTCGAGTACATCTCCGAATGAATATTCTCGATTGCAATTTGGAAACCATAAAAGAAGCGGACCTCGGTTATTTTTACTTCGTTGGAAAAACGTTCGCACTGAAAACATACAAATAATCATAAGATTGATAACAATTTGAAAGTGATATTGGACAATGTTTTCTCACCAACCCGTTATCTGTACGGTTCTATTTTTATTGCGGCGAAACACCTTACCAAATTCTCGTTGACGATTCCATCGGAAGCGGCGAAGAACGCCAACACTCGCGAGATGAAGTATTGCTCGTCGCCGTTCATCTTGTCCCAGTCATTCATGTCTTTTCCAAGGTCGACCTGTTCGAAACGCGAATTAACCACTGTTTTCACAATTTCAACTTGAATACCTCTTCGACGGTCCAAAACGATGCAACCGCCTTCTTGTAGAACTCCCAAACATTTCTGTGTTTCAACGGGAAAATCACGAAACGATTGTCGGTGTCCTGAAGAAGTGGCTCGTCCTTATCGAGAGGGTTCACATATTCCTCTTCCACGCCGACACTCTCCGCTTTCGGCGTATTCTCAATTTTAGTTTCAATAATCTTGTGCGGTTGAAGTTCCTTCTGAAACGAACTTTGCATATAAGAGGCGACGAGGCAGGCAGGCTCAACACGATTTAGGCTAAATTGCGCGACGTGTGCCGGCCGAATTCACGTACCACATTCTCCTTCTCGACGTTTTGAATCTCAGACAAGGCCATGATCAATCTGAAATATACAAAATTGAGGATAGCGGAAGAGATGGTATGGATGGTCACAAGAACACATGGCAGAACCAGTGTCGATTGTCGACATATGCACCACCGAAATGGGCGGAGCAAAACGAAGAAAGCGAGGCCGGGTCACTACTACGTCATAATGACCATTTGCTACGTCACGATATTCAAATTATGAGCGAAATGTTGCACAAAACACGTAGACATCCTTGCGCGATTGGATAAAAAAAATAGCACCAAGTTGTTTGATGGGAAGATGCTCGGTATAAACATTTCGCGAAAATTTTGATAAATTTCAACCCTTAAAAATCAAAACAATAGTGTATTGTTTTTTATAGGACATTTAGTATTTCAATTACTAAAACATTTAAAATTTCGAAATTAGTGAATTAATTCGAAAATCTTCAATAGCCGCGTAAAAAACATGAAAACAGAATTGCAGCGAGCTTGAAAGCCCCTCAAATATCGTTGCACTTTATATTTACAAAAAGCAACGAGAAGCCTCAAAATGAACGATGAAAAACTGAAAACATTGGTAAAGTACATAATCGAAAGTAAAGAGACTCGAAAAACGGCGCCGAATCACGCACGTATCGAGTTTCGCGCCAAAAAGCGTCCACTTTGAATAGATTCAAATTTTCGTAGCGCGCGCAGTTCAAAACTGACCGCTCGTGACGTCACACCTGCTATCAACGGGGCGCTAATGTGTCGTGGTCAGCAGACATCGACGATGGGAAAACGAGATGGTGTAATAATGAGAGAAATAAGTATGTAATCGCCTCCAGTTTGTGCACAAACGCAATTCAAAAAACAATTGTCAAAAAAAAAATTAACTACCGTATCCAATTCGCATCGAGACGTCGGAAAAAACGAACAACGTCCCTTGAAAACAATTGTCATTTTACTTGGCCCAAATTCCTCGTTTCTTCAGCAGAACATCCGAGATTAACGCGTTTCTCATTAATTTTAAGAGCTCGTAAAATTGACAGATGGTAGGATTTGAATTATTTTCAAAATAGAATTCAGTAATCATTTATTCATTTCGGCTCAATCCACTTTGAAAATGGATCACACAATAAAAACGAAATATCGCAACACATTTGAAAAAAGAAAAGAAAAGGGAGGAAAGAAAATAAGAAAAAAGTGCGCATTTCCACCAGCGCCAAAAAAAAAGGAATAAAAGTTCTTCTAATAAAAACCAATCATCATAACAATTAGAAGTATAGAGAATGAATTTTTTCGGGTGTTTTACTTGATTGTGGAGAAAAAGGAACAAAATAAAATGAGTGCGAAATCAGTATTTTTTAATCGCAGCGACTCCGTCCACGAGGAATATATTTCTGGAAAAACATCGAATTAATCAATTTTAGTGGTTTCTGATGATTTTTTCAATGTGTTCGGGAAGGGAAATTAGGAAAACTATGAACGAGAAGAGCGTTTCTTTTTCGAGTGAGCATTGTTATGATTAGTTAAAAATATGAAGGATGGACGACGATTCGGAAAATGAAAAACCATAGATTTGCTATATAAAACACCACCGAAACAACACACATTTTCATCATTCCGCAACTCCGAAGAAGCAAAACCACTGGAGGAAAGAAAAAACACTGAAATGGAACAAAAATAATAATGATGATAATAAGACGAGGATAGCGGAGCGAATAAAACACATCCAGACAATCGAAGAAGAAGGAAGAAAAAACACTGAATGGTGGAGCAAGTAGAAATTAATTTCATTCAATTTGTGGGGGTATATGGGCAGATTCTCGCAGTACCCAGTGTTCGATCTGCCGAATGCGCTCTCGAATATAACGGCCAAGATACCCAAAAAAAAGAAAGAAAACAAAATTAGTGGAAACGAATGAAAATTTACATAAAAAATTAAAAAAAAGAAACATTGTGGATGAACGGTTGATTGATAGGCTGATGAAGGGTCAAATATAAAATGAACTATTAAACAAATCGGGGAACATCTTTGTTTCAGCAATTCTGTTAACAGTCTCAAATAAAACAGTGATGACGATAATGTGGGAGAAGGATGATTGGTTGGTTGATTGGATGGTTTGAGACGAATTTTAACAAAACGCAACAAGACTGCCTATCGAATCATCGATAGACGCCAATTTTTGGGTTGTTTTCATTTTAACGAACGGGTTACACCGATATTGTACGAGTGGTTTCCAAGTTTTCAAAACCCAAAAATTGTCGACCTGCCAGTTTGATTAAAACGAGAAAATGAAAAAGGGAAGAAACAGGAGACATCATACATAATTTTCAAATTGACGACGTCAATGTGTAGTATCGTTCATATGTTTGATTGGGATTTTGTTTCCAGATGGCGCCGCTTCACCGACGGCTGGCTGCGATACGCCAGCAACAGTAGTTCCAGTCGTATTCGCCATTACATTCGAGCTTGTTTGAGCGGCCTTTTGCTTGAGCATAGTCCAGTCGAACGTGTAGTCATACTGAAAAGAGAGAGCGTTATTTTTTATAACTTTACTTTCATATGGTTCCCATGCAACGAATTCAAACATTATATGCAAATTGTACACATTCCCATATTTTAATGCGAAACGATTTCTGTTCGGCGTCCCAAAAAGTGCGCACACATACGACACCGCTGTCATAACATACATAAAATAAAATAAAAAAGAGCGGTGTCTGTGTGTGCTTAGTATCATTTTTGTACGATTGGGAGAGATTGGTTGAACTCTTCAATCCTTTCTAGATTACGACGATCAATCAAAAACCATGTCAATTTTTTCAAAATTCAAGTACATAAAAAATAAGTTTAAAAAATTGGTGCGAAATCGAATTGCCTTGTTCAAAATTTTGCACCATCTTTCGTCCATTGTGGATTTTAATTATTTTGAAGAAATCGAGATCAATTTATCATTATAATCCACTAGATATTGAATATATACATTATGATGTGTTAGAAACAATGTTCTTCGATAAAACATTTGCATTTGCAATTATTGTAGGATATTCTTAGAAACGAAAACGCTTTTCAATGTCATAATTAACTTCGAATATCGAAAATGAAACAATATGCTAATTTCTTTTCATATTGTCGACATACGTGGAAAATGCAAGATTATTGGGTATTTTATCGTCAAATTTGACACATTTTACGTGATTGAATTTGGAAAAGTGACAATTTCCACAAAAATCACTGAATATACCCAATATATTGTTATTCAACATTCTCGAGTCGCGCGACAGCGACAAAAAATAATTGGAAAAAAAGAATTAAAAATTTACCATTATTTTATATAAATGTAACGATTACTTTGCTCAGAAATCGGATGTTTAGTGTTAGAGAATAATATTTACACTATTCCTAGTTGTCTAGTCCAGTCATATAGACCATTTATTTCGAAAGCGAAAAATCAATAAAGGGTAGCGGCGAAAAGGGCGCGACTAATACCTACAATAAATCGATCGACTTGCAAAGTATCACCGAACGTTCGTTGTTTTATCGTTTCTAAACTCTCAGTAGTCACACCTAAATATTTTTCAAAATAATTATTAGGTCACCACAAACGAGTAGGCGGAACTATAAACTCCCGAAATTACGGTCTAATTATAACACCCATTATTAATCGCTAATTAGCCGGTTCTCAAGAGAAAAAAACTAAATTAAGATATATGTATATCAATCGTATGTCCCACCTGATGATTCAAAGTCCTGAACAATATTCTGAACAATTGCCGGAGATACATGTAATCCGGCGATTCATCGAACCGTAATCCTCTCGTGTAGCTCAAATACATCGGGAATTCGGCAGGGAATCCCTTGCACAAATGCTCAATCGATGTCGTCATTTTCTGAAATGAATAAAACAAATTGTATAAAATTCAAGACCGGTGATAATTAAGTTCAAAGAAACATGGAATAGTCGGTTGGAACCTCAAAGAATGACGCAAATCTATAAATAGACACAAGCCACGAATATTCAATGGTTGACTAAAAATGAAGGGCCTTCACCAGATCTTTGATCCAATCCTACATAATAATGTAAATTTCCACTCAAAAAGTTAATTATAGGCGTCAAATTTGTTTCCGAAAAAAACTAATCGCGGAGGTTTAACACTTATTCCACGTTTTAACTCAATGGTCATAATTTCGGTTTAAAAGGCACATCATTTTATCTGTGCCTATTTTTGGCCAAAAATGTGTCATCGTCAAATTTCTTGAAATAGTTGAATATTTCCGTTTTCATTTCAACTGCACACGATTCAAAATGAATACCTTCTCGGAAATTTTCTCGTATTTCTGTTTCTTCGTCGCTGCCTTCAATCCTTGCCATGGAAGAGTTCCTCTGTTGAAGTACATTAGCACATAGCCGAGCGATTCCATATCGTCTCTGAAACGTACGAAATCATAGATTGCAAAAGGCTCGAAATAATTTTTTGCACAAATATTGACCCGGCTCATAATACCAATTTTCCACTCCACTTCGCAGAATTCGTCGAATGGCTCGCATTGAAATCGTACGTCAGTGGGCCGAATGTGCATATTTTTCAATTGGTCTTTGGCTACTAATGGAACATTCGCTTTCGGGACAAGTAAAGTCCAGAAAAACTCCAATTAGGCACACTAGCTTACCTGCGCGATTGTTCGATTCCCAAATGAGCGTTAACTGACGCATATCTAGCAGTTCCTGTCAAGTTTTTGTCTTCTCGGTATGGAATATGGGTTCTTGTGCGTGAATCGCGATATCTGAACAATGAGGGGATAAATCGATAAAATAGTAAAAATCAATACTTCTTCGCGAGTCCGAAATCGATCAAAAATAGCTTATTACAGTGACGCCCGATTCCCATCAAGAAATTGTCAGGTTTGATATCGCGATGAATGAAGTTTTTGACGTGCACATACTCAATACGGCCAATCATTTGATCGGCGAGCATGAGAACTGTCTGAAAAAATAATTAACTGTTTATTGCTGAAATTATTATAGTTGCCTTCATTGTGAAGCGACGAGAACAGAAATTGAACAAATCCTCGAGCGAGGGACCAAGAAGATCCATGACAAGAACATTATACTCTCGTTCGGTACCGTACCTTAAAAGTTAATTGTATGATTTTTGTATATAGGCCAAAACATACCAGCGGATATGCGGAATTCCAACTCCACCCTGGAGAATGCGATAAACTTTCGACTCGTACAACAACTGCGGGTGTCTGGCCTTAGAAGATTATTTTTTTTATATTTCAAAAATATTTGAAAACTTACTCTGTTACTTTCCAATTTAATGGCTACTTCCTCACCATTGGTAACATTGATCGATACATAAATGTCACCGAATGATCCTGATCCGATTTTTCGGATCAATTTGTATTTGGTCGCTACGATGAAGTCTTTGACCGCCAAAGGATTAGCCATGTTGCTCTTGATTGTGTGCTGAAAAAAAAAGCAATCAGAAATAACTGTTTAAAAACTTATTTACCTTTTGATAACAGCACGGCTTTTCTTAATTATAGGCGCTGACGCACCGGGGTGGACAAGATTGAGGAGAGTTGGCCTGCAAAAATCGATAAATGAACAATATACGTATTACACGTGAACAAAATGACGAATATCAGTAATTAAATAAGAATAATCGAAAAGAACATTGTTAGATATAAATTTAAAATCAATTTGTAAAAAATTGAGAAGATACACAAAAAAACGAAAATGATTAGCCAGAAAAGCGACCACACAAAATATCGATTTTCTCGAGCAATTCTGGTCGAAATGAAATGAAACGAATATTAGTCGATAGCGATAAAATAGGTGCATCGGATGGTATTAGTGAAAATAAAAGAAAATCGCGAATCGAGTCAGAAATCAGTGTAGAACAGCAAAATCGACTATTTCGTCAGTCATGCAACTGGGAAGGCCGACCGCTACGCGGTGTTGCGCGTGGCGGCTCGCTCGCCGCCAATTCAAAAAATCGGCCATTTCTGTGCGAGCGCTCGCTCGGCCGAGTGTCTCACTGGTTTCAGCGACTAGCTTACTCTCGTATCTCATTGCTCGTTGAGCTTTTCTCGAGATTGTTGATATCATCATTTACGGGTGTGTTTGATAACCCGCCATGCCCATTTTTTGTGCGATAAAACAGGATGAGATTGATAAATCGCCCGTATGTTAGCAAAATAATGCAAGGATTGAAAATGATGAGCATTTATATTTTGAAATTCTCAAATAAATTAAAAATCTGTTAAAATAAATAAAAAACAATGATAAATAAGTTTTTGGATTCATTTTCTGTAAAACAATCTTCCGCGAATACCATTAACAATTCGAAATGTCAATAAAATGAATCATATTTTTTTCGAAATATCAGGACACAATGAAAACGTTTTGTTTTTTTTTCTTCAAATATCGCGTTGAAATACAAAACGGTAGAGAATCATAGGAGAAAAGATGAGTTTAAAAAATAATTCGCCAAACACCGCCATGAAAAGCTTCGTTCGTCTACAGAATGTGATTTTATCAAAATTTTAATCATACTGATAAAAATTTAAAAATGGAATTGGTGCTCGTCATAAAATACATTTCAAAGAAAATGTTTGTTTCCAATTCATATTTGAAAATATCGACGAATGAATAACATTACGTCGCCTTGTTCCCTAAAATATGATGGGAAATTCGAAAAAAAAAACTGTTTCGCAACATTGCATAGTGAATTCGTTTTAGGACCCGAGTGACGCAAACACAACTCACTTTCAAATATTTTTTTGAACTTAGCAAATCATACTATCGAAATGGCTGTAAATAGAGTATTTAGGCGAAATGCCGACGGAAAATATATTCGAGAGAGTGTGTGATTTCGAGAGACGGAGACATTTCTTTTCGCCAATACTCGCTTTTGTCCGCTATTTCAGTTACCTTGGCTCAAAACTTGAAGTGTAGATTTACGGGCCTAATATAAGGATAGTTTAAAGGCGCACAACGGCCCCACGAGACCTTTCCTTAATTTTTTGGCGTTCAGTTATCAGTAGTACGGCCCGCACATTTAATATTTAAATTTAAATTTGAATTACCTCCACCTCTTATGAAAAAATACGATGATCCATTAAATGTAAAAATCGGACCAATTCACCAATTTGTAATGAATATAAATAATTCAAGTGGAATTTCCCACGGAATTCAATTCACATTACCAATAAAACATGATGTTTCGTCACTTAAAAAAAAACTTCCTTGAAGAAAAATGAAAAAAAAAATTAAAGGGAATTGAGGAACAAATAAAATTGACTTTCGAAAGAAAAAAAAATTGATATTCTGTGAAGACAGAGATTATTAACAGTGGATTAAAAAGAAATGAAGATTTTCTTATTTTTCACTAAATACATTGTTGGATGACTAACACGATTGAACTGAGAAGACTGGAGAGTTGGCACTGAAGTGCCTACATTAACGCATTCGAATGAATGAGACAAAATGTGCAAATCATGTGTTTCCCTACATATACATTATATTATTTGTATTGCACCATTTCGGCAGATGGCCTTCTTTTAATGATCGCTCTACAGGGTGTCATTTAAGTTCCCGCACAAAAGTTAGACGCCATGAAAAGCTTGGCTGTCGCACTTTTCGTGCACCAATACAATTTATTTTTGTTAAATAAGGTGTATTTTACTTACTTTTCAAGTTTCACTTCATTCGGATGTGTTTCCGAGAAATGGCGAAGGCTAACATCCATTGCGCTTCCATTATCGAACTTCATAAGCGAAATGAGCGCCCGACAGAGATCATTCAACGCCTCGGTGTGCCTCGTAGAACGGTTTAAGACACCAACAAACGTTTCAAGGAGCTAAATACGACCAGTGACCTTCCCAGACAAGGAAGACTCGTCTCAGTAACCACTCCTCAGAAGATCAACGCCGTCAAAACGAGGATCAGGCGAAAACCGCACAGGAGCATAAGAAAGATGGCGTCAGACATGGGAATGAGCATCTTCGCTATGGAACAAATGGTCAAAACGAAGCTTGGACTGACCCCATATCGCGTCCAAAAAGCGGCAATTCTATCGGCCGTCAACTAGCAGAGACGCTTCGAAAAAGCAAAACGACTTCTTGCTCGCACGCGGTCTGGACAAGATCTCGTCACTGTCTTCTCCGACGAGAAGCTGTTCACTGTGGAGGCGGCATTCAACTCACAAAACCATTGAGTACTTTCCCAGACATCCCAGAAAGCTTCTGAGAAAGGAAGAACAATTCATCCAGCCACACATCCTGCCAGTGTGATGGTTTTCGGTGCCATCTGCTCAACCGGGAAGTGCCCCTGGTTTTCGTGGATCAGGTGGTGAAAGTGAACAAAGAAGTCTACGTTCGGGACATTTTGGGGAAGCATATGATGCCCTGGGCCCAAACGCATTTCGGTGGGAAGATATGGGTCTTTCAACAGGACGGAGCACCCGCCCCTACTGCCAAAACTACTCAGGAGTGGTGCCAGACCCATTTTCCCGACTTCATCAAGTCATCCGAATAGCCTGCTTGCTCCCCAGACCTGAACCCGCTTGACTTCTCCGTGATGGGGTCTTGCAGGAGAAGGTCAACGCAAAACCCCACTCAAGTGTAGAGGCTCTGAAGAAGACATTACTGGCGGAATGGGACAATCTTTCCATCGAATACCTGCGTACCACAGTCGCATCCTACCCGAAGCGTCTCCGCGAAGTCATAGCTGCGAAAAGAGGCCGAATCGAAAAGAGTTAATAGATAATTATTTGTTGTACTATAGATAAAAAATATTTCGAGTCTCGTTTGATTTGGACTTTTAGTTTCAGAAATATACGTCTTCAAAGTTGTGCGGGAACTTAAATGACACCCTGTATATAAGGTGATCGCCAACAGGTGGGTCCTGCTCATAAACCAATCCTTAAATAGTATTGTAATGGAGAGTTGAATGGGTTTTTTTAACATCGTTGTGCGAATAATGATATTAGACGACCCAATCATTTCAAAGCGAAAATGAGAGAATGGCGGTTTGTTGAGGAAAAAGGATCATATGAATCATTTTTATAGTGATATGATGACTCAGAAAAAAGACCTGCGTATCCTCCGTTTGAGACCATAATAATTACAGTAATTTCAAAATACTTTCAAGATTTGAGATGATGTATGAAGAGAGACTCTTCCGAAAAAAAGATAATAAACGAGATCGCCGGATTACAGTACAGGAAGAAGCGCGTGCCTCAAGATGAAGAAGACGAAAAAAAGAAGATGCCACAACCAACTTGTGATATCAGCTCCATTCGAAACAGCTCAAAAAGAGCACCATTATGATAATATCTTTCTGGAAAAAGAAAAAGAGACAGATTATGGTATAACAAATCAACGAATCAGTGTAGTTGATGACTGCTTGAGAATTCTATGAATTAAATGAAATTTAGAAAAGAATTCAGAAGAAACCATTTCGGAAGAGCAGAAAAATAATGATGATTTGACATTCGACGAATTTATGTTCACACAAATCCGGATTGCGTTGAATGTGGTCTTCTTTAATAGACAAAAAAAACGAAGAAAAAATCTCACGTGATGGATTATGTTTGGATTTATCTAGAACGAATCTATTGCGATTCGAAAATTGCAAATTCCATCCGATTCGACACGTTGTTATTGATAAAGCCGAAAAATAATTGATTTGGGGAAAATCGAAAGGCGGCGAACATCGGATATGTGAAAATTGGATGGGAAAATAATTTTTGAGGCATTTTCCCAAATGAAACGCGACTTTCGATAAACCGGTGATATCAACTGTTCAAGAAAAAAATCATCACGAAATACAGTAATACTGAAATTGATAAACGACGGAATTCTTTTGGCGAGGAAAAAAAATGAAAAGATTCGCACGAAAACCGACTCGTGACAATTTAGGCTGTTTTCGGTGGAAAATTTCGTGTTGAGACCAAAAACTGAACTTTTTTGAATTGATAAGGAAACGAAATGAACGCTTTTTTTCTCGGTAAATTAACAATTTCAGGATAAAAATAAATTTTATACATGATTCAAAAAAAAAAAAGAAATTTTTATGCCATTGAAAAAATTGAAAGAAAAAAAAAGAAAAGTCGATCGAGATTCGAAACTGAAGAAAGTTTAAAAGAATGAAATGGGTCGACAATTTATGGACTCTCTACCGTATTTAATTACGTTAGGCAATCGGCGAATCTTCGCCACAAACAATAGTAATAATTCAGATGCAAATGCTTCTCGAAATTATAAATTTTAGTGTAAAAATTAGTGTACTACATATAATTCAATATTAATTTCTTGTTTAATTCAGAGAAAAATTGACAAAGAATCAAAATGTTTGTCGCGACGAGACCATTAATAGATATATCGATTATCTACATAAATGTGGGTGTGTTGGGTAATATTTGATAATACAACTGACAAGTGTAGTCCAGTGCAATATGTGAACATATTCAACCGTCAACCGGTTCCGATTTTTCCGTTTCGGACGCTCATCAATTATGTTCCTATATATTCGACGGATGAATTGTTATTAGTAAAGTTTGATTCTTCTTTTTCTAATGAAATTCTGTCGAAATCGAATTTTTTTTCGGGTGAACTTCTATGAAAACGTCGGGGTCTGAAAAGCGTTCGCCTGCGGATGCATTACATTTATTCGGGGTCTGGCGACTGATGTAGATTTACGGGGTGCGCCTTTCGAAATGGTCTCGCCACACGTGAAGGCTTATTTTGAAAATTGCACGTGAAAACTTTTAATTTTTCTTCATGAGTTTGACATTTCCTTGAATTCTTAATATCACTGAAATTAACAATTAACTGAATGACCTCTTAAATGCAAAATAATTAGTGGCGCAAAACAAAAAATGTTCAATTCCAGGTTTAAGCAGAAGGAGGTGCACACTAATATTCTATTGTCGAAACATGACGAATGTGAAAAACTGCAGCGATATCCTATGTATTGTGTGCGTACACCGAGTCGCACAGTTCAACAAGAGCTACAGTAATCCCAACTAAAATTTATTTATTTATTTGTTTTATTTTTTTCGTTTTTTCGTATTTTCTTGGAGAATTTTTGGTTTTATGTATATTTTTTTGTTGGAAAAGTGTAATAGCAATATTTTTCGTATATTATTGAAAGATAATTGTTTTACATAAATAGAAACTATCTATTTTTCGAAAAAAAAACATTTTAAATGTCATTTTAGACAATTTTTGCCTCGAACTTATCAACTTTTTAACGTTATTGCAACGTGCTTGTTTCTTTTCTTTCTTATACGTTTATGTATTCATTATTTATTTGTTTCAGGTGAATAAACACGTAACCGGCCGAATAATGATAGCCGAAAGAGAAGACAGTCAACTATTTTGCAATTGATCAATTGTAATTTTTCCCCAAAGTCTTAATTTCTACCATTCATTCAAATTTAGGAACTTTCTATTCTAATAATTCTATTTTATCTTTTTTTGGGTATAATATAACTAGTGATCTTCTAGAGCGATACATTTCTTGTGAAAATCTGAAATATGCGAAGGTTTCAAATAAATAGATATAAGTATATATAACATGTTTATGTTTAACAACAAAATAAGATGTTTGTGGCTCTTAGGAGAGCCGTTGGGTTTCTGCCGACGAATTAAATCACCATTATTCGATCAGGTGACGAAAGCGACGTCGAAACGAGCGGCTTTCGTTTATCCGATGATGAGCAAACTTGATAATCTGAATATTATTTAATTAATAAGTTCTATCTTTAAACTACAAACCATTTTTTATTCTTCCTCTTCGTCGACGATGACTGCCGCATGATCTGCAATTTAACCACAAAGCACGCATCTTTTTCAATTTCACCAAACTTATTTTCTTTTCCATTCACCTCAAAAAATAATAATTTTAAAGTTTTAAAAATTTTTTAAATAAGTTTTCTTTCTAGCCAAAAGTGAAAACATAATAAAAACTTATCTAATAGCGAAATAGTTGCCTGGCTGCTCTTTCGGCTATCCTTCGGCCGGTTACGTGTTTCTTCACCTGAAACAAATAAATAATGAATACATAAACGTACAAGAAAGAAAAGAAACAAGCACGTTGCAATAACGTTAAAAAGTTGATATGTTAGAGGCAAAAATTGTCTAAAATGACATTTAAAATGTTTTTTTTTCGAAAAATAGATAGTTTCTATTTATGTAAAACAATTATCTTTTAATAATATACAAAAAATATTGCTATTACACTTTTCCAACAAAAAAATATACATAAAACCAAAAATTCTCCAAGAAAATACGAAGAAACGAAAAAAATAAAACAAATAAATAAATTTTAGTTGAGATTACTGTAGCTCTTGTTGAACTGTGCGACTCGGTGTACGCACACAATACATAGGATATCGCTGCAGTTTTTCACATTCGTCATGTTTCGACAATAGATAATTTTTGAATTTAAATCATGTTTTCAAGTCGATTATACTCTCTGTGGTCTCTTTTTTTTGCTAAGAATTTGCTTGAATTTTAGCGTTTTGCTAAAAATGTAACGAGACAAAAAATGCATGATCCCGATTGGTTTGCATGTGGGAGTCCTTTATTTGATACTACTAATTTTTATATAAATTGTGTGAAAAATATTTTGTCTTTACACAAGTCTAATGAGAAGAAATAACCTCCAAAAAATCACAATTAACTGAGTAATGTAATTAATTGAGAATGCTTAATTAGTGCATTTAAATTATTTTGAATATTTGAATTCTTTCTGCAATTCATTCTCGTTTCTATTAAAAAAATAATCACGCATTATTAAATCGATATGAGGAAATATAATTTGAACATATAATTAACCTATTCAGGAAATTCATGTTTTACAAAGTTTTTTTTAAAGAAATTGCATTAAACGAGCATTTTTTTTACATTCATGTATTGAAAAAAATGCAATTGCATGAATAGCTCAATAAATGTTTTTGATTAGCAAGTTTTTTTCCACGGTTCACATTCGCTTTACAAATTGATAAGAAGACTGAGAGTGGTTCGAAGAGAGGGATTGAAGATCAAAAACTGCAAAATATATTGTCGACGAATGATGAATGAAAGAATTTGAACTTCGAATAAAATATTCTTGAAGAAATTTGAAGAAAAACATTGAATAATTTTCGAGACAAAGTATGACGCAAATAAATTGACGTGAAAATGGATACGAGAAGCTCTTTTCCGCTCATAATTAGACGCACTAATGATGGAAAAAAATCGGCATTTCTTGTAATAAAGCTAATCTGCAAAATATATGAGATATACTCACTTCTAAGCTTCTTCATGCGAAGAAATATGAGAAAAAAATATAATTCGTTTAAGAAAATCCGAAAAAAATGAAGTGATTTAAGGAATTTTCTCACGGATTCAAGTGTGAAAAGTAGAAAAAAGAAGAAGAAGCTGAGTTGGGAAAGAGAGTCGAAAAAGAATGCGAGATCTCTATGGAAAAGGGGGGGGGCAGTTTGAGGTGCAGACAATGTTCAGACATCAGTCGGCAAAAGAAATTTGATTAAAACACACTGCCGGCTTATCAAACACCTATAAAAAACGACGAAAACAAATTTTAAAAAATTAACAAACATTTATTTTCGATTAACAACCCGTTCAGACAGTATAATAAGGCGATGCTGCGGACGTTTGCAATTCGACCTGTGATATCTTGTACCGAACTTTTTTGAGCCATTCGGTGACCAGCGGTGCTTCCAAAGATGGTTGATTCTGGCAGCTGTCGAGTTTCATTGGAAGCTGATTCGGAATCTGACTGTGATACGCCGTGAGAATCGGCGCCCACATTGAGTAGAGTTGGCATAAAAGTGCAGAATTGACTTGTTGAAGTGCTTGAATTGTGTTCAGAAAGTGCAAGTTCACCATATCGGCCAACTGCAAACTCGATTATCAAGTCTACGTGACCAAATTCGATTATTCGTACCACTTTCGAGTGACTGAGGAGTTGTAGAATGGCCGGAGTAACTCGCGCCCAAAAATCGATTAAGTGTGAGAACGCTGTTGTGCTGCTGTACATGGCCGCTCTCTCACAATAGACTGTCCATAATTGGCAAAGGTGAAATGCGTGGAATAAAGCGGACATGTGGACAACAGATTGCTGAAAACCGAATCACGATTTGAGCGAATTTTGAGCAGCTCTTACTTTCGATTGATCGGCAAATCCAGCGAGCACGAAATGAATATAATCAGCCATGTGCTGCGAGCACTCAATTGGTACTGGAACACATGAATGATTCGCGTGTAATGCTCCGAGAAGAAGCCATGAGAGCACGCGGACGTTCGTGACCGAATCGGCGAACGCTCCGGGAGCGGCTTGTGTGACTGACGGCGGCGACATGAGCCACGGAATGAAACGAATGACAGTTCGACAATCGCGCGCATTCGAACGCGACATTTCCACTGCTGGAAATTCAAGAGGCATTATTGATCTGAGACAGGGAAAAAAAACAAAACTACCAATCGCTTCTGCCAATTTGACCTTCAAATCTCCGCCAAGAGCATCCGAATTCGTCTCCTTCTGAATAATTCATTTTAAAATGAACAATAGTTGAATGTCTTCATACTTTGAGTTTTGCAATTACATGAAGGTCCGCAATGAAATCTAGAACTTCGAAGAGGAATGGACGGATCGCCTCCGATGCTGCCGTGTTGAATTGATCATCAAGAAGAGGAACTTCGATATCTGAAAAAAAAGATCAACGATTATTCTTTTATTTTTTAAAACATTTTTCTACAATTCAATGTGCAGCGTGAACTTAATTCATGACCCGTGAGAATTGTAAATCTCAAAACTCGCATTCAGAACAATTGAATTGATGACGGAGCATGTTAGCAAAATCTGAGACGACCTAGAATGAACCTGGTGGGGATATCATCTGTATTTTTCGCCGATAATCGTCAAAGATGTCCCCAAACCAGGCGAAACTAATTTATTACAGGTACCTTCGCAGAATTAGTCTTAACAACCAAGCAAATGCCTCCTCATTTTAACGTTTCCAATGAATATGAGGGGACATATCAATTTTGTAGAGATTGAATGCTACTGAAGATGATCATGAATGCAGCTGACGACGACATCATGAAATTGATCCAACGACAGTTCGTAAATAACGACAACAGACAGATTATGTGTATTTTAATTGACAGGTTAATCAGGTTCAGATTTAATAAGAGACAATTAAAAGAATTGGAAGAAAGTGAAAATTAGAATTACAAAAAAAAATAATAAGGTCTTACCTTCACCAGAATCTTGTAGTATCATATTCGCGATTGTGATGTAATTCGCATCGTGCATTTTAGCTTTGAACTTGATTGCTTGCATCAATTCAGTGACGACTGCTCGAGTAACACACTGTTTGTCGCGCTCCTGTAATTCGCAGTACATATTATAGAACCGAGCTAGGCCTACGAATACCCTTATCAATGCTCTATTGCAAGCCGTGCAAACTCCAAGAAGCGATTCCAACGAGACTTCTCCATTGTGCAATGATTCGGACAACCATTTTGAGAAGGTTTCGACAAGCGAGACGGCATTCTTCAATATCATCGAATTGAATCTGCGAATGTATCTCAAAACGTACCTTGATCGAAGAAAAGTTTTGAACCTTCAACACGTGGCTCATTACTATTATGACATTCTCAATTTCAGATTTTGATGGCATTTTTGCGTTGTTTGCCGTGATCTAATGAATCATTTAATTCAACAAATTAACAAAATTCAAATTACCGCTGTATGATATCTTCTAAAGAAAACTTCCATATGAGGTATGAGATTGGTCCAATGATTATAGTAAATATCAGTTGGAATTTCGATTGTGTAAAACGCAAGATTCTTCATTATCAATCGTAGCGAAGTCGGCCAATTTTCATCCAAATCCTTTAGAAAATTTGCATTTTTGAAATTTATTTTATTTCGACTGTTTGATACCTCCATTAAAAGTTGAATGAAATAAACTGGATTGAGTTCATTGAAGTCAGCTAACGATAAAGAGACGACTGACCAAAATGATTCAGCTCTGAAAAAAAAGGACAGCAGTTATTGATTGGACCGAAAGAAATGCTACCTTGGAATTTTTGTGTCGAAAAGTTGCAGACAAATCGCCGAAGTTGATAGATGATGAAGAGAGACCCTGAGCATTTGTTTCGCGACACTTCTCGAATTGGCGGGCACAAACATGTCCGTGTTGTGCCACGGATACATCGGCTCATCAATCAGTCTGGTCACGGTGTGCAGGATTTTGAACAGAATCGGTGCTGCCATCGACGGTTCGCGGTGTAGGAATGTCTCGAGGGCGATCAGACAAAGCGAAATCGTCTCTTCGTCGAAACTCTCGACCTCTTCATTGCAGTGTCCGCATCGAAGACTAACACTTTTCTTGATATTTTCTTCCGCATTCAATTTCGGCTTCGTCACTGCCTCGGGTTTCTTGGATTCCGGACTATCAATGGTGGCTTCAACAATTGTTGGTTGCATTATTCGGACCATTCCTTCTCCTGATGGTCCCGCAATTCCCGTTGTTGTAACAACGAGACTTTCAGGTCGAATGAGACCAGGGACCGAGTCGTCTCGAGCATTTTCTTCGACGTCTTCCCATGTGTCAACATCCTGACAATGATCACCGTCAGAGCATTCATGAACTTGATCTGAAAAATAATTGTTGTTTGAATCTGATTGAGAATTGTGCAAATTGCTACTTTGGAGTGTCTTTACGACAATGTTGATCAATCTCACAATATTATCACTGATTGGCACTTGATCGAATCGGTATTTGTAGAGAATTAAAATGAGCGATTGAAGCCATAAATGTCTTGTGTGTTGTGTGAGAAGAACCAACGAATAATTGGTGACATTCTGATCAGAAGCAAGCTTCTGCGGTGATGGCAGATGAATGAGAAGCTGGACGACGGTGGGAAGAAGCTGATTTCCGATGTGCAGATTGAGGTCAAGAACATCCGGAAGACCACTGATAAATGCGTTGCACACCGCCGATTTGCGAAGTCTTGCTGGTGGAATTGTGAAGCATTTCTCAGTTCCGCTATAGCCAAGGAGTGTGTTGAAGTGTCGAAATATTAGCGATTGCTTCTTCGCATTCGCTTTCTCGTCAGTCGGTGTTGAGTTTTTGTTGCTGAAGTCGCAATTTAAAAACGAATGCGAAAAAAAGAATGAATTTGATTTTTACCTCAAGAATGTGACGAAAAGCGAGACGACGAGATAGACAGTATGCCTTTCGGGATTCTCCATATCAACTACTCGGTTGAACAACAAACACATGTTGCTTTCCTCATCAGTGAATTCACGAAGTCTACCGTAACCTCCTGAATACCCACAAATTCGATTTGTCTTCATACAGCACACGTTTCGTTTTGTTTTTCTTTTTTTTGGGAGGAATAGAAGACCAATGGAACACATGATAGGTTGGTTCCGCTCATTGTGGGAAGAAAATATGGAAAACAGTAAAAGAAGCTTAATTAGCAAGCGGGACGATGTTGTCGGAAAAAAAGCGGTGATACGCGGGAAATTCGCAAAAAATGATTTTCCCGTTGCTTAGTTTAAATAGTTCAAAAAACATAGTGCTAAAAGAAAGACGATACCATGCCCGTAGTTGACACTCGACGGCGATGAGACATCATCCAATTTTGAGTCGTTGTGTGCTGAAAATATAGAACGACATGTTAGAAGAAGCGATAGTTCGAATGAATAAATAGAAAAGAAAAAAATAGAGAAAAAGTATTTGTCTGAAATTGTGGATAGATTGAGACGACATGAGCTCGAGCAAAAATTCGAAGACGAAAAAGAAAATGGGGCACTGCATGCATTTTGTTCATTCCTCATCTTTTTCCGGTGAATTATTGTAGAAGCGAATTAGAAGGAAAAAAAACTCATAAAATTAGGAGGGAAAATTGTTAACTGAGATGAACATATTAGATGTGTGTGTGTGTGTGGATGTAGATCAAACATGCAAAAACAATCCATGCTCCTTGCGTTCACTCATTCCGTTGGCATCGCAACACGTACACGGACTCGTTCCCGTCGATGTCATAATCGAGACGAGCGACGCGGCACCGAGAGCCACGTCGGCGGCCATTTCACGCCAACGATTCACCACACGCACCATTGTCACCACTTTGAGGATTTTGACGCGCGCCGACAATGCGGCCTCCGAGAGCCGACCGCGGCGACGCCAACGCGCCACTTTCGCCGACAACGTGATCGCTTCAATAGGATAATTAGGGAAGGGAGTGGAATAGAGGAGGAAGTGGAAGAGGAAGAGTAGGAGGAAGTAGTGATGGTGGAGGATGAAACGAAAAGAATATGCTGAAAATCGATTGGAGTTTACAACAAAGGTACAACTAGAAGAGAAATCGGGGGTAGGAAAAATCAATGTATAATTAGTTGTGTTAGACACTGCAATTATGGACTAATTAGTTGAACTTAAATGTTGTCAACCCTTAAATTCAACGCAATCCGTTACCTGGATCTGACGGCAAATTTGTCAGCTGATGCTTCAATCCGTCATATTGTTTCAAATGTCGAACTATCGAGCGAGCTGTCGAAGCATTCTCGATAGCGGTTCTCGCTTTGGAAACTTTTCGCTGATACAATTCACTCATCGGATCGGTGTGCATCAAGTCTGAAATTGCTGGAATCATCACAAACTAGAGGCAATTCGAGTATTACCTTGAACGAACATGGTGTCTTCACTCTGACTACTCAATTGACTCTCCAATACTAATGTTTCGAATCTCTGCAACATCCAATGAATTTATTATTCCCAAAACATCGATGTGAGTAAAATTTGAACCTGAATAAAAAAGTCAAAAGTAAGAGTTGTCTGATCAGGAAGAAGAGTTGCGATCATTGTAATCGCATGAATTATTAATGGTCGATCAACGATGCAATGATCAAATTGAGCTTCAAAGCACATGCACATCAACTAAATATTGAATATACATAATTGTCGATGTAATTCTTCCGGAATACCTTTAATGTATGCGTAGGCATAGCTCTCAAAGCAATTATTGCGCGTTGCGCAACTGCGGGATTTGGGTCGTTGAGAGAAGTAACAAAGTGGTAAAATACTGATGCAAGGGACGTTTGTACGACCTGAAGACGGCATCAGCTTGCAAATAAAAAAACTTCAAACCTTGTTCGCTTTGACGGGAGCCGTTTTCATCATTTGGGCAATCACATAAGCCTTTCCAACCGCGTCGAATCGCACATTCCATTGCGGAGAAGTGAAATCTCGATGAACCATTTTCCAGAACATTTCTTCTCCACATGGTAGCGTAATTGCATGGAGCATTAGATGTGTCGAAAGTTCTCCGACCTAGAATATCAAATTGCGAATTGTTTTTGTTTTCGCCGACAAAACCTGAATATAATCCGATCGAAGGCGTTCCCACAATTTCGGAATCATTTGATTCTCCTGCGTCCAAATCAGAAAGCCGCGATGTTCACGTCGCGCATTACTCAACGCTTCGCAATGAAGGCACAAATATTTCAACGAGGTCATACAGAAGAATTCGACATCCGGTTCGAGAACAGTGTCGAGACTCTTAAATATTCACAAATTTCATAAAACATATTGTGTTCTCACCGATAGCAGCGAATGTATCATTTTGAGCTGCGCGGGAAGTTGCTCGAAACTGAATCGGAATCTTCCCACCGATGTCACCCAAAAATCGGACATCGCCGGTTTTTGGATAGGCGTTTGCGGGGTATTAATGATCTGCCCTTTGATGTTCGACTGCACAGTCGTACTGGTGACGATTTGAGCCGTTTCTCCGCCATCGTGCAGCACTGCTTCAGCCATCGCGACTTCCATCTCTTCAGCCGGCAAGATGCCAACGAACTCGCATTCTTCCGAGTCTTCGACTGCTTGAGCCACACACATCGTCGCTTGAAACTCTTCCCCAAATCCTTTGTTAATCGTCGTCGGACCCGGCGACACTCCTTTACTACTTGGATTCGACAGAGGCGAAAGCATCGAACTCGAGTGACCTGTCGGTGTGCTGTTCGTCTGCTCCTCGTACAACGGCTCCTCGTCAACTGTTGTGATAATGGCGACCTCTCGTTTCGGACACACTTTCTGCACAATATTCATGACCATCTGCTGAACAAAAGCCGCCTGTTGGCAAGCTGAAAACGATTCGAATAAACAAAATATGGTGATAAACATACGTGAACAATCCGAGAAACCGTCAAGTTCCGGATCATGACATTGATGCTCAGATGCTCGAATCGGGATGGAGATGAGAAGTTGAATGCATTCAAATAGTCGCTCGACTACAGATGAAGCACACGATCGTTCAACATCGTTCAATCTCATTTGAAGAACGAGAACGTCGACGAGAACGACGTGAACCGACATCTCCTCCTCTTCCAAATCATTTTCCGATAATGGCGGAATTTGAATTGTTTTGAGTTTCGTCAAACATTGTATGAAATTGTCAAGAACCATTCCCATCGGAATCGTGATATCGAGTCGCGAGAGTTGCTGAACAAAATTGGATATTGGTGGCGAGAATGTCGACAACAAATTTGCACTTACATGCCACCATTGGAGAGCATTGAACATCTCATTGTAGTCATCACCAACGAGTCGACTCGTCATGAATCGGAATACATCAGGAGTCTCGAATGGAAGCGGACACAGGTCAGGCTCAAATATTTTGCAGAGCAGAACCTTAAGCTCGGGCTGGTTATCTTCTGTACAGTCATTCACAATCGATTCGAGCCAGTTGGGCATCACACGTGACCAAGTCTCGAGAGAGATCACGTCATACGGCATAAGAGCGAGCAATCTCAAATAATAGTGGTTAGTAGGGTTTGAATGATTGTGATACCTTCCAAGGCCCTCTTTTATTCGTTCGATATGCGGCCGACCATCGTGCTCTTCGCAAACTCCACAAAGTGAAGAAATGAACACATTATTATGGGTTTTCATCGCAATATTTATCCAATCGCAAATGAACTAAAATATCAATTTTTCTCCAAAGATTGACTATACGACATCACTACATCTGTTTTCAGCTGCTCCAAACTGGCTCCCATGCTGTCATTTGGGAGCAGTGCCGTAGTGGCGAACCATTGAAACACATTCTGCATTATGTAGCCAATTGCACGCTGAAATTAGTTTTGTGATCTCGGAATATGTGCGAATTAATAATGAAATTCTGACGGGATCGGCTTGTTCGTTTGGCGGACACAATGCTGCCATCAACCACACCCCGAATCGACTCAACATTCTTCGTTCATCGGCCATTTTGTCGATCTGAAATAGAACACCATTGCATTTTTTCCAGACATCGTCGTCAAACCTCTTTTCCCATCGATGTTCCTCCATCCAATTGTCGCAACCATTTCGGTTTTTTCCCTTCACCTTCCGAACTTTCAAACGTCGTCGTTTCGCGAAGAAGCTTCACAATACTCTCAACCGTCGGCCATTGATCATTCGAACCCCAAACGATTCCAGATCCTTTGTGACGCAGGTGATCGCTATCATCGCCATGAATCTGATTTGTGCAATCAAGACAAAGTCTCATTGGCACATGATTGTGTCCTCGTGTGCATTCGTGCGAGCAGCAGATCACGACCGCCAGTCGAGATTGCGACTGGCACTCTTGCCGCTGACACGTCGCATTACTTGCCGGCATCGGTTGTGCGATGTGCTGCGTGACAACCTTGCGTTCGCCGGTAACCTGTTCAGCGCATTTCTTGCACAAAAAGATTGGCGGAGAAGTGTCGGCGACATCCGCACAAACGACTGGATCATAGCATCGCTTGACACTTGTCGACTTGTCGGTGCACGCCGTCGATTGACACTGAACCGTTCTCCATGCGTGAACTCGATATTGAATTGTCTTCCTATGCAGGATTTGCGGATTCGGAAACGGCCAGTAGTGGAAGAGCAAGTTTGCAGCGGCAACTCGGCTCTCACACGTCCCTTTTGCAATTACTTGCAGCAAATCCTGATAGACATTTGGCGAACAATTCATGGCAGCTTCAACAATCCATGTATGCAAACCTGAAGAATCTCATAATGTCGCGAAACGAGAAGCATCCACAATGAAGTAGGTGACTTAAATATTCTTACTTGGATCATGCGATTGTTGCAAGACAAGCATAATAACTCCCGGGACGCTCGACTTCACGAATGTCTCGTCATTGATTGCAAACGGGAACACACAATCAGCAATCAAATGGACAATCTGAACGGAATTGCAGTCATTATTTAAATATGATTTCGATTTCGAACCTGTTTGTCGAGCTCTCTCGGAAAAACTCCCAATTGGCTCGCTAGAAGTATCGGCAATTGCTCAAGAGATTCTCGTTCGAGGAATATCATTAGAGCTTTTATTGTGTCGAGAATCGCTTCCCCAATCGCTTAAACAATGATTTGATTCCATTCTTTTTTGCTTTGAAAATACCCTGTGGAGAAGTTGTGATGAGCGGAAACACATCTAGAAGATTCACAATCGCGTAGAACAAGGCCGAGTAATTGAGATTCGGATAGAGATTCCATCTTGCCGCGTCCGATGAGTACTTCTCGCAGTAGAACGTCTGTGTGCTCGGGAAATCCTTGAGGAACCTGCAAAACCCAAAAACTCGTTTTCGTTTTCCATCATTTCGTTTCTGGGTGTGCATCTGATTGTGAGTGCATTTCGTCGGCCGCCCAAAAAATCAGCGCCTTCCACGTTTCCGGGAAATTTCGTTTTATTCAACTGTGTTTGACTTGCAAATGCTCTTATAACTACTATATTTTTCTGTTTCTCTTTTGGCCGAAGAGTGAGAGAAACGGCATAATGGAAGATGCGCGCGTATTTGAATACAAAATTCAACTATCGTTTGAATACAAATGACATCATTTGAATATAATGAAGAGCGCAAAACGGCAAAGCGGCCTTTTAAGGAAATTGCTGCGAATTTAATTAAAGTTTGTGCGTTGCGCCTAAACAACTTTCATTGATTGTTTTTGTGGCGGTGCAATCGAAAAGCAAACAATGGTTATTTTCAAACAACTTCAAGTTTTGGCAAGATTTAATTTGGTGGCAAAAAATTGAAAAATGTCTATACAAAAAAAATGATTTTGCAAACAGTAGTGTTGTGCACTGTTGCGTAACCGTGAATGCACATTTTATTTTCTACCGTATCTACGGCAGAAAAAACTCGGTTATTTTTCCAAAATTCGAAAGAATCAACGCCGCATTTTTTTCAGAAAATTGAAGCTGAAATTTAAAAATTCACTGAAATTTAAGGTCCTGTGATATTTTGCGTGGTTCATCGGTTTGATTTCTCGACAATGTGAGCTCACATCATTTTTTGTTTTGCACTTTCCGCGATTTGATGCCCTTACTCACCACCGAACATTTTCATCTATTCATTGCAGTCACATAAAGAGCCAGAGCCGGATAGTTAATTAAATTTTAATCAAGAGTCACGAATGTGCTGTGCAGCCACAATTGCGTTTTTTTTTTCTCGCCCGTCGTAAGCCAACCAATCTACAATGAACCGCACACCAAAAATCCGAGCCACACCAAAATAATCGAGAAAATGAAAAAAAAAGAAGAGTGAATAATTAACGGAAAGCAACGAGCTGACGAATGTTTGTTTTTGTTTATTACTTGGCTTTCTTCTTCGACAGCCAATAATATTACATCGTTTTTTTCTAGATAATTGACTCCATAAAAGGCTGAAGCTGATGATGATGATTAAGGCCGCAGTTTTACGACATTCTGCAAAATTTATCCAATTGAAGATGAAGAGATTAGCTGCTGAGAATGAAATTCGAGAATTTCTCAACGTCATCGAATCCCAGTGTGAATCTCAACATTCGTCTTATATTCCTTTTTCTCGCTTCTCGCCGAAAATGGTGCTCGTTCGACTCGTGTCAAAATCCGGTTATTATCGTGTAAATGGTTTCTAAAGTGCTCATAAAATGTGAATGTCAAGGCCAAAAAAAAAAATAAACTAAGGTTTCTGGAAGAAGAAATAGTCAAAACGAAATCGAAAGAAAAAACGATTTGAAAACACCTAAAATCCCATATATATATTTTTCTTGTAATAAAGTCAATCTGGAAAAACAAAAAATGGATCAATCAAATATTTTGTTTCAGAACAAGTTGTCCATCTCTCGTTTTCCTCCGATTTGAGCCACTTCTCGAAAAATACCTCGTTTCGAATATTTGCGAAATCAAGTCAAGTAGAAAAATTTGGGCACACACGAGGCAAACAAATTAGTGTACAAGTTTGTAACTCAAAAATGAATTTATTTTTTTCCCCCACTCTCTTCTGTCTTCTTGTTGCCGTTGAGAGTACAAACGCGAGAAAAACGAGTGCGTGTGTGTGTTCAACACCGAAAAAACACACATAAAATATTTTTTGAATGAGAAGGGCACCAGATGTCGTCGGAATTCCTCCTCTTGTGCGACACACAATGTCATCACCTAATAAGGGTATTCATGAATTTGAATCAGCACTAAAAATAACGCCATCATACCAGCAAATGTCTCATTCATTTGTGGTGTGTCGAACTCAATTGGATGCCAAAGCGTCTAAGCAATTAACAGACACCACAAGCCATTTTTTTTTGGTGAATTTTGTTGTTTGCTAACAATTTTTAAGCTTCTGAACACAATTCGGATGCATTTTCATTGTGTTTTCACTAACTAATACCCCAAACAAGGATGAATCTGCAAAAAAACAACTCTGCTTATCAAAAGTTGAAGGGAAAATAAGAATTTAATTAATTGTCGTCAAATATGATGCATTGGCCGTGATTGTCTCACAGACAATAATTCCACAAAAGTATGGATTATTCAGAAAAAAAAGCAATCTATCATCAAATTTTTTGCCAATTCCGAGCAAATTCTGTTAAATTCGCGAATATACAACGGATTCCGTTAAAATAAATATATTGGAAGGATCAGAAACGACTAAAAAAATTATTTGTTGTTCGGAATGGAAGATGATAATCTGGGAAAATCCATCTTTCGCTTCTTCTCTTTTTTTTTTCATTTTTTTGCGCTTCTTATTGTGCACAAGAGCCGAGCTCCAACTAGACACGACATATCGGAGAGGATTATTGCGAACTTTGTTTCAACACCACAACCGAAGCACACTTGGCGCATAATTGGTGAAGAGCCCCCTCAAAGTGGACGCGCCAACAAGTACTTTACCAAATTTGTGCAAAAATATTTAGGAAGAAGAAGAAGAAGAAGACGATGATGAGAAAAAAAGAAGAAAAACTGACCCAATCAATGTTTGCTGGAAATATCGAAGAGTGGTGATGATTTCGGCATTTGAAGGCGGCTGCTGATTCGTTGACAACCGAATTTGAAATTCGGAAAGTGTTCGGATTTTCGCCGAAACTGAAATTATGGCAATTTATTGAAGGCGTCATATCGCGAGTTTTCTTTTTCCGATTTCTTACATGTATAATATTTTAACAGAAATGCCATCCTTTTTCGTTTTCAGATGGCTGTCAAAAAATATCGAAGAGAAATCGAAAGGATTCAGAGGGTGTCGGATGCGTGCCGCCGTCGACCCCGCCCGCAGTCCCCCCCCCCGTCGAAGCCCCGCCCACTTTTCCATCGGGTCCCTTTTGTTGTTGGGGACCAGGAAACGACGATTGCCACCGCGCACGCACTCTTGCTTCATTTTATCTCATTCGTTTTTTTTTTATTTTTCTTATTTCCAACAATTCGCACTTGTTGTTGAAGAACCTCACACAGCTCATCCAATATGTGAATTGCATTTCTCAAAAATTATGCAGCAATATTCAAATTGACAAGTCGTTTCAGCAAAAAAAATGAAAAATTTTCTGCGGTATATTCTTTTGAATTAAACTAGATCTTTAAAAATAATCAATAATAGAAAATAAACTAAAAATATTTAATTTCGAGAATTTTTCTGTTTGTATATTCACAATTTCTTCAGTTGTCAAATATTTTCGATGCTTCACAATTTGCTTATTTTCCATTCTCTCTCCTTTCCTTTTTTTATTCAAAAATGGGTATATTCTAATTAAACATTTTTTTTTAATTTGTCGTTAATCACTAAAACTTTGAAAAGGACAAAAATGGATTGAAAGTGGATGAAAAATGTTTGAGACATTCGATTTTTTTTAATCCACTTTTTAGTTTTAGGTTATCTAATGTTTTTAGGTTATCCAATCAATTTTTTAATTTGAATTCCCTATGCACGCACGTCGAAAATTACAAAAAATTGACGCGATATATCGTAATTCTCTGCTATTTATTTTTAAAGGCGCATGCGAAAAGTTGCGCGGGTCACGTCGCGAAGTCGGTACTGTATTTTTTATTTTTCGTTTCTGTGTGCTAATTTTTCGTATTTTTCAAAAACATCGAAGAGAAAATGACTAACGGATTTAAGAACGAGTAAAAACAATTTTTGTTGGTATAATTACTCCTAATTCGACAATATTTGTCTATTTTTTGTCATTTAGATAGCAATTTTTATGAAAAATCGTGATATTTGTGTTAATTTGATGCAGACTTCGCTCGATGACGCTTCTGATGAACTTTCAGCGTTTAGTAAACAAAATACTTCTACAGATTTCAAAAAAAAAAACGTTTTAAACGCTGGAAAAATAAAAAATTCGAAAAAAAACAGCCATTAAAAAATTACAGTACCGACTTCGCGACGTGACCCGCGCAAGTTTTCGCGTGCGCCTTTAAAAATAAATAGCGCGGAGAATTACGATATATCGCGTCAATTTTTTGTAATTTTCGACGTGCGTGCATAGGGAATTCAAATCAAAAAAATTGATTTTTTAAATTTTTTTCATTGCATGAATAGGTCCATAAAATTAATTTTGAAATTTCTGCTTCATTTTTTTCCATAACAATTTACTTTTTGTAGAAAAAAAGAGTAGAAAATTATAATTGTTAGAATCTTGCTATTTTTTTTTCTAGTTTTCTTATAAATTCTAACAGGCATTCTCAACATTTAGTTTAAATGCCATGTTTTTGAATGAAAATTGTAGGCGTCGCGCGATTGCCGAAAATTGGCTAAAAAGGATGGTCTTGGTGCGAACCTAAAATTGTAGTGAAACGGCCCATTGTATAAGGATAGATTAAAGGCGCACACCGTGCACCGAGACCTATCTTTGAATTTTTTGCCGCAGTCGTGCGACGTTGACAAAGTATATTGGACAAATTGGACAATTTTGAAGGATCAAACGCGTTTGCCATTTTTGATCTTAGCGCGAAATCAACAAATTTTTCTCATGCGCCTTTAATATCTACCGTAATGCATTCTTATTAGATAAATTCGTCCATTCTCAACAATATATAACGTTTGAAAAATTAAATGCGAATATAATTTGAAAGACGATAAATATTTTAAGAAGATGAAGTGTTTCAAAATTATATAGGCGTTGTACAGGCTCTCAAACAGTGTTGTCAACTTTTTTTTTGAGTTTATTCCTCTGACATGAGAATCAAAAATTATTTGCTTGAATTTAATTTTTGAAAAAAATTTAGATTCAAATTAAAAAAATCGGAAAGCAAAACAGTCCATTTTAATTTATTTTAATCATGGTTTTTGCGGAGAAAAAATGACTACGATAAAATCGCAAAAAAACGAGCACCTTGAATAATTGTGGACCATCGCACTTTTTCGAGGCGGCAATTCAAATTCGAATTTGAACCGTGGGAATTCAGATACCGTACACAAGACAACCTGCGAATCAAACTCGCTGTAAATCGGCCCAAGGTGCTCATTTTTTGGCGAATGTAAAAATTTATTTCTATATGGAAATCGGGACTGTGCGACAATGGGATTGTCGATTTCTTACTTGAAAATTACATTTTCGGCAATTTGGTAAACAGACTTTGAAGAAATTGCTTTTCTTTTCTAATATTCTTAAGAAATTATGTTTTTTTTTCAAATCACAGCAAAAATCACTATATTTCGACATAAAAACGGAACATTTTGGATCCGGAAAATAAGCGAAAAAAAAATTGTTTCGGGCAGTTATCCGAGTTATCGAATTACCGAAAATTCCAATTTTACCGAAAAAAAAACTCCAAAAAAAGCTCTCCAATTACCGAAAAAAAACTCTCCAAATTGAACGAGAAAAAATCCGAGAGATCTCATGAGCTGATCGGCTTAATAAACGACGAGCAGCAGCTGCGATATCTCGCAGACTTGTTAGCTCACGTTGTAGTAGTTTAAAAAATGAACGTCAGAAAGAGCTTAAAAGTAGTTTTTGAAGACGATTTGTTCAGATTTCGACATATTATCATTTGATAATGACAATGTGATCAAAAATTTCGGATTCCTTGTTCGATCTTCAACTCGGCATTTCGGAAGCTCGCAACAAAAATTCCGAGTTTTTAAATAAATCTTCATCGATCACTAATAGATAAAACGATGAAATGTGATCGTAAGAGTTTCATTTGCTTATGCCAAATGTAAATTTTATTTGAAAGAAATGAAATCTCTTTAATTTGAATCTATTGACTCCGCCCATCGACGGAGACTTCTACCCTTCTCTTTATCAATACAGTAGGTCAGATGTCTCCCATTATTATATTAAAATATCGTATTTCGATTCTATGGATTTCCATAACGATAAGAAGCCATCTCGGGAAAGTCGTTCGGAATTTTCTTATAAGAATTGGCTGCGCAAATTCTGCACTTTGCAACAATTAAAAACGCTCCTATATATCTTTGTGTCAATTTAAATGCGGCTCTCTTTTTTCCGGATGAACTTACATGTTGCAGCACGAGTTGTTGCCATTTTCTAGCCCATTATCATCGCGACTATAATCGATCTGAAATAATTAAACTGAAACAAAGAAACGGTTTATTAGTCAGAAAAAAGCAAATAAACTATTAAAAAAAGTGTTTTAAATTTATAGAATTTTGTTGTAAACTTCACGAAGCTTATTTTAGAATCAATTTTCGAAATGCGATATCACGGAAATGTTTGAAAATATCGTCGTAGCAATTTCTTAATTTTCAAATTAAACTTCAAAAATCTAATTTTAGTATAGAATTGTTGAAACAAATCTTTAATATTTTTTAATAAAGTAGTTTAAATTCTTGAAAACAGTAGTTTTCCAGCCAACAATTCTCATATAACAACTATCAAAAAGAAATTGCATTTTTCTGAAAATTCCAGATTTTTAAAAATAGATTACTATGATGATATTGAGATTAATAATGGAAGACTACTAGCAACATGTATGCAAGTGATATGGTCCATTCTCTATTTTCTTTTTGGTTTCGCTTGGGACCATGTTCGTCGAAATTTGTCGAATTTCTATGCAATTCATTCAAAACAATGAGTAAAAGCAAATTTTCGAAAATCCTTTCGCAGTTTTTTATAAACAATTTTCTCAAAATTTATTCAAAAGTGTTGCCATCCTAATTCGTATTTGCAAAACATCGGGGGTTTCAAAAAAGCCAAAAATTCACTAAACTAATGATAGTAATTTGTAAAACGACACATGTTAAACCCAAAATGAGGGTTCAACACAAAAAAGACCACACTCAAAGGCGCAGCACAAAAAAAAACTAGAAGCATGTACAAAGAGAGAAAAGGCAGACGAGGCTGCGAAAAAAGTGTTGGGACCCAATCAATACGAGCCCGTGAGGCATATATACACAAATGCGGATGCGCGCATTTGTTGTCGTGAGCATGTTGAGTCGGCTCATTTCCCACGGAACAACCGCAATCAACTCAAATGGTCCCACCTAATTCATTTTCATTCGGATTTCATATCATTATCAGAGCGACAAAAAGGAATGAATAACAAAGAATAACAACAAAAAATTAACAACAAATTCAACCAACAATAGGAGATGACGGAAATCGAACTAGGAAGATTCGAGCACGACCTTCTTGCCTTCCACTCGAACTGGACACTTCTTCAGCTTCTCCTCAAATAATTCATCGAAATTCTCTTCTTCTCCGTTTGGATATTCTTCGAGTATCGCCTTTTTAAGCTTCTTCATCTGAATATTTCTTATAATAATAAATTCAATCGTTACTTTTCCGAAATGTTCAAGAAAATCTTATTTTGGATTGAATATTTGAAGTTGGTGTCATTATTAAATTTTTAAAAATTTAAAGGCAACGTCCGGCGATTGCTGTAAACGGGTAGATTTACGGGGATGCGTCTTTCTCTTGGTCTCACACGGACTAACAGGTCATTTCAAATTTTATAGACCAGTTCGACAATTTTTTAATCGAATGACGTTGGAAATTCAAAGAAATATGAAACTCATCAAGAAAAATGAAGCAGTTCACGTGAAAACAGCAAAATAAGCGTTCACACGTGGCAAGACCTTTTCAAGGCACATGCGCGTAAATCTACCCGCGTACAGCAGTCGCCGGACGCCGACGATATGAATATTGAAAATGAAATGGCGAATTTCAACAAATTTAACACTAATTCGGATTTTACCTTCATTTCTCCACCATTTTCCTTCAATTTCCTCTTAATCGCTTTTTTCCATTTGAAATTGCTTGTCTCAACTGTAGTAGTAGTTTCATCTTCATCTTTCTTTTCTTCTTTTTTATTGTTCTTCTCCTCAATTTTTCTATTGGCCGCTTCTTTCTTCTCCTAAACATATTAAAAATCTCAATCAATTTTCAGACACTTCTACACTACCCTCTCGGCCTTTTGCACTTCAGCCTGCTTCTTAATGGCTTCTTGTCTCATTTTCTCGGCTTCAGCAGCAATCGCCTGCCATGCGCGAACTGCTAACGAATTATCACGAAGGCGAAAAGAGTTTTTAAGAAAATTAATGAATTTCGCCTCCTACAACAAATTGGATTGGAAGAGAAATCGATAAACTATCAAACCTTTCTGGGAATGTTCGCAAACCCTGCAACGCTTTTCAGTAGTTCTTTGACTTGCGGATCAACGACCAATTCGATGGCTCGATTTACTTGATCCACCCATGCGTTCTGCTTTACCTCACCCTGAAATTAAAAAAAAAATACTTTTTTACAAAACAAAAAATTCTCCAGTTACCTTATTTTCTTTTTCAACATAATTTTTTCCACCATATTTTTGATTTTCGGTAATACATTTCACGTGATCCTTATATGTGTCTTTTCTGAAATAAAAGAACAATAAAAAACGGATAAATTTTTGAAAAAATCATACGTGAAAACCAGCTGACAATCAATACAACTGAATGTTGCAAACTTGCAAATATACATATGCCGTTCTACCTAGAAAATATCATTGATAAAATTAAAATCGATTCTCGTCGCACCTGGTTTTTCTTCGAAGCTTCTCCACAATTATTGCACGAGAAAAACACCATCTGATAAAAAATTTTGAAAATTAAAATTTCGAAAATTTTAATTCAAATATCGAAAATGCATTTTGAACATTTCAATTTATATTATTATAAAAATTAAAATAAATTATTTTATTAAAAGCTTTTTCCAAAAAGTTTAACCCGATAATTGAAGAAACCAAAAGAAAAGAGAAACAAATGCAATAAATTATGAATATCACAGTGGTCATGAATCGAACTGAAATTGCACAACTCCCTATAAACGAAATATGTTACAGAATTGACTATGCCTATCACCCATTCCATTAATAAATTGTTAAACATTTAATTATTATGTGTCTTTTTCAATTTGCGTCGGCAATATCGAATAATGCCCGCCGCCAAATGAAAGCGATGTCAGTGCGATGCTTTTGCCGTGGAAATCGAAATATAATGTACAATGGAAGAAGATGTTCGAGAGAACCGCCGAGTATTCAACAAGTGCGAATAATGTATAAATTCCCGGCTCACAGTACGTATTATGCCTCCAATATAAATATGCGCCCATTACGAAACAGAATATGAACACTGCCGCTCCTAATATCTTATATTCATATGATCGTTCGCCCTGAAATTTTCACCGGTTTAAAGAATAATTGGAATGTTTTTCTCAAAATTTCCCAAAAAGCCTTATTTTTTCTCAAAATAAGATTTTATTTTTTTGCTGGTCTTTGACCTTTATTTATTGGAATTTGAGAGGGAATCTAAATAAATAGATTTTTTTTAAATTTTTTAAAAGTTTTGTCACACACCAGACAATGAATTCATATGTATCACAAATAAGTCTATAATCTCTTTTTTATTTTATTTTAAATACTTTTAGTCTTGTCGGTCAAACTGAAAGAAATTTTTCTGAATAAATTGCCAAATAAATTTACTAAATGGTCCAAAAAGATTTTTAGCGAAGATTACTTGTGTGAAAACCCAAAGGAATCATATACAACAGAAATTTTCTTTGTTTAGGGATTTTGAGGCAAGAAAACGCTTCAACTTACCAAATTAGTCGCTCGTCTTCTTCCAGATTGATCGAACAGAATTGTACTCAATACCATATAAAGAATCGAACAAATCGCAAAGCCTCCGAAACATTTTGCGTGCATTCCTTTAAGAATAATAATGAAAAATAATAATACTAGCATTTGGCAAACCATGATCTTCACTTGATGAAATCGAAGTTAAAGCTAGAAGAAAGAAATTTTCGAAAATATTCAGAAAACAAGCGAAATTGCAGAGATGTCGGAATCGATATGATCCAGTTAAAGGTCGAAGCGGGGAACTGAGCAAATAATTCCTTTAAAAATGAAGCAAATTATTTTAATTTTTCTTAAATATAATTACCTAAATGCGGCGGAAACAGCAAATCGCGGTCCAATGTGTAAACCAATTAAAATCCTCCAAATATACTTTTCCGGCGCATACGTCGAGACAGCGGCGGATATTGATGGAAGCCTATATATTAAGAATAATAATAATTATTATTATTATCAGTTAATTTACGAAGATTAATTAGAATTAATGAAAACTCACCAATTGTCAACCATACAATGTGTCGATGTCGATTGCTCGAAATGAAGTGTCAGCGCAAGGAATACACAAATGAGCAAAGCAGAAGCCGGAAGACCTCCGATACAGAAGACAAAATATCTAGAAAAAAAACAAGTGAACAAAAATGAAAAAGGTCTTACTTGAATGGTATTGAGAGAATGTCATCCTCTCCTAAGGCCATCGGACTGTTTCCTAAAGCTATATTGAGATAGATTCAAGCAATGAAGAAACAGATATTCATACATTGGCTTAACAATTTAATGGATCATATTTAAGAAAAAGTTTCAACGGTTAAAGGGTTTATACAAGAAACAATAAAAAAAACAACAAATCAACCTGTTTCTACCTATTATCTACTAAGATTATCGGAATTTGCCTTTCCATGCAATATCGTAATTCGACAGCCAACTAGTACAGTTCTGCATATTATTATCAATTACGGTATCCCAATTGAAAATATTCTGGTTCATTTCATTCAGTTTTTGTTGTTTCTGACGTCGTTCGGCAAGCATTTTTTCGCTGACGAATTCAACGGGAAATGAGAATCGCTCGCACAAGTATAACAAGAATGCTTTGGCTTCGATCTCTGTGATATACCCTCCGACTTCCAGAATGATCCTGTTCGCGCGAACCGGAGTCACATACTTCTGAATTGATCCTTTTCCACCTCCAAGTCGCGTTCCTTGAGCTTTTTTTGTTCTTGGAAGCCATGGAGGATCAACTCTCCAAATTGCAAACTGGTTATCAATTAAATTCTTATTTATGCGATCCTGAATTTATACTATTTAATACCCCTTTTATAGAAACAAAAGAACGCACTTGTAAAAATTTAAAATCATCGCTACTGATAAAACCACCAGATACTGCAGCAAGTCCATATTGCTCATGAATCAACTCGGTGTGAATTTCTTCCACTCCTCTCGCTTCAATCATTCTTTTTGTAGATTTATACTTCTTTTCACCCTTTTCCGCATCATAAAAAGGTTCAGATGGCATAACAGGAAGTTTTCTTTGCCCATTTGGTGGAAAACGAACGTCTGTAAATCCAAAATGGAAAACGATAATAGAAAAACACTTACTTTCATATGTTACGGGAAATTGATACTTTTTCATGCCACGAACTTGTTGGGCACATATGCGCTGAATAAAAGCGCAGGATGGTCGTAGGTTTAACATCTATAAATTATATAAATAAAAATGCAAATTCAAGAAATACCATTAAAAAAATATAAAACGTAGAAGCGAATTATGGGTCATAGCGCGTATCACTGACGCATTTTCTGTGCCTGACGCCTTTTTTATTATTTTCTTTGAATTTTTCCATTTATTTTCCTTTTTGTTACATGAGAATCTCAATATTATCACTTATTCTTCAAAAAAATAAATTAGAACTTTTTTTATTTCGAAAACACTTTTCTAATAGACGTAGATAATCGTACAAGGGTAACATTTATCAATATATCTTTTTTTTCTGCATTTCCCCGTAAACGATGATATTCAGCTCAATATTTATCTAAACTGTAATGACGAGACGATAATTTTATACGGATATTTAGAATGATTAATTTTTCAAGAGTTTCACATATTAAAACGATATCTTAATATAAACTGGATATTATTTTTTTCAGGAATAGTGTAATCACATGGCGGAAACTCAGACGTAAGTTAACCGTTTTGATATATCGTTTCATAGCTTTTTTGCCAGAAATTTACGGAATGACGACTTCCGAAAATTGTTGACATCCGCTAGAAGCTCACGTCCGGCAGAATCTACTTTTGCTCAACCAAAAGCTCCCGCAGCTTCATTTCGGCATAAACAGCAAAAATTCAACAAATACAAAAAAAGTGCGCAGAAATCAAGTGCTGGACCACCGAAACCGAAAAAGGAGGGAAAAACTGAAGATGAGGGAGAAGAGGAGAAATTGAAGAATATCCTTAAAAATTATCGAGATCGTGCAGCCGAAAGAAGAAAACAATCCGATGTAATCATTTAAAACCCGTATATTTGCCATTGTTTGGACGTTTTTAGGCGCCTGAAGATCCTACAAAGCTTACAGCAGCTTATCGGGCGGTACCGGGTGACGCTCGAACAGCGAGAGACCAAGCTGATTTAAGGAAACAAGCGATTCTTGTAAGATTTTTTAAAATTTATTTTCGCTAGTTTCTCTTTAACAGAACTTTCGAAAAACAATCATACACGTTATTGATGGAATTTGATTTTATAGGAATCAAAGTACCTCGGAGGAGATATCGAGCATACTCACTTGGTGAAGGGTTTAGATTATTCACTTTTGAATAAAGTTCGAAGTGAAATCACGAAAACCGTCGAAGACGAAGATGATATTGACGCTGCATATGTAAGAATTAAAAGGGGAATTGCTGGTGGAAATGCAAAAATGTCTGAGATAATGGAAACAATTTTAATTTTCGTCCAATTTTTTTAAGAAAAGTCGTTCGCGTTTTTCTTGTCTATTTTGCTCCCATTTTTACAATTTCGCCCACTCCCCATTAAACTCAGATTTGAATTCAATTAATTCATTTTTTAAGGAAGAAGGAAATAGCAAGGCAGCAGCTGCGATATCAACAGAATTAGCTCAGTCAAACTCAGAAAATCGAATGGTGCGTGCAATGCACAGAATATTATTCAAAAATGAGTTGCCAATTCGCAATGAGCTTTTCGCGAAAGGAAGAATGGCATATGTTGTGGAGCTTGAAGACGAAGACGCGGATATTCCGACGACACTCCTCAGATCATTACATGATTGCCCCCGGCCTGAATCGCAGCAATCAATACAAGCAAACAATTTGATTATTTCGAAATTGACTCAAGTACGTTTGGTTTTTTTCTAAGCAGCCTGAAAAAGAGATTAATTAAACACTCGTCTAGGTTTTGGCATATTTAAGAACGGATGTTCGTAAGAAGAAAAAAGAAAATGAGCCGCGAAGAGAGGATGAAAAGAAGAGCTCGAATGAGAAAAGCTCGTCGAAACCGAAGGGCGACAGCATTTACGATGATTTAGACGATTATGTTCCAAATAGAAGACATAGGTTTGAGTTTCATGCTTCCAGTAGTTCATCTTATCGAATTTTAATTAATTCGGAACCGATAGAAAACATTAAATCAATGTTTTAGATCGAGATCCAGATCTCGTGAACGCGACCGTGATCGTCGTGATCGTCGCGATCGAGATCGGGACCGCGAACGTGATCGTGATCGTGACCGTCGTGACTATTTCGATCGCGAGCGAAGAAGGGAAGAACGTGAGAAGCGCGACGAACGAGATGATCGTCGACGCGAATCAGACAAGGAACGTCGCGAAAGGCAGAAGCTTCGAGAAGCCGAAGAACTTGAACGAAAAGAGCGCGAAGAGAAAGAACGCGAGAAAAAGTTGGAAGAGAAACTGGAAAAGAGAAGGAAGGAAACTGAAAGTGCTGGATATGACGAGTGCTATCCGGGTGGGATGGCTGAACTCGGAGGCGGATGGGATTCCGACGAAGAAGACTTCTCAAAAATGGACTTGGGAACCAAAAAAGGAGTTGTTAATCGATGGGATTTTGACAATGAAGAGGAATATGCGAAATATCAAGAGGGCCGAGAAGCACTTCCAAAAGCAGCTTATCAGTATGGACTCAAAGCTGGAGAAGGTCGAAAAACGAGGAAATCTCAAGCAGCAAACGAAGCAAAGAAGCTCGATCGAGAGCTTAATCAAATCAATAAAATCATGGAGAAACGAAAAGCGGCAGAGAATGGGTACTAACTAATAATGAAATAGAAAAATATGCAGCTTTTTCAGAGACGGCGAGTACAAGAAGCCGAAGTATTGACGATCATTGTCCAAGATTATTATATGGTAATAACTGATTGTTTCTTAAATATTATTAAAGTTTCGGTAAAAATTTATTCAAAAAATAAATTATGTTTTTGAATCTTAATCATTTACAAGAAGCGAGAGAGAGAGAGAGAAATATTTTTAGGAATGTTGCCAAATTGTGCACAAAATAAAACTTAAGAAAGGATTTTTGATTTTTTGAAGATGTGCCGATCAACTTTTACATTATCATCGATTAGTCGGTAGAGATAGGTTACAACACTATCCGATTGAACATCGAGAAGGGCGAATGATGGTGTGACGGGTCTGGAAATCAGTGAAACTGGAAAAGAGAAACTCGAAATTCTAACCCATCCTTGTTGACGCTGAATGCGCCAGTTGCACTTCCAGGATCGACGAAGAATTTTCCATTCTTTTCATAAGCGGTGCATTCGTATGTGTTTCCGGTTACAAGGACATCGACATCGAGTTGGCGCGCGAGCAGTTCGAGCATCTCAATTTGATAATTGATTTGTTGTTGCCAAAATCGAAGAGGAAATACCCGAGGATCTCCCCACGGGATAACTTGATGTCCATGACAAACACCGATGCGAAATTGGCCAACTGTAACGACTTTCGTGTCGGGATATTTGAGCGACTCGTCGTCGAAATCGCCTCGAACCACGTGGACATCGCTTGAAAGAGATCTTAATCCAATTATTCAACATTCTTCTACACATTTTTTTATTCGAACCTTAAATAGTCAAAAGTCTCCCTTGTGCACAAATTACCTGTGCACAGAACGTGCTGCATTTTGTTCGGCACCAAAAGTTTTCGGAATTTCGGCGATAAACTCGCAGCTCGATGCGGAAGATGAAAGTCGCCGATTAGGAGAACAAGCTAGAAAATGTGAACGATTTGATTGGATGTATTATTGATGCGAACTTGCCATTTTTGCACCGAGAAATTAGATATCCTGTAAAAACGCTACCGAATTCGATAAAAGCAATACTAACGAATATATAATTAAAGGCGCAGGGACCTATGAATAATAATAAAAAAAATAATTGACTTAAATTGACTTTATTCAACAAAACCCGTGAGAAACAATGATTCAATAAACTATTTCGTCTTTTCCGTTGGATTCTTCGGTGGTCCTGTTGCAAATCCAGCGGGACCACCACGAGCTGTCAGGATTGTTTCAAGAGTTTTCGGGAATATTGAAATTGCCTTGAACTTCTCCCCCATATCTCCCATTAGCATGTTATAAGATTCTAAAACATCGATTTGCTTTTGCGATTCTAATAACTATCGTACTAATCAACTGCAATTGTTTTTCACGATCAGCGCAGATTTTCAACAGACGACGCAATCGGTGCTCGATTCCAACTTGAGCAAGAAATTCCCTAAAATTCAATATTTGAATTTAACAAAAAAACCCAAAAAAAATCAAACCGTTGAATGATTGGCCCAAAAACCAGGGTTTGTTCATTTATAAGTCGCGATAAGTATCCAAAATCGACATCGGCCGTAAGATCGATGTGCCCAGGATCGGATAATGGGTGTACCTTTAACATTTCATATTCACCTTCTAATATTCATGTGTAGAAACCTGTTGATGATTTTTATAAGCTCTGAAAGAATGCGTGTTGCGAGATCCATCGTGCCCATAATCAATAAGTAATGAAAATCCGCCGAATGCGGTTATTCTGTCGGCAATCTGGTTGACGACGGTTCCCGAATCTGGTGAACATTCCCAATTGATTCTTGAAGCATCATCGCGAATATACTTTGGAATCAAACCTCTAAAATTTTCAAAATATTTTTTTATTAAATCATCGATTCTAACTTTGTGTGAAGATTTTCTCCTTTCGATTTCATGAACACCAATTCATTATTTTTGTCCAAATTGATATAACTGAAGTGAACCTCTTATATAAAAATATATAATCTGCGAATTTCTTACATTTCGTTCCAAATATCATTATTTTCCGATCGAGAAAATTGATGAACAGGCAACGCGTCTAAAAATTCGTTTCCGATAAACACAGAAAACTGAAATAAATTGAAGGGTTTTTATATTGGAATAATTGAATACCCCGTCTGGAAGGTCGTCAATCGATTTGTACCAATATATATCGAATCCTTCCTTCGTTTTATTTTTGCGAACAAACGAAGAATTTGGATCAATCGGTTTTGTCGAGTTGTCGACACACAAAAATCTTTCTTGTTCATCGATCAGTGCATCCGACATTTCGACTAAATGAATCGTAGCATCACGATCTTGAAATTTCTCTAGAGATCGCAAAATATCAGCCATCAATTGACCTCTGCCTGGACCAAGTTCCACTAAATTCCAAGCACCTTTATACCCAGTGTTTGCAAGTTCGTGAAATATCCTGAACTAAATATGGTCAATAACACTAGAAGCTATAGAATAAATCTCACCAAACTCCAATCATCTCCCCAAAGAGCTGGGTCAATTCTGGCGATGTTATAAAATCTCCTTGGCTTCCGAAAACATTTTGCTCTTTGGAAAATCGACCATAGTATCCAACAGTCGGTGCTGACACTGATGTTTTCATATATTCTGCGACAGTAATTGGACCAGAAGCCCTAATTTTGTCGACAATAAACCGCTTCAAATGATCATCAACGACTTTCTGAAGGTATAAATTTTTGTCCGGAACAAATTAATAAAATCAGTTACTTTTTCATAGCCTGCAGGTGTAATAATATCCTTGGAGAAACGACGAACGTGCCATAGCACTCGATTAATGCGTGAATTCAACATTAACCGAAAACCAAATGTCGATTTTTCGACAAGAAAATAACTGAAATATTTTATAGGATTTTTTCATTTTTTAATCAGCAAAAACAACGAAATTCTAGAACAGAATTATTAAATTTTGCAAAAAAAAAAAAACAAAAAAATAAAAGTGTCGTCATATAATGCGCTTGCAGAATGCACATAAATGTTTTACGATAAATGGCGCCGCATATTTTTCGGATTGTCGTACGAATTCCCATTTTTCAGCTTTTCCAACTTAATTTCATCACCTTTATGCTTATAGAACATGGCACTCAATAAGGACATGCATCCCAGGAATCCTTATAAGGATAAACCACCGGACTTTAAAGCATTAGCTTTAGAATTTCCTGAATTTCGGAAGCATTGCAAGCTCGTGAGCAATGGCAAAGTGATTATGAACTTCCAAGATGATGCTGCTGTTAGATGTCTTACTCAAACATTATTAAAGAAGGATTTCGGTTTAGAGGTAATTTCGTTAGCACTTTACTTATTTTTTATCAACTTCATAGGTTGAATTACCCATTGGAACCCTTGTTCCGCGAATTCCATCGCGATTGAATTATATATTGGCTCTAGAAGATTTACTAAAATTGAATAAATTAGACAGAGACGTTTTAGGGATTGACATTGGTATGTTTTTACATTCAGTTTGAATCAAAATACATCTTCTCTTTCAGGAACCGGTGCTTCTTGTATTTATGCGTTGTTGGGGGCAAAAAAATTCGGATGGAAATTCGTCGCGACTGATGGAGATGCAAAATCTGTAGATACTGCCCATCGAAATGTTGCAAATAACAAACTATCAGCTCAAATCTGTGTGGCTCTTGTTGATCCCACTGCGAAAACGATTCTCATGGATATCGTGAACGAACTTGGCGACAACAAAGTATTCACGTTTTGTATGTGCAATCCGCCATTCTTTGAGTACAACGAGACGAATCATAAATTCTGTGCAGAACCATCTTTGGGAGGAGAGAAATACTCAAATAGGGTTATTCTTGATGAGCGATCTGCTCCACATTCGACGACATACGCATCGTCGGCCGAATTGGAAGTTGAAGGTGGAGAAGTCCAATTCGTGAATCGAATTATCGACGACAGCATTATATTGCGCGACAGAATAAAACTATATACTTCATTGCTGGGGAGAAAACAGAGCATCAGACCACTAAAGCGACGATTAGAAAGGCTTGGAGATGATGTGAAACTGAGTGTTTCGACAATAAATCAAGGGAAGACACAACGATGGGTCATTGCGTGGACATTTTCCAAAGATGTTGTATTAGCATCAACGGTAAATAATAATTCTTGCTGTAAAAAAGTTCTAAACAGATTATTTCAGGAAAGAAAAATTTTGTTGAATTGTCCGAAGCCTGGACTTCTTCGATTAGAAGAACAAATGAAAGCATTGGAGGCGAAATTAAAAAAAGAAAACGAAACTTCGGTTAGTATGTTTAGAAAATAAAAACGTCTCAATACGTTATAATTTTGAGTGTAACCTGCTAATTACGTTTTCAGATAATATTCGAATGTCGAACTGTTACGTGGACTCATCAAAGAGCAAGAAAAAGAGCCGAAGCTCGTTTGGCCGCTGATTGTAATTATTTGAATTCTATAAAACGTCAAAAATTGCAATTCAATGATGTGGGCTGTCAAATCTTTTTGGGTGTTGGAGACGGCAAAGATTCTCTCAGCGACAGTGGCAATTTCGTATTGTGTGAAATGGAAAACTCTGAAACTCCCAATAAAGTCAATACCATCGTTCAGGTATATTCATCGAATTCCTAAAATATTTTCAACCATATGTGTTTAGGCGTATTTTCCACTTCCAACTGACGGAATGACTTATCAAGGAATCAGATTCCGCGCTACTCTTAACAGTTCAAATGCAAACGAAGACGAAATCAATTTTGAACTACTAAATGGTCCCAAGCATTTGATACATCAACTCTTACAACATCTCCGAAATGTATTTTCTAAGAAAAATGTAATATAATCTATACATATTTTTTTTTCATAATAACGCTTTAACTTGATTTTCTAAACCCGTTCATTGTTCGCACCTTTAAGATGTTTATGATCTCACTAATTTGAGTTTTGCACGCTAGATAAATGTTTAAATTTGTCTTCCCCTGATATTCACTTTTATGGTTAAATAAGTGGTTTTCAACAACAATCTATGAGGGCAAGCGCGCTCTAATGCAATTCTAAATAGTACGTATCGCGAAGAGACGCAGAGAAAGTATAGTCGATTAAAAATTTTTCGCAGTTTTGCGCTTTTTTGTTGCATTTCTTTGTGTTTTCTTACTAATTTTAGCAAATTTTATCAAAAATTTTGCAGTTGCAAAATGCTTCCAACAAACTTTGGATTTTTTAATCCAAATATTATGGCGGCGGCTCAAGCACAAGCGTTGCTTGCCCAAGCTCAAGCACAGGCTCAATCTAGAGGTAAAATTTTCGATGTTCTGCTTGAAAATGTCTTCAAACTATTTAAGTATTATCACAACCATCGCCTTTAACCGGAATGCCATTGATTCCTTTACCAACATCCGCCGCTCCCACGCGACCCTCGCCAATGTTGGTTCCGCCTGGAATGGCGGCTGAAGACAGTCAAACGTCATCTCCACAAACTAACGTTGATTCTGAATGGACCGAGCATAAACACACCGATGGACGTGTTTATTATTATAATAAAATCACTAAACAATCGTCGTGGGTGAAGCCAGATTCGTTGAAAACGGCGGAAGAAGTATGGTGATTTGTATTTTATCAATAATTTTGTAAAAATTTCAAAAAAAATCTTATCAAGTTCTGTTATATCAATAATTTTATAGGCTTTAATCAAAAAAAATGTTGGATTTTTTTTCAGAAGGCTGTCAACCAGTGCGTCTGGAGAGAATACAAGACCGACGAAGGAAAGCCATATTACTACAATGTATTAACAAAGCAGACGACGTGGACAAAACCAGAAGGACAGGAAATATCAAGTGAGAAGTTTCTCGAAGGTTTTGATTGATACGTTAATTTTTAGAGCATGAGCCAAAGAGTACGACGCCAGTTGTTCAAACAACGAAATCAGTTGAGAAAACGGTATGCCGACGAATTTCGAACGAGTTTATTTACAAAGAAAATTCCAGGAAGAATCTGATTTGGACAAAGCGATGAAAGCTACTTTGGCATCAATGGGAGGCGTTCCGTTGCCAGCCGAACCAAAACAAGCGGAACCGACGAACGATGAAGCTGAATTAAAGAAACGTCAAGCTGAACGATTCAGGGAGCTCCTTCGAGACAAATATAACGATGGTTGGTTATTTTCTCATATATTTCATATTTGCATACTCCATTCAATTTTATAGGGAAAATCACTGCGAATTGCTCTTGGGATCACGCTGTAAAGTGGATTCAACACGATCCAAGATTTCGAATTTTGAACAAAGTTTCCGAGAAAAAGCAAATTTTCAATGCTTGGAAAGTTCAGCGACTCAAAGAAGAACGGGTAAGAATCAAACATTTATGCAACAACTGGAAACAAACAAAACAGTCTAATATAATACATTACTACAACTATTATCCGTTTTCAAAATCATTTTAACGTGATTTCGTTGTCAGTGAGCCGCTTAATTGTTAGTTCAAACAACTCATCTTCTGTGCAATTCGCATTTTCGGACTCATTTTTGACAACGTTGAACTCATTTATGAACTGTTGCGATACGCTAGTTTTTGAGCTATCAACTTGAATGGCTGCTGTATTTCTGAACCTCTTGTAGAATTTCCTAAAGACAAAAATCAAAACAAAAGTTTACATTGAAAAAATACGCTCTAAGATTGTCTTCTTCGTAGAAAATTGGGCGAATTGGCTCATCGTGCTTTGCAAGCTTCACATTCCAATCTGGAGGTGAAAGAGGAGGAGATGAGACGTATACGTCGTACCTAAAATTTATCGAAACAATTTTTGACGATTAAAAAAATTACCAAAGTGGTCGATCTGCCCAACTGAGCTGCCCTGAGCGAATTAATCCGGTCACACGTGAAAATATATTACCCGATCGTTCCGCTCTTGTAATAAATGAGGACATATTCTAAAATCTAATACTCGAGCGTAAAAAATATAATCTTGGAGTTTTTCCGCCGAAAAATCCAAAAAAAAGTGGGCGGTGCCAAATTCCATGCCGCAATGCAACAACGCCGCATAGAGTTGTAAATTCATTTATTTTTTTTTCAATAATACCTTGATTCCAAGCGATATTAATGTCCGAATAAAATTCTGAAACATTGATTGAAAATATTAAATATAAAAGAATATGTAAAATAATTTTTCAGGAAGAAAAAAGGCTTGCTATTAAAAAAGCAAAGGAAAATTTGGAAAAATGGCTACAAGAACATCCGAAAATGAAAGAAACTTTGAAATATGGAAAGGTAGATTTTGTATTAATGACCAATATCTAATTAAATGTCAAATTCTGAACAGGCGTGCGATTTATTCGCAAAAGAGCCAGTTTGGCAAGCTGTTCCCGATGAAGATCGGGCTGATATATTCAAGGACTGCATTGATTTTGTGGCTAGACGAGATAAACAGAAGAAAAAAGAAATTCGTCAGCGAAATAAGGATGCTTTCACACAAATTTTACAAAGTATGGATCAAATCACATACCGAACGACTTGGGCGCAAGCACAAAGACTTCTTATCGAAAATCCGCAGTTTGCCAATGATACTACTCTACAACGTATGTTCTAGAGGTTTTTTTGTTAAATAATTGGTTTGTTTTACAGACATGGACAAAGAAGACGCGTTGATTGTGTTTGAAGATCATATAAAAGCTGCCGAGAAAGAATATGAAGAAGAAAAAGAACAAGAGGAGAGGAGATTAAGAAGGAAAGAAAGAAAAGTTCGTGAGCAATTTCAGCAATTGCTTCACGATTTACACAAAAAAGGAGAACTTACATCAATGTCTCTCTGGACTACGCTTTTCCCGATTATTTCACCTGACAGCCGGTTTGATGCTATGCTTCTGCAATCAGGCTCCACTCCTCTCGATCTGTTCAAGTTTTACGTAGAAGATCTCAAAGAACAATATGGAGAAGATCGGCGAACGATCAAGGAGATTTTGAAGCAGCTGGGAAAAACTGTCGAAGTTGACACGCAGTGGGAAGATTTCGCCGAATGGGTATCATCGCATGAATTGGGAAATAAAGTCGATCAGGGAAACATGAAATTGTGCTACAATTCGATGGTTGAAAAAGCCGAATCGAAAGAGAAAGAAGCGGAACGAGAAGAATCGCGAAAGAAGCGAAGATTAGAAAGCGAATACCGAAATCTGCTCAAATTGCACAATGTCGATGTAGATAGTAAATGGTCTGTGGTAAAACCAAAAATCGAAAAAGAGAAGGCGTATTTAGCGGTGAGTAGATTTTTATCTACAAAAAAAATTTTACAACGATCAGCAAAGCTCTTAATAAATCCGATCTTATCGATCGTGTAATTTTCTGAGAAAAAACACTCACGTAGAATTAATTTCTCTTATTTCCCGTTATTACTAAGCTGAAATTTTGCTCATAATGGGTCGAGGTGACAAACTTTCGCTGGATGAAATGATAACCATTGGAAAAATGACGAAGAGCGGAGTTTCGATTCGGAAAATGTCCGAAATACTCAACAGATCTCGGAGTGTTATCACAAATTATATGCGTGATCCCGAGAATTACGGAATATCAAAAAATAGTGGGCCAACGTGTGAACTCAGCGATCATGAGAGCAAAGTTATAATGTTTATGAGCATTTTATCCGAGATGAGCATTCCAGAAATGAAAAAGGAATTGAAATTATCATCCTCGTTAACATCAATTAGGAAATCGATTTGTAGAAGTTATGAATTGGTAGTTTTTTTCTTAATTATATCACGAGTTTATAAAATTTATGATTATTTTTTTTCGATTTTCAGCTAGAAAACGATGCAGAGTGTGAACGGTGCTTCGAAGAATACAAAACCGCGTTGAATGAAGCATGCCAGCATATTCATCCTGCTGCGCACGAAAAACAGAAGAAAAAGAAGAAGGACAAAAAGAAGAAAAGCAAGAGGAGTGATGTGAGTTGGAAAATCAGATTGCGAATAGAATTGGTTTCGATATTTCAGAAGGATTCTGATTCTGATGGAGAACTCCGTGAGAAGAAAAAGAAGAAGAAACATTCAAAAGATCGCGATAGCGATGACGAAGGTTTGAATTAGTTCAAATTAGTTCCAATTTCAAAATAAGTTTTCAGAACGAGGTAAAAAGTCGAAAAAGTCGAAGAAAAGGTCGAGATCAAGATCAATGAGTGATTATGAAGACACTAAGCGGCCGAAATATGATTCGGAATCGGATTAAATGTCGATTACTTTTTCGTTTTTTGTTAATTTTTCCTTATTCGATCTCGGTCTCGCTCATTTTTTTTCAATCGATTTCCTGTTTTCCTTCATAATTTTATTTGAAATTTTAATTAATGAACCAATTTTGAAACTATTAATATTTGACACAACGTTATAACGATCCTGAATATTTCCATGTTTTGTTAAATATTAAAATAGTTTTTTTTTTGAAATGTTTAGATGTCGAAAACAACAAAACAAGGACTTGCCGACTCAAAAAAGGTATTTTTTACGAATAGCGTAATTGTTGAACTTTGGCGGAATTGAGTGATATTCACAAGTCGAATTGATTTGCTGTACTCGGGTAGATTTACGCGCATGCGCCTTGAAACGGTCTCGCCATGCGTGAATGCTTATTTTGCTGTTTTCACGTGGACTGCTTCATTTTTCTTGATTAGTTCATTACTTGAAATTTCTAAAGCCGTTCGATTTAAAAAATTATCGAACCGACCCATAAAATGCGAAGCAACCAGTTAGTCCGCGAGACCACGAGAGAAAAGCATCCCCGTGAATCCACCCGCGTACAGAAGTCGCCGGACACCGACTATGCGATATTTAGATGTCGAGTGAGCTATTCTGTCTCACTTACGGCTCTCTTGTTACCGAAATGCTGAAAGACTATGAAGATCCGAAGGAAGTGACAAAGAAGCTCGACCAAATGGGTTTTAACATTGGAGTGCGACTTGCTGACGACTTTCTTGCCAAAAACGCGAATGTTCCGAGATGTCGCGATGCCCGTCAAATCGCCGAATTCTTGTGCAAAAATGCTCTTCCTTGTTATTTGGGTAAATTGTTTTCAAAACATTCTTCAATTTGAGCACATACGTTTAGGCGTCTCTGCATCTTCTTCAAATTGGACAAATGGCGATCGCGAGTTCACAATCACTCTCGAATCGAATCCGCTCACTGAGCTCGTGCAAGTTCCTCCGAATCTTGTTGCCTCTGGCTTAAGTTATTCGCAATTAATTGCCGGAGCAATTCGAGGAGGTCTCGAAGCTGTCCATTACAAGGTCGGTTATTATTTAATCAAAATGCATCGAAAAAGCAATCCCAGAAAGTGAAACCTCTTTTTAATTTTTCACTTGGATACGAACCTCATTTTTTTTGTGATTTACAACTTTTTTAATGTACCTATTGATTCAATTGATTTAATTTTTGACTGCTAGAAGCTCAAAATAACACGAAATTGCAATCAATATAAACTAGAATATTCATGATTTTAAAAATCGAAGCGTATTTCAGGTTCTCGCTTCGGCTTCAGACAACGGTTCCAGCACGATGATCCAAATTCGATTCGAAGGTGTCCTCAAGGACAACATCCCGGCGGGAGAAGATTAACGCATAATTAACAACATAAGTATATTGCACGAGCTCATTTGATTCTTGTTTGCATTCCATAAATTATAATTGAACAGTCTGCCCAATCATTTATCGATTCTTGTTCTAATGGGAAAAGTTTTATTTACAGGAGAGCGCATCTCTCAAACGTTTCATAATACGTAATTAGTGGGAAATTATGAATAATTGTGTCAACGGAACTGAAAAAGAAATGAAACAAAGTAAAATTATGCAATTAACAAATGCGAATTATGATTGAACAAATTATGCACTTTGTTAAACACGACGTCCCTTTTTACTTTTCAACATTTCTAATGACCCGTGACGACAACAAACTGAATCCCGGTAAATAAAAGAAGAATTTAGCACAATTGGAAAAAAAAAACGATAATTAAGTAGAAAGGTGCCACCGGGTGGAATTATACAAATAAATAAATAAAAAACATGAAGAAAAATGGAAGAAATTGCAATGGAAAGGGAGGCGACCTCAAACTTCGAAGTTGTCTCGATTTTCATTTAGTGTCTATACATGTGAGTGTGAGCTCGACGACATTGCTCGGGAAACGTACACTTGAATCAGATTCAGCTAAAACAAACAACATTAAAAAGATGGTCGAGTTTTTAAAAATTTATAGATCAAAAAATGCTTTGATGTTTGGGCTGCGAAAAAAATATATATTTAAATGCGCTTTTAATGCTTTTAATTATACTGTACTTCTTAATACATTTCATATTACATCGAATCAGCAGAATTACAATCACCCCCGCCCCTCTTAAATTAGTCCGACCCCGATAAAGTGAGCTATTAAAACAAATGGTTTCTCAGTTTTTCTTTTTAACAAATCGAACTTGGACCAACCTTGTTTCCGGTAAGTCTTTGTAAATGTTTCTCCATCAGCTTATTTCCGACTTTATTGACCATCGCAACAAGGCAATAAACGGCGCTTTTTCGCACTGACGATGTCGGAGCATCATACGCCTGAAAAGATGTCGAATTTAATTCTGATCGGCCATCGGAAACAAAACATACCCGAATCGCACATGGCGCTATTTCATCAACAACCGGCGCGAGTTCATCGGCTGGTAATCCCTCAAACAATCTTGTGAGCATTTTGAGAATAAGCACCATTCGAGTATCATCCATTGGTTCCTTAACACATTAAATAGATTGACATATTTCATAAAAATTACCTCATTTAAAATCAATTTTGCAACATTTACTACTTTCGCCAATGGCAAATGAGTTGCCAATGTCTTCAAACAGTCGTCGGCAGCTACAATCACTGTATCGTCTTTCGAATGAACCGCAGCATCGAGCACTTTGCACATCGCCATTTCCGTCGAATCGAACAATCTCGCTGCTTGCGCCGTGCACATTTTCGTGAGAACTCTCAACGCGAGTTTTTTGTTCGAAACCGATTTTCCTTTCGATAACACCTGAATGAAAGAAAGAAAATATTGGGGAATTTGTTTTTTAACGAAAATGTTAACCTCAAACACGGCAAGCAAAAGTTTGGCAAAATTTTGCTCCCAGAGAGTAAATGATCCCTCACAAAGCATGTTGTACATAGCTGCAATGCCTTCGTTTTGCTCAGCCGGAGTTGAAGCTTCTGTCATTTTCGTTATCTTCTCTTGTACAAACGCGGCCTGCTCGGTTGTATCTTCGGCAAGATGCATCGTCGAATTTATCTGAAAGTGTTGAATAAGCGTTAGTTCCAAAAAAAAATCACGCTAATTATGCAAATACACTACTATCCCTTACCGGAAAAGAACAATTTCGACTGAATATTGGTCTAAAACGATAATTTAGTGAAACAAAAAAACATGAAAACATTTAGAATCGGAAACTCGACAGAGCCTTAGTCGGAATATTGTTGCGTCGAAATTAAATGAACATTTCAGAATTTGACAAACTCATACAAAACAACATTTTAAAAATATTTGTCACAATAAATATATACTTACTTTCAGCCTATCAAATGACTCGTTCAATCCGTAATCATCTTCTCCGTTCTGTGAATTTATCGGACGAAGAGGCCCAAGAGAAGCAAGCTTCTGATGTGGCGGAGATACAATATTAGAACGCTGAACTGCTGGTTGTTTCACATTTTGCGGTGAATTGTGGGTTTCTAAAACAATAATTAAACGGTTTTCCGTTTGTGATTTCAACATTCGAAACCTCCCAAAACATTTCCCATTCGTCGATTAGCTTGTCCAACAAAATCGGCAATCTGAGCTGTCGTTTGGCTAATATTCGTTCTGACACATTCCTCTTCATTCGCAACATTTTGCTCAACAGCATGTTTCGGTGCAACATGATTCTGATGTTCGCTATGACCGTGCGCTTGGAGGATTCGATATGCGAGATCACGATAATCCGCGTCGAAATCATTAAAAAGCGATGAAAAATCTGCGGCATTAACCGAGAAAAGCGAGCAAATCACTTTTTCGCAAATCTAAAAAAAAAAGAGAACAAACTTATAAAATAGAAACTAAAATTCACCGGTGCCAACATTTGTCCATTCTTTTGATCAGTCATCCACGCGAAAATTTTGCGCATTGCTGAATTCATTTGTTTCGTATTGAAACTCGATCCCCTTTCCATATGCTTACAAAGCAAATCGTTGAGATAATCAAGCATTGCGAGTCTTCCCTGTCGAAAAAATCGTAATTTTTGATAAAAATTTACAAAAAAAAAACCTTGGGATTCAGTAGTCGAATTGGATCAATAATAAGCTCGCATACGGTATTTAATTGATGATTTCGATCGAACGACGCGAGAATCAACTCGAGAACCGCCACAATTTGTTTTTTCATGTTCGGAAGAGTTTCGGTTGCCTTGCGAGTGAAAATCTTGTGAAGGCCGAGTTTAAGCCAATCGGAAAGACGAGAATGATGTGTTTGGACATAGGCGGAGACAGCGTCGAGAACCGACTATAATCAATGAATTGGAATAGACCGAATTGAAATTTAAATACCGCTGCGCTAATATCTGATAGTAATCGATTGATGGTGTTTCCAATATTCTTCAATTCGACATCGCTCAAATTTGGATCTCTGAATTAAAAAAAAAACATTTTGCTTCAGCCGTAACTAAATATTCATACATGCAAACATCCACAAGTGCTTTGATTCCTTCTTTTTTCTCAGTTGCTGATGACGAGGCGCACGCACGAAGAACGGCATCAACTTTCGACAAATCCATTGTAGATTTTGGAGGAGATTTGACGATTTGTCGCTTTGGCAACAAAAACTCATCATCTTCGTTTCTCGATGGTTGGCGCTGAAATTATTTTCTTTAATGTCAAACGAGAACATTTCAAAAAAAAAAAACAAACCAGTTGATATTGTGCCTCATTCACTGCTTTCTGCAATTTCAATTGCTCCGAATGTGGAAGAGAAGTGAAAAATGCCGAGTTTGCAAGATTTGATTTTTCGCGTTGAATCTCTCTACCAGTAGTAGATCCTCGTCTTGGCGGAGACGCGTTTCGAGAACCAGCTAAATTTGATTTTTCAAAATAAAATGAGAAATGCGAAAAAATTGCAAATCTCACGTTGTGAATTGGTGGAAACTGTTTTAGGTCGAAGATTTGAAGAAGTTCTTGGTCCCATACCAAAAGCAGCAGGCCTTGTGAATTTTGCTGAAAACAAGTAATTTCGAAATATTTAACTATTAAAAACTCACATCCTCCAGGTGAAGTGTCAACCTTATTCAGCGTTGTCCTAACAGTTGCAGGACGTGCATATTTGGATCCTGGAGTCATAACTGATCCGGTCATCGGTCGCGTGATTTGCTTTGTATCAATAGCCGATGCACTTCGTTGTGCAAGGAACTCTTCAAATTAATCCATTTACATAGTTGAAATACGCATTCATAAATTCATACTTGCACTAATATTTGGAGCTGGCCTCATAGCACCCGCTGAAAGTTTCGACCGCATTGGAAGTGATCTCTCGCTACTAATCGAGGCATTCGACGAGGCTGCATCAGCAGCTCGAAGCATTTTCTGCTTGGAAGCATCAACTGACTGGAAAACTTTCTCGGCTTCGGTTGGATGTAATTCGTCAAGTTTTGCGAACGCTTTTCTTCCCGCAATTCTCGTTTCAGAATCGGCGTCATTAATTGCAGCTTTGATTAGTTCGCAAATTTGCCGCATAAATGGCTGAAAATTGATATAAAGCATTGAAAAGCTTGATTTATAAAATCTTACATTTTTACGTTGGTCACTCCAATGAGCTACGACTGTCTCAATTAGATGTGCTACTTGTCGCCTTAAATTCTTATCCTTTGATGTCGAATATGAAGCGATCGCGGTGAATATCTGTTTCGTTTGAATATACTGGGCAACAAATAACGAAAGTGTCGCTCCACTCGTTGCCATGATTTTTGTGCTCACGGCGGTTTGAGCCATGGCTGCGTTGAAAACTGTTTCACCAATCGCGTGTGCATCATTTCCGAATTTCTCGACAATAAAACTACAGGTGATGGCCGCTTCGCGAAGAACTTGCGAACGCAAATCCTTAACAGACATCTCGAGAGCATCATTGAGACGGAGAAGCTGTTGAAGTAGCTGTGAGCGATCGACGACTCCCTCGCTATGAATGATAAGACTCCGGATGATCTTCAGCTGATTGTTGCGTTTTGTCCAATCTTCGGTGGATTTCGTCAAAATCGGCAACGCTTGATCAATTTTTGATTTCACATCGCTTATTGAATGAACCGTCTGAAAAAAAAACGTTTCACGCTTGCATTTCTAAAAGAGATTTTTACAACAATTCTTTATCTAGATTGGAACACAATTTTCCGCTTGATGAATTTTTTCAAATCAAGATGAAAGATTTTCGGTTTATTTTTCAATGAAAATTGAACGGCATCACGATCATTTTTCTCATTATTTTTGGCACTCAAAGCGTATTGTACTGAGATTGCGAAACTATAATGAATCAATGAAAACATCGATCAGCTAAGATATTTCACAAAACAAATTCAAAAGACGTATTATTTTGAAAGGAAAAATAAAAATACCGTTGCTGGAACATCCGAGAAAGAATTGATAAAATCAGTCTTGCTAACTGTGCATGCACCAGCAGCATTTCCAGTTCGCGACGGAACCCTTTTCATGGCTCTGAAATAAATAAAGATTAAATGTCGAATTGTATATAAATGGAAAAATAACAAGACTGTGCAAACAATACACGTCAACAATTTCGACAGTATCGATGTTCGAAAATGACAAACGGAATGCGCCTGTTATACGGAGTAGCACAATGGTTTTGGACGACAAAATTTGTAATTCTCGAAAGAAGAAAGAGACGTACGACGAATAAATTATTCAATGAAAGGCGGGCATTCGTCAAGTATTTAGTCATTCCGCATTTTTTTGCGAACATTTAAAAAACCGATTTTAGCAAATAGTGCGATTGAGCGAACTTGCGACACTCATGAGTGCCACGATTTCGGAAACGTCTTAAAACAATATGATTCTGGAATAGCAAATTGAAACTCGAAAACCAACTAACTAATTGGGGAAGATAAAACGAAGCAGATTTCGAAGAAGATTGAAGTCCCAATATTCGCCGTCTAATATGAGAAAATGCGGAGATTGATTCTGAAAAGAATTGTCATATTCTTAATCAACTTTTGTTGTTCGCAATTCGATCACCATCGCGGCAAAACCGAACATAGTAGTTTTCATTTTATTTTCCTCATTTCTAGAAAAGCGGAAAAACCGATTATCTCTTTAACGGAACTAATAATGGTTGAAGCATAATTGATAAATAAATGTGGAATCCAGTTCGCCGCAAAACCCTATATTTGTCGAAGACAGACGATTTTCGGGCCCGCGTAGAAATTTGAAAACTACACAGCAATTTGGTCTTGAAACACTTTGTTCATTCTGAGTATCAAAAATGCAACATATTTCAGTGTAAATCAAATCCATAAAAATGTGTTCGCGACAACAATTGAAACAGAATTTGATCTAAAAATCGACAAATATGATCGGAAATCGTTAAATAGATTTGAATAATTAATAAAGTTACGACGAAATTTTACTAGAAAATTTAATTTTTGCCGGCCAATATCGGCGTATAATAAAATATTCAGATAAAAGATGAAGTCGAGACTGAATCGAATGAGAAACTCACTAAAAAACTTGATTCGACCATCATTTTTTTTTTGAAATTCTCGCACGCGATAAAGTATTGCATTTAAAAAAATAAATAATAATTGAAAAATGCGTGTTTTGGAATAAAAAACCATTCGCATTTACTCTAAATTGTAGCATTCAATCAACTGACAGAATGAATTTTGCGGCAAAATCGTAAATTTCGACTGAAATGGTAAACGAAAAAAAAACATCTGAAATTTTTCAGAGAAAAATTTTCTCGACAAATTAGCGTGGTAATTCATTGAATATATGAAGCTGTATTTTGTAATCAGCGAATTTAGTGTGTTACTAGGAGTTTGCCAGTCGACGAGATCCCGCAATATGCGAAATACATTGCGGATGAAGTCTATGCATCGATTCCCAATGACAATTCAGACGTAAGTTTTCAGAATCCGAAAACAACTTTTCGATGTTTTAAGATGGAAATGGTGGTCAGTATCAAATTTTCAAAGTATCTAATATCAAAGATTTTCAATTTTAAAAACGAAATATATATTTATAGGAATATACAAAAAGAGATAAAACGAATGATAATGGAAAGTCTGGAAGAAGAGTTACTGCGATAATAAACGCTTAAATGATATTTTCAATAAATAATGTAATCCGAGTTTAGAAATACCAGAATTGAATAATGACATCTCAAAAATAAAATTCTATTGTAACACAGGAAATAATTTGAATAAACAGAATCTACGAAATGAAATTTGAAGATTCGATGAGAAAAACTATAATCGAGTAATCAGCAATATTTGCACACTATTTATGCTTCTCTAATATCTTTTTATTTTGAGATGTTTCCGGAGATCCGTACTTATATGAACATTAATATACATATCAATTGCAATAATAATGAATAGAGAATCTAAAGCTTGCAATGAAAATCTTAAGTAAACCGAGGCTGATTTGTTGCAAGAGTACAATCAAATACTCGTAAAAAATTGATGGCTTTCACTCGATATTTAAGCAATTGAATTTCCAATTGTTCCAAAGGCATATTGTTTATCTGAAATAATTTTGGATTTATTGAAATTGGATATGAATGAAACCTTGATAAACGCTATTTGTTTCGTTTTGGGATGGTTCACTTTGGCGAGTAATCCTCTTCGTACCAACTCATTAAGAGCGGCAATTCTCTGAAAAAAAAATTTAACGAGAAATTCAGATTTCATTACCACTCGTTCCGGCATCGGCGGATAATCTTCTGCCTTGACTTCAACGTGTTTCGAAAGCAGAATCATGCGGCAAAATACGTTAACCAGTTCGTATTCTTTCGGGTTCAATTCCTCAATTTTTTGAAAAAAATCCCTTTTTGATAGCAATTCTTTGCTCTGTAAAACGAATATTATAAATTGTGCATGATTAATCAAAAATACGCTGGAGTCTGCCTTTTCAGAGTCACCAATAAAACGCGGCGTTCCTGCTGATTCGATGTTGTTCTGAATAAGATAAAAACAATACAATTTCTACCCACAATCATTATACCAGCAGCTCTGCTAATGTGACTTTTGGAAGTTCTTGTTTCGTTAAAGTTTCCTTTTTCGAATCTTCTTGCTTTACTGTAACTTTTACTTTTGGCTCTTCAGGTTTCGGCACAGCTTTTGTGCTTGACGATTCTTCCGTTTTTTGCATGAATTTCAACTTTAGCTCTTCTGGTTTTATCACATATTTCACTTTCGGCTCTTCTTTGACCGGAGAAGGTTTGTTCTTAAGAAAATCGAATGAAATTGTATCGAAGTTGATTTCATCGGAAGGCTTATCGAAGAAGCCCGTTTCTTTTCCAGTTAATTTACACATCACATTGGTAATATTTCCGATCCGATTGCTTATAGTTTTCATTGTTCTAAATTAGAAAAGGAATTAATAATAAATAACTGACTTAATTACTCAATTAATTCCGGAAGATATTTTTCGCAATTGCACGGAGGTTTCGGTGAAACCGGGGATTCTACACCCCAATCTTCATCTCCACTACCAAATCCTGTCTTTTTGAGAGGTCGTAGACTTCGTCGTGATGGCTGAAATAAATTATTTTATTTTTCGTTGACATAACCATTTTCAATATCTAAAGTCGCATGTTCCAGATTTTTTTTACAATCCCGCTTCACATTTTGGAAAACTTGCTTTCCGTGATTGAATAACCTATTAGTTTTTTTCTAAAATTTCTGAAAACGAAAAATTAAATCTGACATGCCTTTTTCGCAAGATCGATTTCTTCTATAAGCTTCGGTTTCTTGTTATATTTTCGTGGAACTCGCTTGACCGGATTATTAGTAACCTCGGTCGTCGTAGAATTAGGAGAACTAGTGAGCAACGAGCTGATATCTAACGGTTCTGAAATATTTGGTAATTAAATTTGAATTATCACCAAAAAAAAATTACCAGTTCTCATGATATTCGCAACGAATCCACCGGAAGGTTTTTTCTCATTCTTTTCACTTGAAGCTTCTGGCTTTATCTTCGGCGGGCTCGTTTCATCCATTTCGCTCAAACGCCGTTTTCGTTCAGCGGTATTAACTACTCCATTCTTTACAAGTAACAAACTTCGACTTTCTAAATTTCAAACAATTTAACCAAATATTACTGTTCTTTTTTTCCAAACCAGGAGACGGCGGATTATTTCCTACTGCAGCAGCTTTTCGTACATAATACGTCCCCTTTTCCGTTTTAATTTTGAATAAATCGCTTCGGTTTGGCGACACTAAAATTAAATATAACGTAATAATCAAAGAATAGGTCTTACATTCTGGGGGTTTCGCTTCTTCTCCAATTTCTGTTTTTATCATTTTTCTGAAAATTGAATAATTAAACATTAATGAACAAATGGACAATTGTTAAAAAGGAAATAAAACTACACAACAAATAAAGTTTCAAAGAATAATTTATGTGCATGTTTTCATTAACAAAGTCGTATGCGCGAATTGATGATTTTACGTGTAAAAACGAAATCCACGTTTAGAAAATTTTTCTTTTTAAAATATTATTTTTTTAATGCAGAATGTGAAAAAACAGTAGAAAACATGCAAATTCGTGGTTAAAAACTGAAACCAGTAATAAAAAATTTCCATGGTAACTTGCATTTGGGTCTCAAGTGGAATTTGCCCATCACCGAAGATTTGTCGCGTCGAGACCCACACCGTGTTTTTGAATCTTCCCTTCCTTTTTCCGCCATTTTCGCTGATTTCAAGTCATTATATCCTGAAATTAATTTATAAAAAGTTGCTCAATTTTTTTGCCTGAAAAATCTGAAAAACTAATGATTAAATTATTCCAAATATGTGTATAATTTAAAAAAAAACCTATTTCCCTTCGAAAAATATCTTAAATACGGGTTTACTATATATGATTGCCTTCGATTACAATTATCGTTGACAGATTTAACCACAATTAATCTAGCTTTGCAAAAATTCCGTTTGTTTCTTAATTTGGCGAGAAGCCAATCACAAATTACGCTAACACCGAAAATGCGTCAAGGCTTTGGGTTGACAAAATCTGGGAGCGGGTGTAATAGAAGTCTTCTCAATCCTCGCAAAGTAACTTGTTTATCTATAATTTTTGGGATTTTTAAAGTTGTTTTTTTTTTGTCAATTATAAAAAATTTGCGGTTTAAATTGTTCACGCTAACATATTTTAGTTTAAATTCTCAAAATAGTCTATTAAATTCATAAATTTTAGGAAATTTAGGAAAAAACATGTTATTTTCTTTACTTAATATTAACATTGCTGAATATAATTCCAGTGGGTTTAATATCGTAAAATTCAATTATCGATAGAGTTTTCTACTCCTCAGCTATCGTTTAACCTGCGATTGCGTCATTAATCAAATTATAGATGACTTCGGGTTCCGAGTTGGAAGCTCAGGGAAATCAGAAGCAGGATGCTGGAAAAGTCGCCGAATCGAAAACTGATGAGATGAACGATTCGGGTCATTCATCGGTCAACACACCAGAATGTGTCGATCAAGGTTACAATTTACCGGCTTAAAATAAGCAAAAAAAACATATTCAGAAGAGATGAAACCTCCAGCAGAGCAAACTGTTCGTATTACCGTTCAACCAACTGTTGGTGATTCATTCGAACTTCAGGTTCATTCCACGATTGTTTTCATTTTCTCATGTCAAATTATAGTTGAATGACAACGAACTTGCTCAAGAGCTTTTCCATTCTCTTATGGATCGCGAAGCGACCTGTCACCGAACGTGTTTCAGCTTGGCGTTGAATGGAAATCTTGTAGATATCTATTCTGAGTTGCGTGCTATCCCAGGGTTTGCTGACGGGTGTACAATAACCGTGGTTGATGGTCCGTGAACCATTCTTGTAAAAATTCAAAAGGTTGTTTTTTAGAGCCATACACTACACGCGAAGCGCGTCTGCATATCCGTCAATTCCGCGAGCTGCTCAAGTTCGGCTTGAATCAAACAGCTCATGATAGCCCTTGCAATGTTGATATGGCGGCTCAAGCCTTTTTGCCGACTATCAATATGCAACACGAAGAAAAAGGGAAAGCCAAAGAGTTGCGATCGACTGACGTTCTGCCACCCGATTACGTGTTACCGGGAAGCAAAGAGCGATCCTTGAGTCATTTGGTGGTTCCGCTGCAGAAACCATTGTACGCCATTAAAAGTATTGCCATCTCTCCCTACAACCCTCCAACTGGTCCACGAAAGATGAAAGGAGATGTTCTCTACATTGACGTGAACACTGTTGAGAATCGCCCAGTTTATATTACGTGTTGCACCAAGGTAATCATTATTATCCTTGACGAACAGCTAGGACAGAACACCAATCATAACTATATTGAAAATAATAAAATATTTGCAGGGATTCTACTTGAATAATTCTCAGGATGGAAAGTTTGATCCAACACAATCGAACTCTTTGAAGACAATATATCAGAGTTTGGTTGAACTTCTTACTGCAGTCAGTCCTGGATTCAAAAAGGTCCGAAATTATCACTTTACTAATTAAATAAACCGAAAAACTTTAGACTTGGCCTTTGATTATGCAACGGCGTGCGGAGAAAAGTTTGGTGGAGCGTCTTCCGACACCATATCCAGTTGCCTCATGGGTTGCACCTCCGATGAAGTTCACGGAATATTCCGAGGATTACTTCCGTGCCGTTGACTTGACCGAGTCTCATCGTTTCGGTCTTGAAGACCATATGCCGGGATCAATTCGTGATTGGAACGAGGAACTTCAGACAACATTCGAACTTCCACGAAAAACGATTCATGATCGACTATTGAGAGATCGTAATTACTTCAAAGCCCATATGGACTTTGTTTGCGCTGCTGCAAAAGGAGTTCAAGCGATTCTCGATGGAAACATTGTTGCGATTAATTCTAGCGATGACAAGAAAACTCATATGTATATTTGGAACAACATTTTCTTCAGTCTTGGTTTTGATGTCAAAGATCATTACAAGGTAGGGCTTTTAAACAATTTCTAATTTATATATTCCAAATTTCAGAAACTTGGAGGAGACGCTGCTGCTTTTGCCGCGACGTCAATTGATTTACAAGGTGTTCGCGCATATGCGAGTCTTACCGATCCTCAATTTCATACCCTTGGAATGGCGATATTTGATTATCGCGGATTTCGCGTGACCGCTCAGAGTATCATTCCTGGAATACTTGAACGTGAACAAGAGCAGTCCGTTGTGTATGGATCCATCGATTTTGGAAAAACCATTAAAGCCGATGAGAAGTATCTTGAGTTGCTTCCAAATGTGGCTAGAGAACTTCACATGATGCCTCACCGTGTTCTTCCAACAAAGGAAGGTGATGACGAGGAGAAGCTGCTCTACACGAGTTACGAAACCAAGGTATGCTCCCAATCCCTCAAGTTAGACACATTTTTTTTTAGGGAATCGTCGGCAATGATGGTCGCAAGTATTTGCTTGACTTATTCCGAACAATGCCTCCGGATGTTAATTTCTTGTTAGATGCTCAGGTTTCCGAAGTTTCCAAACAAATGGGATTCCCCAGAATGATGCCTCACACACTTTGTGCACTTCGCCGAGAACTTGTTGATCAGTTTTTTGAGACCAAATGTTTTGATTTTCTTAAAATTACTGCCAATTTTGTGCGCTCCAAGATTTCTGAAGCCAGAGAAAGCAAAGATGAAAACGCTGAAAAAATTGCTGGTAGTTTATTTTTTTCTACTCCAATTTTCAAAAATTTTTTTTCAGCTGAGTCTGAAGCTGAATTGGCGCAAGTCCTTGTTGACATCACCGAAGGAAACGAAACGACGTCTAGCAATCCGATTACTCTCGAGGCCGTTCGCAATGGTCTTACAGCAGTTCATTCGCTTTCCGATACTCGTTTGGAGATCAAATTCAATCCTGATTGTTTCTCGTCGTTCGTCAGACATGCTCCTGGTCAAGATTTGGAAAAACAGAGACGTCTGGTTATGGAAGCTGCTGAATTTGTGTTGACCACGCAGATCCCAGATATTGTTGCCGCCATGAAAGAATGCAACATCCAGCTTATCGATGGTGAATCGTTGTCCGACGCTCTTCATCAACGCGGAATCAACATTCGATATTTGGGAGAAATAGCAAAAATCGTTGACACCACAAACTCGTATGCCCGTCCACTTGTTCTCTCCGATATTCTCTGTCGTTCCACCAAGCACGTCTTCCGTGGAATCACTCATAAAGTTTCGCAAAGTCAACTTTCCGCCAGTCTTTGCCACTTTTTGAACTGTTTCTTCTTCAATGTCACTGGAGATTCATCCTCGAAATCTGGTAGTTCAAACAATAAGAAAAACAACAAGAAGTCTTCTGGAAATAAGAAATCTGTTGGTGTTTGGGCTTCTCTTACAACAGCTTCATTGTGGAAGTCAATTGTTGATGAAGCTTCTTCTTACTACGGTTATGATCTGAAGGTAATAACACTTTTAAATAATTCCTATTAATAATTTTACTGTCAGGCCGATTCATTGGATAAATTCGTCGAAACACACGATATTCAAAAGACAGCTGTTCTTCGCCGCTTCTGTCGCATTGTAGGACTCCAAATTGTTGCGAGAGATTATCAACTTGACAATGGATCGAAAAAGATGCTATTCACCGAAGATGACATTGTCGATATGTTCCCAGTTATCAAGCATCACAATGTCAGTTTACTTTTTCCCATATGGATTTCAAAAATTGTCTTTCAGCCAGAAGCTACTGACGCCAAGAAAATCTTCCATCGTGGCCAGCAAGCTTTGCACATGGGATCTCCGCGAGAAGCGTTTGAGTTTGTCGCTGAAGCTGTTAATCTTATGACAAACGTTTATGGAGTAATGCACCCTGAGTTGGCGCACTCAATGAGAACGTTGGCTCGTTTGTCGCACATTCTTCAAGAAAACAGTGATGTAATTACTATTTCAAGGGGTTCATTTATAAATTTAAAATTGTATTTTTAGGCGCTAAACAACCAGCATAAAGCCGTAATTATGAGTGAGAGAATGAATGGATTGGAAGCGGGAAGCACAATTGTTGAATACGTAAGAGAATAACATTGAAATTCGATAAGAGTACTATCTTATAGATCAACTTGGCGCACTTCGCGTTTTCGACACTTGTCATCCCAGGAGCTCTTCGTCCACTTTACCGTGCGAGATACTTAATGAATTTGACATTTGGAGAAAAACATCCGATCATGGCACAAATCGATGTAAGCGTTCGATTATGAAAATCATGTTAATGTCAAGTATTTTAGGCCAACATTGGAATTATTTTATTCACGCTTCAAGAGTTTGATTTTGCTCTCAAATATCTCGTATCAGCGGATCATATCAGCAAGGCAGTAGGAGAGCCGAAACGAATGAAGACAGCGCTTATCACGAATTTGATCGCAAGAACGCATGCAGCTCGTGGAGATTTCCGCGCCGCTCTTGTTGCTGAAAAGGAAACATTCGCCACTTATTCGGAATTGTACGGACCAGATCATCAAAAAACACGTGAATCGAGCGACTACTTGAAAACACTTACCCAACAGGCTGTGATGTTCCAAAAGAAAATGATGGAGGCTAACAAAAACAGTTCGATTTCTGAGTTATTCCAGGTACTTGCAGAAAATTATCTTCATTTTTTACGTTTTTATCCTATTTTAGATCCAACCACCAACACTAAGCTGGATTCTCGATGTGATGAACATTGTCAATGGATTTTACATCTATCCTCCATATCACGCGATTCCAGTGTCTACGGAGAAACTCCAAATCGTGTCAAATGAAAATAAAACGGATGTCGCCAGCCAACATGAAATTGAAGCACTTGATTAAGAGTAAATTCCCTCAGTTAGGTTCAAATTTTTAGGTTGTAGCTTAGAATTTTATTGTTATCAAAATTGTTTTTTTTTTCGTTATGTTAATTTGTTTTTGATTCATACTGAATTTGGTAGATGTAGTTTTTAAAAATTAGGATTTTATAGGTTATTTGTTCTTTTTTGTTGTTATGATCTTTATTTTTCTTCAAAAAGTGCCAAACAGAATAAATCGTTCAAAAATTATGCGTTTATGTAGTTGAATGAAATATTAACTTCCAATATGTTAAATAGATATTAATAGATTTGCGAGTAACCATATGTAGTAAAAATATATTAGTTGTTAATTCTAATGTCCCCCTCAGAGATATATTGTCATTTAGTCTGATGCTATCTGTCCAACTCATGTATCTCTTTTTGAATTTCTTTCAAAGAACGTTTCTCTTGTAAGAACATTCAGCTCAAACCGAAAAAAAACCTCTATCGCCAATTAGGTCCATTGATATTTGTTGTTTTCTAAAGAAACCAAATCGTGTAATCAAATACCCTTGTTTTTTTTTTTAATAAAGTAAAAATGTAAATCTTTTAAAAACAGTGGAAGCCATGGTTTTTTGCACCAAATTTATCGAATGGTCGGTATGAGGATGCGCGTCAAATACGGTGCTTACGGCAGTTGTGACCTCGAATTTGAATTTATCATTTCCATTATATTTTTTGTATGAATGACAAGTGAAAGTAGAGGAGTTAACCGGTTCGATGTTTCATCGGCATCTCGTGACAGGGCTGCCGTGAATAACGGACTATCATTATCGGGACTGCTCAAGGTATAAAAATTTGGATTTTGAATAATAATTTGAAAATTGAAGAGTCGATCATTTCTGCTTGAAATTGATAATTCAAAGGATCGTGATCGACTTACAGAGTATATTCGCAGATTCGGAGGGCACGTAGTTCAAACATTTGATGATTCGAATCTTCCTGTGGTGAGACTTTTTGCTAAAAAGTTTCATCTGAAACATTGATTTTTGTATTCTTGAAAAGCTGTTTCAGTGCGTTGTTTCTGACCATGCTTATGCTTCGCGAATTGAGCACAAACAGGTTGATGTAAACAATCCAAGCGAGAAGGTTTCAATTTTTAGAATATTCTGTTAAATGAGTTCATTTTTAGCTTCTAAAAGCCTTGCCCGCATTGTTACGCGAAGCAGTCAAGAAACAAGTGAAGGTAATTGTTAAAACTTGCACAATTGGTTTAAATGAACACATTGCAGATTCGAACCGTAACCACTTTTATTCGACAATTAACTCATTTAAAGAATAATGCACAAAAATCGTCTTCTGCCACAAATTCAGCACCTACAGTTAAAGCACGAGCAACGGTATCATTGCACGTATTTTGAATATCTTGAAAATTATAGTTTCTTGTGACAGAATCATCCGACATTATCTCGACAAGTAATGCCCGAAACAAGTCCGGACGGAAGAAAAAGAAGAAGTAGTATGATTGGAAAATCGTTTGTTCGAATTGATATTCCTGGAAGAAGGCCAGATATCAGGGTTTGAAATTAATAACCGATGAATTCTTCTATTGTTTGTTTTTAGATTATTGATAAAACTGCATTTCGGCATATTTACAGTGGAAATGATGCTGCATTTTGCATTTTTAAGAGAGCAGATGAAGCTTTGAAAGCGAGAAGAATGAGTGATTACAATAATTTTGTTAGAGGAACGTATATTCCCGTCAAAAAGGCTAATTATAAATTGGTATTTTATTTTTTCTTTTAGAATTTCGTTGAGTTTGAATTATTTTTAGGAAGACGATGAGACATATTGTCAATTTTGCGGATTAACCGTTGACAAAATGCTCGAGGTTTTCAATTGTTCAGAATTCGCGTGAAAAATGAAATTTAGCATGTGAAAACCGATGCGCATAGAAATAAAGTACGACATCAAGGAATTTTGCCAGAATTGGAGCGAGTTGTAATGACAACGAAGTTGGCGGTGGGCTCTAATTTGAAAATTAAAGAATTGAGCATTCAACATTTCAGATGAACGTATCGTCTCAGAATCGAAAACGAAAACTCAAAGATCTAATTCTTGAGCCGGAGCTTGTGGAAACGTATGAATATGGCGAGAACCAATACCAAATTAATTGGTCGCAATTTGTGAAACGACGAAGTCCTCCAATATCGCCTGCCAAAAATGAAGGTATTAAAGAATTTATTGGAAAAATGGGTTATCATATTCTTGTGGATAATAAACGCATAAATTTGACATGCAAACTTTGTCGAAATAGCGACGAGTTCGACAATCGGAGGCTTTTTCGCAGAATCTGCCGACTCGCTTCAAATGATTGTGTTTTTTGGCGACTGCTAGTGAGAGAATTAGTAGAAATAGCTGAAACGTGAATAATCGAACGAATAAAATTATATTAATATATAATATAGCGACAACTTACCAAGATTCGCATCCGAGGAACAAATGGACAATTTTTGAATTAGTATTTTATTTATGCGACACCTATTTTTAAATATTATTGAAATCTCACGTGTCTAGTTTTTGTTCGCATCTAGAAGTGTTTACGAATTAATTTTGAAGTGTTTTCAGCGGCAGAACAGAAATCGAAAACTATGCGAATCTCATGGGATGGTAGCGATTTGGACTTTCTTCGATTTATTGGGCACGCATAATAGAGTATGTGTTTTGTCGTTTTTTTTTTTCAAAAGTTTTTTTTTCTTGGTGGCATGGAATCGCGCAGTTCAATTTTTTAGAATTAGTTGCATATTAGAGATTAGTGTTTCCAAAAAATTCTAAAGCAGATTGAAAATGAATTGAATTACATTCAATCTCGTTTTCAGATGGTATGGTCTTCACTTCTCCAATTCCATTCAGGTTTAATATATATATATACATAATGATGATATTCGGTTTATTTGTTATCGTTGGTGTATTTTATGCACTCTTTGCCCTCTTGTATTGTTTTTCGTTTCATTGTATTTTACGGGATGTTTTAACAACGTTTATCAACATTTGCAATAGAGATTTTTCGACTAGGTGATTGTGATTGGATGGTTAGTTAAGATCATTGGGAATGTGTGAGATATGATTATACGACATGGATCGCGTGTTGTAGTTGGTTAGTCTTGCATGCTATGGCTGGTAGTCAAATGATGAAGGCCTTCTTCTTCCGGAAGTGGTTGGCGTTTCCAGCGCGGATTCAAAACTGAAAATGGAATGACGTTGAAAATGTTTCGATTCGGCTAATTCTACCGAGGATAAGAACGCAGATGGTGTATAGGAATGTGAAGACTCCGACAAATGATGAAGTCGCTTGTTGTCCGCACATTTCGCCTTTTTTGGTCCAACAGGTGTGTTTCCATGCAGCCCTTTCGGAGATTCCCATTCCGACGGCGATGCCGACGAAGACAAAGATGATGACACCGACGAGTTGATGGAATGGCATGATGAGTTGACGAAGTGGAATTGGCATTCCCGGGAAGAAATAAGTGATGAATCCAATGACGTACTGAATAATTCATTGAAGGTTGCCTTTTTTTAATTCGTAGTCTACCTGCATAACGAAGGCGATAGCAACAGAGAGTCCGATCCATGAATGAAGAGATACGAGATTGACAATTGGGGCCGGGGTTCCATCAGGGTTCTTGTGGAGGTTGTGGTAGTCAAAAACTGCCTTCAATGCAGTCACCATGAACACCAAAACGATCGAATGAAGAATTACGTGGAGAGTTTTGCTGAAAATCTTTTTTGTTTATAATAGGTTTTTTTTTTAATTTTAATCCCCTTTTGAATTTGCCGATTTCAATTATTTTTCGTTTTCTTCCTCTATTTAAACGTACCTAAATTTTTTACGTTCGTTACGAAACACGCGGTAGACAAGAATGGATTCTCCATAAATGAACACCATTCCCATTACCATGAATGTCGGATGATAATTGAATTCCTTGTCGGGATCTTCCGTCCAAGCATAGCCATTCTCGTAGGCGCTCATCCAAATGGCGACGAGAAAAACGGCGAGACCCCCTAAAACAGATATTATTACTCAAATATTGAAGCTACCAAATTCTTGAAGCGAGTTTATTTATATTATTTCTAGTGTGGGTGTTTTTTTTTTCATTCGATGAAATTCACACAATAAAGATGACAAAATTATTTGTCATACGGAAAATTAATGCATTGGTTTCGAAACTCACCAAATATCTGCGACATGACGAGCAACATATTGAACACTTTGTAGCTCTGATCTTCCCGCAGAATGATAAATGATGGGTCGAACAGCAACGACATTGTGCCGCTGAATTGGATTATTGGAATATCGACGGAAAACAAAACGAAAAACGATGCGAAGACGGACGAAACGAACGCTTTGTTGGCTACTTGATGTCTGCGCTCTCCTCGAAATGCGCACTATTCGGACATTATCCAAAACGATGAAAAATATGATAAATATCATGCAAACAGGTATTTTGGATTGTCAAAGTTTACTTGCAAAATCGTCAAAACAAGCGGCACTTTGGAGACGTTGTTTTCAAAATTTTAAAACTGAGAAGAAACTTGTGATGCCTTGAAAGCATTGCAAATTGAATATGATCAAATGAGAATTGATTTAATAATATTTTCGGAATACAATTTCAAAAAAAAAGTATTGATTCTGTGTCCAATGAAGTCAAAAAATTTTAGATTTTAGTCTATGCGGAACTCGCCTCATTGTGACCACAGATCACGGAAAATTATGTACAATATTAATTTTAAATATGGTTTTAAAAAAAGTCGAATAAGTACTCTGACCTTTCTGTAGATTTATAGGTAAGACTCGAGAGACATTTTCACATAATTAAATATCCGGGCTTAAATTGGTTTTTCGAAGCCTCAAAATGTGAATTTAATGAATTCATATTAATGTAACATCAATTGACTAGCGATGTATATGTCAAAACGAAAAGGGAATTGGAACCAACAAAATGTCAAAATGAGCCGCAGTGCGCCAGAACAGCTCCGCGCACGCAGGCTCCGTCAATAATAAACAGAGAAAAAGAGCAAAGGCGGTGCTCTAAATGGCGAAACGAGGAGCCCGTCCCGTCGTCTCCTTTTTCGGGTTTTAATTGAGAATAGAAAAACGAATTGGATATGTCAGTCGCACCATTATGAATCGACCAACCCCGCTCAATATCAGACAATTTATTTGCTTCTCTATCACATTAACGCCGAAACAAAAACTAGTATCGATTGTGGAGTAATAGTATTCACATAGTTAATTACAAATGGAATGTGTCTCAAAAAAAAGCGATAATCTACAGTTATCTAAAAGAAATAAGTGTTTTGATAGTATTTAAGAGAAGAACAGAAATTTGTGAAGAAATAGATGAGTAGAAATCGTACAAGCGCATTCGAAGGAACAAATATAAAGTAAATCAATCAATTTTGTGAGCCGCATTTCAATGCAATTGATAATTGAAATGAGGCGAAGCGGGAAATTCGACGAATCGTCAAACACCACATACACTTGTACGAATTCTATTTCATATATGGGATGAGCAGCAGCACAATTAGTTGAAGAGCACTGGCAAATCGTCTTCGGTGGCGAGCAAGTTTCGCCCGCCGACATCGTTCTCGTTGTGCCCGCCCCCGAGACCACTCGCAGCGAGAGCGGCGGCTTCCTTCTGAATAAAAAAAAAAAACAATGAGTTGTTTGATATCATTCTCAGAATAGAGTAGCACAAAATCTTGTTTATCGTGCATTTTTAGGATAATCTTTCAAAAAAAGTGTATTCTCATAAAATAATACGAAAGATTAACGGTGGCATTTTCGAGGGACCTATTTTTCTGTTTCCTTCTCATCATTTTTTTCAGATTTTACTGAACTGTAGCTAACGTTAACGTTGTTGTAATGTTTTAGTTGTGCTAACTATAGAGCACAAATGTCCAAAGAAGAAAGATAATCCGTTATTAGCGTTTTTGGTTACTCATCATTTGAAATTTTGGAAAAAACTAAACCAGCTGCTGATATTGTCAATAACACGTGACATTTAAAAAAATCTGACTAACCGCTCTAGCGGCGGCCTCAGCCTCTTTGAGCTTCTTCTTGTTCGCCTGAATCTTCTTCATGCGGAAGAACTCCTCTCTTTCCATTTCGTCGAGTTCGGTCACAATGTACGAAAGAGTGTTTTCGATACGTGGAATGATGACTGCAATTTAAGAAATCCAATCAATCCGAAGATTTGGTCGAACGAACCGTGCTCGATGGCGTTAACACGTCTGTTAGTGACTTTGATGGCTTCATCGAGAGTAATGAAGCACGTCTGAAGAGTGGCCAACTCAACGAGAAGCTCGATAGCCTGAAAGTTTATAAGAGTTAGAATAATTGTAATTATTATGAATGTTTCCCGGTTTTTTTTTTCGACAATTCTAACCTTGTTGTAGTTCTTCTTCAGACGAGCAATGTTGGCTCCTCCCTTTCCGAGACCGGTAAGATCATAAGCATCCGGTCCGTCTTGATAGGCGTCGAACACCGGCAAGAATACTCCTGAATAACAGATAATTCTGATGCAATCTCATTGAATGATTAAAATTAATTACCTACGACGTTTTCCTTCTTCATTCTGACGCGATATTGAGCTTGCGAAACATTTTGGATAACAGTATGCGAGAAATCACCAGCGGTGAATTTTGCCTCTGCCAAAGAGAAAGCAGCCTCCTTCATGACCTCTCCCATGAGAATTTTGTTCTAGATGCCATCAATATATTTTTTTTGAAACTTAATCGATAATTGCCTACCTCAACAATCTTCTTGAGAATATCACGGAAACGCATGTTAAGCGCATCGGCCTTCTTCTTTAAGAGAGAATGTCCTTTCTGAGCTCCCTTCAGACGCGTCTTCATGAGCGTCTGAGCCCTGAATGTCTCATAATTTTCAATTATTCAATTAAATCAATGCTTACATTCTCGATGGGAACATCGCAATACGGTCCTTACCACCTCCTGACATGATTCACCTGCAAAGCTCAAGCGTAAACAGGATTGAACGACTTCAAAACAAACAAAATTTTCGAAAAATGACTGAAAACGAGGGCGATATATGCAAAATGCGAAAAATGCGTGAAAGACCAATGACTGGCGATTGATCACAACGAGTGTCCATGGAGCGCGTTTGTTTCAGTGCGAGAGTCTCGGCCACCACAGATGAAGAATTGCGACGGAGAGACTTTACTTTTTAGAAATACACGAAACAATGGAAAAATAAATGTAAATTTAATGTAAAATTTACATTCTTTAAAATTAAATTTCATGATTTGGACTTAAAGAATCGAATAACGAATATGAAAATATGTCCATTATAACTAAACAACTGTAGTAGTTTCATAATGAATTTGTTGCAATACTACTATTTATTATATTTATGGATTTATATCTAACATTTTATTAATTTTATTAATTCGTTAAGTAGTAGGTCAGTGGTTGAAAATTGTCTCAGTTTATTACTTCGTATCTATAGACTACTGAAGTAGTCAAGCATTTTGCATTACGTTATTAGTATAATTATCAAAATAAACAAAATGTTGTTGGCATTCCTAACACATTTCTTTTTGCCATTTTTTCGAATTATTATACGCTTTTCAAATGAGATTGAATGAGGTCTGGTCTAATCAAGTTTGGAAAAAACCATTTGATTCGAGCAATTTCAACAATCCTCACATGTTTTTGAAATTTAGTCTAATATATCTTTTTTTTTCTATATACTATATATTTAGATATCGTGTCCATTTGTTCAACGCTTCTACTAAAATAATATTTTTATGAACACTCGGTCAGATTTCTGTCTTGGCCTAGGCCCATTGGATCTACCGAGCGTTTTATATTTTCAAATTTGTCGAGCCTAATTACTGTAGGATTACGGTACGTTCAGAACATCGAAAAATTTTCGGAATAAGCCGATCACGTCCAAATTTATGAGCGGGGAAGCCGCGCAGATTCCTCTGATTTGAATTTATTTTGTCTGTTGCAGAAACCCATATTTTTAATAAAAAGAATTTGTTGTAAACGTTTAAAAAAACGAATAAGAATGTAATAAAACTGTTAAGTATTGCATAAAATTCTGAAATATATTTTATTGTTGAAATTCAAACTAGAGCCCATTCGGAAATGGGATAACAAATTAGGAATAAACGCGTCGTCGTTTTTCGTCGTCGCCCTCATCGCACAGAATGTCGTCCTTGAAATCGGCATTCGTTTACCGATCGCCTCATCAACAACACAATGCCCTCATCCATTTTCTCACTTCTCCTCATTTTTCTTACAAATTCTGCTGTTTTTGGAGAGTAAGTGAGCCAAAAAAATTTTGAAAAAAATTTCAAATAATTTCAGAAATGTTTATTGTACTTATTATCGAGAATCGAATGAAATCACATGCGGGTATGTATGCTCATTCTTTGATTTTTTATACGAATCTAAAATAAAATGCCCAAAACCGGATGCAATTGTTCGGTTTCTTCAATATTTTTCGCTCGTTTCCATTTGATTGAACATGTTTTTTTTCCGTTGGAGGGAGACTAAATTTTCGTTTCTTTTTTCTGACGAGGCATTTTCATTTTTTTTCTTGAATTCTTCTAGCTCAGGTATTTTGCAGAACGGTCACCTGTGCAACTCATATTCCACCAAACAGCGAACTTGAGGAAGAAGGTCTCGATGTGAAATTACCTCGCGGTTGGTACCGTATCGGAACGATGCAGATCCGTCATGACACTTCATGGCTCAACTTATATCGTCGACGGGCGGTCGGAACAGGATATTGGGATTTTTACACAAATATTCCGGAACGGAATTGTGCTGGGTAAGAGAAATGGAAGAAGCATGAAATATTTACTTAAATTTGGTTCATTATCGGCTGATACTTTTTTTCTTTTCTGCAGAACATTTGGTCTACACGCAGGCGAAAATATATCGGGAACAGTGACCGTAAAAGACAAAAAATGTTTCGATCGCCTAATTTATCAAGTAGAAAACAAATGTTGAATTTTTCAATTTGTTATCAAATCCAAAATTTTAGATTGAAAAGAAGTCGACAATTGAGAAATTTGATGTATATCAATGCAGAAAATGCATATTTCACAGCTGTTGGCTCGGCAGTCGATTATTGCCAAATGCTCGCGAATACATGACAAATTTGCGTAGTTATTGACATAAATATTCGATTTTTGAATATTGTTTTATACATTCACGTGTTTCATCACCACTAATCATTTCTCACCGCCTTTTTTTCGTTTGTTGATATGAAATCACTATGGAAACCGAAGTAAATGTGTTTTATCACCTGAAAAACAGACAGACGCAGAGTCTCTTGTTTGAATATTCAAAACTCATTTTATTGTCGTCATATTTGTGTCAACTGATAGCATACATCTTTCATCCTCGTTTTCTAAATATTTGCTCTCGTTTTACATTTTCTCCATATTCGCTTATTCCGTTTTTCGCCCTTCCCCTATTATGCAATTTTCCATCGAAAAAACAATGAATTTCGTTTAGTGTGGCGCTCTCGTGCCACATTGTCGACATTATTGATTTTCGCGTTGTTTTTTTTTTTTTTCATGTTTATTTATTCAATTTAGGTGCATAAATATCACCAATTTCAATATCAAACATGGATGAGCAAAAGGTAAAAAATCAATTATATATAATGATGATGAAATTTCTCAAGTTCGAGGTGATTAATCATTGGGGGGAAGTTCGATTGATAAATTATTAATTTCAAAATAAAATACTATTCATAAGAAAACATTTATTATTTGATTTAAAAAATTATTCCATGGGTTTAAAAATTTATTTGTCGTAAGCTATAATGTTTGCAATGCAGAAAATCGATATAGAGTCACCATTTACAATTTGAAGTGTGAAATATTGAAAATTTGACAGCATCACGAAGCGGTTTACCCATCAGCTCCACCGCCTTATACGCCGCCAGCTAACAACCTTCCGCCGCCGCCGCAACAGATTCCAGCGGGCACATATGCTCCGCAACAAATTCCGGCGGGCAACTATGGCCAACAACCCGCCGGACCATATCCACCTCAACCGGCTCCGCAAATGCAATACGCTGCAATGCCGGCTGCCACCAACGTGGTGATTATTCAATCTCTCAAACTGGCACCATCATTCGAACCATACACCGAATTTTGCTACCGATGCAACGTAACTAAATATTTGACGATAGTTGTTGAAATAATTTTCAGGAAAACATCGTAACACGTGTTCAATACACCATGGGATTCTGCTCGTGGACGATGCTGTTTTTGGGAATTTTCGTTTTTTTCCCACTATTGTGCTGTTTCTGTTTGGACTCGTGCAAAGATGCACGTCATTACTGCCCCAAATGTGGGACATATTTGTCCCTCAAAAGGAGATAAGTGTCGACTCATCGTTTTCTCCTATTTCATACAAATAAAAATTCATTTATTTAAAAAAATATATATATATATATATATATGTTTGTGGCCCTAAAGAGGGCCGTTGGGGTTCGGTATGATGTGTGCGGACACAAGAGTTTACTCCTTCTCTCCGGCAGTCTTCTTTGGAAGAAGAATAGCCTGGATGTTGGGGAGAACTCCTCCTTGAGCGATGGTCACACCGGCGAGAAGTTTGTTCAATTCCTCGTCGTTGCGAACGGCAAGCTGGAGATGTCTTGGGTTGATTCTCGTCTTCTTGTTATCACGGGCAGCATTACCGGCCAACTCGAGAACCTCAGCAGCGAGGTATTCGAGAACAGCGGCCAAGTAAACTGGGGCTCCGGCTCCGACGCGTTGAGCGTAGTTTCCTTTGCGAAGAAGACGGTGAAGACGACCGACTGGGAATTGAAGTCCGGCTCTCGATGAACGAGATTTCGCCTTTCCTCCGGTCTTGGCTTTTCCTCCCTTTCCACGTCCAGACATGATGAAGTCGCTAGGTTTGTGTTGTGAAATTCACACTGAAGACTCGAAAGTCGCATTCTACTATAAATGACTGTGCGCGGAGGGGGCGGAGTTAACCCTTACTCTGCGACACATGCTCAGCATTCAGAATCGTTTCGCACTGTCACCCTTCTCGCAACAGATCTTGCGCCCTCGCTCCGCGACACCTACTATGACTCCACCCCCTCCGCGCGTTATCGTAAATAGAAAATGATTCGACTGGACGCTACACTTGAGTCAACAAGTTCGACCAATTCGCCATGGCACCACCAAAACCGTCTGCTAAAGGAGCAAAGAAAGCCGCCAAGTCCCAGAAGCCCCGTGATGGAGCCATGAAGAGACACAACAAGAGAAAGGAGTCGTACTCGACCTACATCTACCGTGTTCTCAAGCAAGTCCATCCAGACACCGGAGTCTCGTCGAAGGCTATGTCGATCATGAATTCGTTCGTGAACGACGTTTTCGAGAGAATCGCCGCTGAAGCTTCCCGATTGGCCCACTACAACAAGAGATCGACCATCTCGTCTCGCGAAATCCAAACCGCGGTCAGATTGATCTTGCCGGGAGAATTGGCGAAACACGCCGTTTCGGAAGGAACCAAGGCTGTCACCAAGTACACCTCCAGCAAGTAAATTCTTCGTTGAATTTACCTGCTATAACCGAACCCCAACGGCCCTCTTTAGGGCCACAATTATCTTTGAATTGTTTGATTTAATAAATGATTTCGATTATAACTTTCCTAATACAAGTAAAAACAAGTAATCTAATGAAAGAAAATTTGCTGAAGTTATAATGATAGTCACTGGAATAATCACGTATTGGTTTTACGAAATGTATTTTATCTATCGATTGGTATTTTTTCGGATCCGATTGAGTTTTAAGATAAATCAAACTCAATTCTGGAATTTAAACAGCGGGAATACGAGTTTGATTCAAAAATATTCGAATATATCTCTTATTTTTAATTTCGAAATCGAATTCAATTGAAATTTTGACATGTTTCGAAACAGTTTAAGTTATATTTGATTCCGATTAAAAACGAAATTATTTTCGAATTCGATCGATTTGAATCTATGGTTTCCCGCCAATTATGCGCGTCTTTTCTGTGACGTCACAATGCACATTTGCTGGTTTTTGGCGTCGTTTTCGGTCGATTATCGAATGTGACAAAAGAATTCCAGCTGTGAGAAGTGGCACGAATGTGATGCGCCATTTACACCAGGCGCATTCTTTGCATCTTTTCCCCCTCTTTCGGAGAGTATTCGACGACGGCGATAAGCGCCGCCCACCACCAAGTCAGTTGGGCACGCTCCCCGACTTCGGGTCGGCTGCTTCGGCAGCCGGGTTCAGAGTCGGGTACCCATACTCCTCCTCTTATATTCATAATAAACTATTATATTATATTCGCGTCCCACATTCTGTCTATTCCCATCGTACCTCGGGCAAGAAGTACGAACTACCCTTGGCACAAATCACGCCAAGGGCTAGGGCGTAACATGGAGGTTCCACCTCCGAACTCAAATTTGCCCAGGAAGATCTACAGTTCGGAGGCTGCCACTAACATCTGGAATCCCTTGCCCACAAGGAAAAACTGGAAAAGAGGTACGTCATTTTATTGACTCATCGCGATTCTGCGGACGGAGAGAATCAACACCATGGAACGAAAGGAAAAAGGAAAGCTCAATGAAGAAAGAAGAAGGAAAGTCACGAAGCATCGGAGGCTCGAAGAAAAAAAAATCGACACCATGACCGAAGAAAAGAAGAATACAAGAAGGATCTCGGCACGTCTGGACGGGTAATCACTAGAAGACGAAATGCACACCCCGATCAAATAGTGTGCGAACAAACCCAGATGTGTTTAATATAATCAGAATAAATGGAAAAGCGCGCGCGCAGAGCACCAAGAAAAATAAAGAACCGAGAGACGAGATCCAACGCTGGCGTCAAGACGACAAAAAGGAGTAAAGAAGAAATATCAATCAGCCAGCACCCCTCCGAAGAATGAATATAAAGAAGGCTAGCCGCGGGTTTGCTGGGGCATTGGAAACATTGTCGCCCAGGGTTTCCCGTTAGATTAAATTGAATTGGTGCAACTTCGGCAGGGAAACAACAAACGGTCAAGAAGAGTTACGTATCCGGAAAATTTAGTCGAAAACCGCGGTCAACAACGATTGTAATCAATCGATGTTGAATTCGACTGAAAGGGTAGCTGCACCCAGAAGTACAGTAATCTTCGAGCAGAAATCTCCGAGAAGCGAAACACAAAACCATCAATCCCAAGAGATGCAGAGAAGCACGTGACATATTGAGCCAAACCAACGGAGACTCCTCCAGAGGACAGATGACAGCAGGATCGCCCAGGGAATTTTCGATAAGCTTCAGCAACAGCGAAAGAGACACGCCACATGACGAAAGAAGCCACAACAGGAAATTCGCCACATGGGAAATTGCCATCAATCATTAAACCCGAAAAGAGCGAGGGACAGCGAAAACAAAAGAGGAGTATATAACACATAAATATACGACATCGCAACGGATAAGGATGAGTGACACAGGATGCTAATCACAAAGCATTTCGGTGAAACAAAAGACGGGTTTCGGTGAAACAAAAGACGACGTGAACAATGGAGGCCACGCCCAATTCCTCGAGTGGGATAAAGAGGGGCACTAAGCAGTCATTCCGACCCCCAAAACTAAACGCTACCACCGAAACCCCAACTACATCAAAGACACCCCTACACTTCGCCTACTCTACAATTCACTGTGCTAACATTCGAGACTTCACACATCGCCACGAGGAAGAAGGAAACACTTCGAGGAAGATCCGACCTACAGTTCATCGGCCGAAACAATCAACAAGTAGGTCAAAAAGTTTTCTTTCCAACCTCGTTGGTGAACTCCGTGCTCCACCTCAGTAGAAGCAAGGAACATCCCGAAGCACAGAAAGGAAAAGAGAGGGTGAAAATCAGGCCCCCCGTCGATGGAAAAAAGAGATACGCCAACAGGATTGTCACCAGCCAACATATTCCAATTCTCGCCTAAAGAACCAAATAACTGGACAAGATCGCCAAACGCAGAACACCAAAAGGACCAGTGAAAAGACTTCAGTTCCCAGACAACACGAAGTGCGAACACAACCAGGAACCGTCACCAAAGAAGCCGAGGAATACAGAAGAAGAGACGACAACACCGAAAAAGAAACCAAAAACGAAACTACGATCACTGCTGAAGAGGAAAGAAAGGAAAGGTACCAACAATAACAACGGATACATCATTTACTATGACATCGGCAACCAACAACAACGGACTGGACAACTCCTTCACCCAGCCACCGGAGGAAAACATGGACACTACTGGATATCCGTCGATCCAACCCCATGTGGCCATTAGGACAATGGAACCACTAATAAAGAAATTTCATGGTGAGAAGTCCGAAAACTTTCCTGCGTGGATCAAGAAGTACAGAGAGGTGGTATTCCTACTAGGGATACCAACATCTCTCGGCACAAAGCTCATCCCGCTGTTTCTGGAAGGCCGCGCAAGAGCGAAGTTCGATCAAATCAAAGAACCGGAGAAAAAATCGTGGACGGAAATAGTGAGCGGCCTGCATACCCAACTGCTCACTGATATCGACTGCGACCTCGCAAAAGAGGACACCTAACCGCCACCGACTTCGCCAAATTAATCAAAAACAAGGCCGAAATTGCCTACGGGGATTACCCCGCGGATGTGAGAGAAAAGATCGTCATCGACCTTTTCATAAAAAACACCAACAAACACATCCGGGCAAAGCTAAGACGGCTCCCACAAAAACCGAAAACGCTAGAAGAGGCAGTAAGGATTGCGAAAAGAGAACAGCATCTAGTGGAGATAGAGAAGGACGAAATGGATGACGGAATTGTGGCACAGCTAAGCCAAATGCTAGACCAGAAACTGCCAAACTTCGGACACCAGCAAAGAGGGAGCTACAACCAATACAGCCGATGGAATAACCAACATGGAAGAAGCCCACAGGAAAACAGAAGAGGTTACCAGCAGGACTTTTCGGAAAGAGACAGATACCCTAATCGAAGAGGCCGAGGAAATCGAGGAAATCGAGGAAATCGCGGATATGGCGGATATGGTTACCCAAGAAACCCTTGGAGATCAGACAGCCCGAGAAGAGCGTACGAATCGCAAAGGACATCTCGTCAACAAACACCGGAACGAGGAGGACCGAGAGTCCATTTCAACAACCCGACCGTCGCTAACATACTGCCGACAATTCTCATCCTGGCAGCTATCATTACATCAGCCTCGGCACAGGAAGCCCAGATTTGCGGATTCTCAGAAGGCGGCACTCGATTCGCACCACCAGCAGTACCGGAATGTGGAACATCCGAAACCTACCCGGTTATGGAAATGACAGCAAGTGTGTATCAACGCCGAACAACGCCAATCGCAGTCAGCGGAGGAAAATGCACAAAGAATTTGATAAAGATCGACATATTCTCCATATTCGGGATCTACACGAAATCAACAATTGTCGAGAGGAAAATGGAATCAACAAGCATCAAAGAATGCAAGGAAGTAGTCAGCCGAAAGGAAATATCGGGAAGGAAGATGATACAATTGGCTCCGAACGTATACCAGACCCCGAGGATGGAAGACACCATTGCGGAACACACCCCCACGATTGGAACAACGACGATAACACATTGGGACTTCACGCTTGAACTAGGAACAGTAGCGACATATGATGGAAAGCACGCGATATCAAACTTGGGTGAGCTCGACAACTGCCCATTCCCAGCAGGCGGATGCAAGAAACAGGACAAGACAATCATTTGGACGGAGATAATCACAGAACCCATTTGTGGATTTCGCCGCATGGAGATCGGAAAGGTCTTAGTAAGTCCAACACACATAGCCATACCAGAAGCAGGAATCTTCACGGCAATTGACGAGGACCTCGAAACCGCACTGGATCTTACCAAATACTGCGACATGCGTAACCCGTACCCCACGGACAGCGGATTGATCATAGATTTCCCAAAACTACCCCGGAAGACATATATACCGGATTACATCATCACCAACGGAAACCAAGAAGATCGAACGGGACTACCAAGATCAGGACGCTATCGCCGGGAAACTTATCAGCTAACCATCGCAGGAAGAGAAATCAAAGCGGATTTGGGAGAACCATTCAAGACACCAATAAGTTGGATCCTGTGGAACGTCACGGACTACAGGAAAGCACCGAAGATCGAGACCCATCCGATTAAAGATCGACGATTGCTAACAGTACTGAAAAGGTGGAACGTGACTAACGAATTATTAGCGATTCGCCACATGGACCATTCCTGGGAAGAAGAGGCAGGATTATTGGTTACATTAAAAGCTATCCGCTACCAACAATATGCACAAAGGGAGCTGAACAAAATAGACCAATTACGAAGACAACTCACGAGGGGAGAGCAAGAATTACGTACAGCAATAGTCGCCGGAAACCCAATAATCTTCGAACCACTCCTCACGACAGAATTCGGACAATTACCATCACCCCCACAAGGAAAGGTAACAATAAAACCACCCCCATTCTTCAGCCCGGAAGATATGAAGAACATCACAACAAAAAGCTGGAAAGAGGAAACACTTGAGAACATGGGAAAGTCTACAACAACCAACCGACCGACCGACATCTACAACGACGAAACCCATCACCACAACTACCACAATCCGCCCAACAACAGTTACGGAAAGGAAGAACGGACCACCACAACAAGGAGTAAGGAACAATCTGCGAAATGAACGCATACCCGAAACATTGAGGAAAACACTGGAAGCGTCGTACGAAGTGGAGATACCACAAACCAACAGACACATCGTTTACGAACCAGAGGAATCGAAAAATCACAGAGAATCAGAAACCAGCAGAAGAACCAAAGGTATATTCGTGAACACCTGCAGAAACCAAGAGCGAGATGCAAGAGTAGCAAATGCGTTACTACAAATCGACCCAACAGCCGCTGCACGATTCATATTAAAACGAGACGACATCGCAGCGAAATTTCTCGGAGACGGTCTGATAATTTCTAAATGCCGAACGGTTCAAATCGAAAAGATCTTCTGGAACGAAAGGATTAACGACACATGCTTCAACTTGATGCCAATACTGGCCAATAATTTTTTGCTCCCCTTTTCTTGCTCCCCCCCTGATTTTTGGCACCCACTTTTGTTGCTTCCAGTTTAATAATTTTTTGCTCCCATTTTTGTTGCTCCCCTTTTTTAAATAATTTTTTGCTCCCATTTTTAACACCCTTTTTAAAAAGGGTTTTTTTACTACTTTTAAATTTTTCCTTGAAATAGGAATTCACAATAGTCATTTTTGTATTTTGAAGGCTTACTCCAACCATTATAAAATTATCACAATTTCTTAATGGAAAATGTTGAATTAGAACAAAATTGGGCAAAATGGCGAAATAGGAAATTTGCGAGTTGTAGCAATCCATCCATGGAGACCACTGTAAAGTTAAACGAAAATCCGTAGTAATGGATCTATTCAGTGAATGTAAATTAAACAAAAACGACAAATTTTCATTATGCAGCGATGTCGTTTTTGTCGCAATAAGCGCTTAATTTTACTGAGGGGTACTGTAGATCGCGGGTCGATATTTCAAAAAAATTGGCACATGCTCCTTGAATATCGATTTTTTAAAAATATTTTTTATATTAAAATTTTCGTATTTTCACTCGTTTTTCGCGGATTTTTTTAAATAATTTAAACTTGTTTTTGAGTAACACTTTTAAATAATAATTTCATATCGTTTTCGTTTTTTTCTATTCCAAAACTGAATCGATTTTATTCGAATATTGTTTTAATTTAAAGAAATTGAATATTTCAGATCGTTCCATGGCTAATTTGGATAGGTTACGAAATAAGAAAAAGGCTATAGTAAGAAATACAATTTAAACAAAAAACAAATAAATGAATTTATAGATTGCACTGCTTATGAAAAAACGAATTATTTTGGTTTGGATATTGAAACAAAATGCATTGAATGCATCTGAAACAATTGAAGTGATCAAGAAACAGAGCTTCGATCTTTTTTGTGAAAAAGTCAACCGATTAGTAGATTGTGGTGGTATTGAGGTAAGGAAACAAGTAAAACAAGTGAATTTCTGCATAAGTAATGTAGAATAAATTAAGTTCGTGACCGGCGTTTCTAACAGCACGTTCATGGAACTTCTGAAGATATGCCGAAATCACGAAGGTCGAATCAATGCGACAATTCGATTGGCAGTTTTCTTAAAATACACAAGAGAAGGTTATTTTTTAGTTGTTTGTTAGTTTTTTACAAGCATTAAAATTATAAAATTTATAGGTATTAGCCAAAATCTTCTTGCGAAGGAAATTGGAGTTTCGCAATCAACGATTTCTCGACTAGTTAGAGATACAATCGAGGATATCGTCCAAGTTGCCGGAGAACAAATCCGATTGCCACAAAATCGAAGAGAATTAATTCGTCTGGAAGAAGGATTTATGAACTCTTCTGATCGAACTCCTCGTCGAAGAATTCCATGTTTTGCCATATTGGATGGAAAGCATTGGAAGATCGAGCATCCTGCGCATACAGGATCGTTAAATTATAATTATAAGTCGTTTTATTCATTTAATTCTCTTTTTTTGTTGTGATGCAAACTTGCGTGTTATATATTTGCAAATCTCTGAGCTTGGAGTAAATTCGGACTCCCAAATGTTCAGAGATGGGCCTTTGGGAGCACTCCTCGAAAATGTAGCCACAATAGGTGGATATCGCCCGCTTCCGAATTCATCCATTATAATGCCTCCATTTATAATTGCTGATAACGGATTTGGACTATCTAAGTTTCTTATGCAACCCTATAGGCAGCTTTCCTTGACTCCAGAAAACATGCGTTTTAACGAGATTATGTCGGCAACTAGGGTGAAAATTGAAAATTTTTTTGGTGTGATGCAGTCGAAATTCCAGATTTTCAAAAAAGCCCTTAATATGGACCCGTCTTCTTCGCGCGCCCTCATTGTAGCACTTTCAGTTGTACATAACATATCACTAGGTGCTCCTCCCGATCTTCCACCTGACCACAACTTTCCCTTACTTCAAGACCCATACAGCGATGCCGAAGATCAAAGAACGGCATTAAAAAATTATCTTCTTTATCATGTTTAATGTTTATCTTTTTAAATTTAATTGTTAATATAATAAAAAAAATACTTAAAAATAATTTTCGTCCAACAAACTGAGAGAAGTCGTCTGCTCATTTCTTTTGCCCGTCGGTTGGAGATCCATGATGAAAGCGATCGCTTTCGCTTCGGCTTGAATTTGATCCAATTCAGGCCAATCCGCAACGTGGCTGGCCATGACCCTGCACAATCGGTCAAATTTACATTTGGGGGTTTCCTTGGCTTCCTCATCATTCGATCTAAGCAGCTGCTTGATTTCGCTGTTCGTCTCGCGCAACATACTCATCAGCTCATCGCTGTCTAAAACATACCCATAAAACTCCATTTTTTATTGCTAGAAACCTGATTTTCTTCGTTTAGCAGTCTTCGGACTATCCGAGGGTCCCCGCGATTCAAGCAACTCAATACTTTTATCACCGCATATGAAGGCACTGTAGTAAAAAAAAATTAACAAAAAACAGGTAAACTTACTTTTTAACTTGTCTTTTGTGTCTGACTCCATCCAAAAACTGTAAATATTCCGCAAACGGAAATGATGATTCCAATGTTCCAGTTCCAGATCGAGCATTTTGGATTCGCAACACATGTCTATTGAAATCGCGCGTTATCGAATCCCACAATTTCCAAGCCGTCATACCTAAAACTTCAATTTTACCGATAGTGGTTTTGAAAATACCATTTGGTCTTCCGGCGCGGAGAAATTTCTTGCACATGCTTTCGATATTCTGAAAGACCTTAAGCTTCAATTCTCTCCTGTGGTATTCTTTAATAGATGAGTCCCAAATACTTGGGTACTGCTCAACGGTCTTGATGAAGTCCACAATAAAGTGTTGTGGAAACTAAAAAAATTTAATTAATTTATAAAATCCAACAATTCATTTTTAAATACTCACCGCTTCATATCCGTCATCTACAAGTGGCTTTCTCCTTCTCGTGCGCTTAGCTTCTTCACGCTGTTCAGCAATTGGCAAATTTCTTGGCCCATGTGCCTCCACCACGTCTTCGACCAAAGAGTCGTTTCCTTCATACTCAGCGAATGACATGCTTCAAAAAGGAAATATATGCACAAATTAGTAGTTTTTATGAATATCACCAAGTGTTACTCAAAAAAAAGTTTAAATTATTTAAAAAAATCCGCGAAAAACGAGTGAAAATACGAAAATTTTAATATAAAAAATATTTTAAAAAAATCGATATTCAAGGAGCATGTGCCAATTTTTTTGAAATATCGACCCGCGATCTACAGTACCCCTCAGTAAAATTAAGCGCTTATTGCGACAAAAACGACATCGCTGCATAATGAAAATTTGTCGTTTTTGTTTAATTTACATTCACTGAATAGATCCATAAGTCAATTGGAATATATGATTTGACTTTGTTAGTAGTGTCCGTTAGTTTAATGAAAACAACTAAACACATTTTCTATTAGGCAACATATTTATTTAAAACATTTAATTATTGAATTATTTTTTAAACAATAAATTAATTGTTGAATTATTTCGATAGGTCATTTATACCGTAAAATCTGTATCAAAATGGTACTTCTAACAAAAAAAGCCTTCAAAAAACTTCTCAAAGTATAACGGTGTTCTGTTTTTTTTAATATAACGTCTTTCCTGAAATTTGATGAGGAGTTAAAAAAAGCTTCGAAAAATCGAAAATGATATAGTTTTCAAACAGGCTTAACGGTATAAACTTTAAAAAAAAATCCGCAATAAATAAATTAATAAAATTTCACTTATTGCGATATTCAATCACGTTCCTTTCCTTATTCGCGCCCTCTGTGGTTTTTACTTCTTATAATTTGTGACTCTCTTCCTGCAAATAATTTCAGTTTAACATAATTTTTAAATTTCAAAAGAAAAATTGCGTACGGTTAATTATTTTTTGAAAGGGTATGCTCATAGATTAAACTGAAATTTACCTTTGGAAACATCGAATATTTTGTTTTACAATACAGTTTTTATCCGGTAAAGTCCTCGATTTGCTCAATCTGTAAAATTTAGTATGAAGAACTCGAGTAATTCCCACTAGTAATAAAAAACGTTAAAAACGACGAAGAATGTTGCGAAAGAACGTGTATATAAATTTTATTACTGTGTATATAAATATTATTACTTATTAAATTTACTAATATTTGAAAACGTTTTGTGGGGTTAAAAACATAAAAGAATTATTTTAAAAAGAAAAATAGACCGAAAATTAAAAAAAAATGTTCGGTGAAAACACGTAGTCCGTAAACATTCTACGACTAATTGCACAGATATACCGTACGCTGAATATTTTTATTTTATTATTGGCCTATTTTTCTTTTTTTAATCTTTCCTTGCAGTTTTTAACCGCACGAAACTTATTGAAACATTATTAAATTTAATAAATAATAATTTTTATGCATAAAAAATGTTCTTTCGCAACATTCTTCGTCGTTTTTAACGTTTTTTATTACTAGTGGGAATTACTCGAGTTCTTCATACTAAATTTTACAGATTGAGCAAATCGAGGACTTTACCGGATAAAAACTGTATTGTAAAACAAAATATTCGATGTTTCCAAAGGTAAATTTCAGTTTAATCTATGAGCATACCCTTTCAAAAAATAATTAACCGTACGCAATTTTTCTTTTGAAATTTAAAAATTATATTAAACTGAAATTATTTGCAGGAAGAGAGTCACAAATTATAAGAAGTAAAAACCACAGAGGGCGCGAATAAGGAAAGGAACGTGATTGAATATCGC